CGATATTTAAAGGCGCTTTTACTGCATTCTTTTAATTCAGTAGGTAGTGAATTGAACAATTTGATAGCATTATAAGTGAATCCTTTCTGAAAGAGAGTTGTCGAATGATGGGGAACGGTTATTGTGTCTTTGTTTCTGTTAGTAGGGCTATGTTCATATGTAGGCGTCACACTGTCGAAAAGTATACCTACTGTCCATCACTGAACTTGCCATATACAGTACTTTCATAAAATAGTAGATACATTCAGTGAAAATTCAAGGAAAAACGCTAGAATCCGTTAGATTCGTATTTCCACTTTTATAAATATTAATACAGGGTGATTTGGGGAGATACGATTCAAGTAGAGCTCGTAAAATAATATCAAAGCGTTCATATAGGTGTTTCGTTGAGGTGATGTCCTTTCAAATTCCACAATGAAAAATAGAAGTTGGTATTTACCTCCCATCAATGCTTATATTTGAAGAAATGCGCAACTAAAAAAAATGCATTTTTCGCAGAAGTTATCTCTTGATTTTTTAGCGAATTCACAGACTGCACTGTATATAAAGGATGCTCCACAGTGTAACCTAATATCTATATTTGCTTTGAAACACAACATATATCAAGTATCCACTTGAGCAGTGAAAGTGAAATAGTGAAATAACTAATCAAGTTGAAAGATCAAATACAATCATACAACAATTCATTTTCATTTATTCTAAACAGGTATAATTTATTTAGTATTTCTATAATGCATGTTGTATCAACCGACATTTTGAATGCAAAATAATATCTATGCACATATTTTGCAACAATAATAGTACGAATAGTAATTTTTTGAGACTTGTTTGACCGCATTACTCAGTCAAAACTATATTCATGAAATACCTACATCACGATAATATTTTTGAGACTTCAGAAAATGTAGTTATATCACAAAATTCAATGAAAAAATGTTTGTCAAACTGAATTCAAAATCTACCAACATAATTATATAGTTCATTTGACTAAAATTATTCCAACAGTGAGTTAATTGGATTTTCAATATTGTTAAAACTTCCTCATAATCAGTGTATACCAAGTTTAAAAAAAAAATTGCTGAAAATAAGAATAAGAATACCCACTTATATTTAAGGAAAAATATAGTAAGTAGGTATATACCCACTCATAAAATGGAATAAAATTATGTGGGATCAGTTGATGCTGACTTTGAAATACCTATTATTGTACCTTGAAAAATTTGATATGCCCATCGATACACCTATTTCCTATTTGAATCTTAGTTCTTACATTATTTCCATGTGTTTGTATGTTCAATTATTTATTAAACTTGGTAAACCAATATCAGGAACGTTAGTAAACAAAACATCATTGAAAAAACAATTTATTCCACAATTTGGGAAACAGATATTCATCTTGTATTCATGAACGACTTATACTAGAAAATCAAAGCTTTTTGGCACAATTTCGAAATATCCATAAGGAATAAACATATCATTGAAATCCATCAACTCATTTTATCTTCACGAAAACGATAAAATATTTGATTTCTTCTGGATCAACATATATATTATTATGTATATATTCATACTCAAATATAATATCCACGAGTTCAAATATCACAATCTAATATACTGCAGTAATCTGATCATCAGGACACGGTAGGTGAAAATAACATGGTGGTCCAGATTTTTGTGTATTCCAAGAGGTGTTAGATACTCGCAAAATGAAGACAACACTTCTCAATAGACAAACTTCCCAAAAATACATCATTACTCAAATATTGAAGTTCGATTGAAGAATACTCGATTATTTCACTAAGGAAATACGAAATTGATTCTTTTCAAATTTGCCTCTACAGTGCAGTAGTGGAAAATGCATAGACTACGATACATATCTTTGGTCTAGGAATAAGTAGGACGCCAATTTGTTAAATCGCTTCTTGAAGGATAGGTAATAAACATTTTTACGATCGAACTTCAACGCTTCGTAATTAAGTTATGATGCATTTTTGCAGGTATATGTACACTAGGGTCCTTTGATGTAAATTGACGTCGGTATTTGTCATCTTAACAGGGTACGGACAGATCCTCGTCTCCTCTCACTGTAAAAAGTGTTTGTGAAACAGTTATATGGTTCCATCTTTATTCATTTCTTGGGATAAACACTAGAATTCTGACATTTGTTGTTTTCCAGGTTATATTGAGGACATTGGCGTATCATACGTAATTTCCACATGTAATTTCTCATTCAACTCTATATACATATTATATCCAAATGATGATGATAGTTTTCGAGTTTTTGATTTTTCAACTCCAGCATAATCTTTGTGAGGCAGTGTTTTATACGGCATACGGCAAATGGGACTGTTCTTAGGCAGTACCTATCAATAAATGAATTTTGATTTCAGACTAAGCCTTATGGCTGAGAAATGGTGAAAAATTGTATGTAGGTATTTAAACTAATGTACTCATATGACATGTGTGCTGTATATATTCATATTGAGAATCATTTTTGCAGTTTTTCACGAACACTTGATATTTCCTGAATGTATGTATACTTTTTTTAATGGTAGGGCACATGCCTCTTCTTTCAATCCTCCGTTTTAATCAAAACTGTTTCTACTGAAATGCATTCAAAACTTGTGTAGTGGATTATTATAGGCACAAGGAGAAAGTATAATATGTGATTTCGTATTAGCTTTACCTCGAATATTTTGCTGATGTATTTACCAATTTTCCCCATTCGGTCACTCCACTTTCCATGTTCTAAGTTCATTTGCATTTGATGGAAAGCTGACAAATTCAAATTTGCCATCCAACTGATCGATACAGCCTAACGCAGCACATTTTACCATCCTTCCAAAACAGAATTGAATAATGTCGTATTAAGATCAAGTATGAAATTAAAATTTTCTAAGATCTCTTTTAACGCCTATGAATGTGACGTGACCGCGATGTCATGTCAGGGAAGCCAATAAACGAAACCAAAGTCACTAGATGATTAAAAGAGAAAGGAGCTATGATCTGTCCGTACCCTGCTAGATGACAAATACGTCAGTTTGCATCAAGGGACCCTAATGTACACTAAGAAGAAACTTATTCTGCAATCTCTATCACCTCTCGAAATTATTGTACAAATATCTGGGCCACGCTATATATCGAATTGTGGAATAATTTTCGTAGTTAAATATCTTGAAAATCTCAATCTAGAAAAATAGTGCAAGAAGTAAATAAAGTTGAATGTGCAGTGAGAGTAACAAAACAAAGTCAAGTGACAAATTTCCATTTCACATTGTTCTTAATCACAGTAGGTACCTAGGTACTAGACAGAGGTGTAGATTCATACATACACATCTCAGATAATATTGTCACAGTGAAGTGGACAATACATGTGTACTTATCCAAATCTGAGTGTGGGTGGGTAATTTTTTATCATCCATCACTATACAGTGAACTTTCATGCTCTTCTGCTGAAATGAGTCCGCTATATATATCGGAAGTAGACGACTTCCTTATTTCAAATGGAACACCCTGTATTTCAATTATATTCTCGATTCCTCATCAATAGAAGTTGACCGTTGATGGGGAATTTTTTTCGAAAAGGTTAACAGTGCAGTATAGTTTATTATCATTCTATCGAAAAGGACTATACAGGGAGATCATAATTTCGTGTCGTTCAATCTGTGTAGAATGCTCTACATCTAAAATGTGGTCCCAACAAGATATACCCAATTCCAATACAGTAAATAAGCTTTCGAAACATTTCACTCACATTCTCGATATTTGGAAATCTGGTCAACAGACAGCGACATATTCAATAGTTATTCATCTATTTCTATAGCACATTTTACAGCACCCGTTCGATATGTTCAAAAATTTGCTATCGACACTTTCTTTCCATTCGAATTTCTGTATTGAAGGACTATTATTGTAGAAATTTTCTGGTATGGTACTCCAAGTTATCCCTAACTTTCAGAAATAACAAACAATTCTTCTATTTGGCATCAAACTGCTATTATCAGCCTGTATATTTATTGCTAAGGATTTCAAGCATCAAGGGACATTTTTTTCTGTAGAAATCGAAGAAATTTGAAAAAAAAATCTAGTAAAAAAATCGTATATATGGAACAGTTTTCTTGATGTATTATTTTGCTTCAAAAAATTAATCACCATGAAAAGTATTATCGAAAACTTGAAGCACAAATCTATGAAACGATATAATTGCAATATGGAAAAGGGGACCTAACACATTGGAATAAGGAAGTTGACGTCTACTAACCGTACACCTAACCTTACAGAAAATCGGCAAATTTTAGGTGAGATAGTCACACTCGAAAACCCATTTCTACAAATAACCATATCCTGTTTGGTTTTCCATATAGTTCTGATAGAAGCATCATACTTCGAAGTGGGAAACCCTTTCCCCAAAAGTCGAAACTTGTGAGGGGTTAGGAAGAGCAGAATATACAGCTTATAGTGGAACTACTGCTATTGCACCGATATACTGCCAGAATTGGAACCAGTATCTATTTATCTCTGGTATCGGGAACGACTGCCTAACAGGTTTTAACGCTATAGATCGCTAGACCAATGACCCATGACTGAATCGAAATGAAAGGAGAAAATATCAAATTCTATACATACCTATGGTCCTTATTCTAGTGATACAAGTTACGTACTTTGAAATAGCTTTGTAAAATTTTACGTGTCACACTTTGAAATTGTTGTTACTCCCATTACAAGCATCAATTTGAGTAGAATTAGTGAGAACTTTTAACAAATGTACATAAATACATAAATACGATTACATTCTATTTCACTATGATACATTTTCTTCCTTTATAGTGAATACTCACTCTTCTTGGTGAGGCCCTCTAAAATCTGGAAATATAAAATATTAATAGTTGAAAAAACTATAAATTAAACAATGTTGGAGCTAGTATTTATTATATTATGCAGTTTTTCATCAAAAACTATTAGGGAGAAAAATATAAAATATCAAACTTACTTGAGTAACATTAAACTTGATGGCCACTAATAGAATTTATATGCTGAAAAAAGAAACGAAAAATATTTCAACAACTTTATTTATATCTTTGACAACATACAAGCAAAAACAACTGAAACACAACACGGTAACAATACACACGTTAAAAATAAAATTGAATTATTTTAGATGCATCACCTCAACTCAAAGAAACACATCATAGGTCATGCAACACCAATAATAACAAATCATCACAATTGCTGAAATCATTCATAAAAAAAGCTCAGCATTATCAATGGCAAACGAACAATACAAACGAGAAAAGCAAAGCTAAATCACAAGTGATAGGACACATTACTTTCTTCTACAACTAAACTGGAAAGTCGTATGAGAAGCGCAGAATCTAAGGGATCTAAAAGGAAAAAGAAAACTAAAGTTTCACACCTAATTGTGTTAATTAATATCGGATAAAGTGAAAGTGTGACTTACTCTATGAGAATTAGATCTCAAATGTTCGTTACTAGCAAAATCATTATCTTCTATACAAAGATCGGAGTCAGAATCACGAGCCGGAATATTCGTTCCTTCCTAGAAAAATATATTCATTTCACGGTTTTTCACGTTTCAGAAAGTTCTACAATCTATTGATTCATCTCATTGCCCTTATTAATAAAACATATATCATTGTGCTAGAACACGGGTACAACTTTGATAATTTGAAACATATAGTTTCGAGATCATCAACAATATTTTTTTTCTGTAGTAACTGATGTGCAATCACATTCGTAGAACTGGGGAAAAGTACACTGAATCTATCGAAAAGGTTAAGTCTATACAGAGGAAAGGTAGTACACTAAATTCATACCCTAAACGTTTAATTATATTGATTGCATTGCAACTTCACGTACCGTTGTATAGTAATTTACACTATTTATTGATTGATAAAATGTGGAAATGAATATTATTATGTCCTTGATTCGCAACATATTTCCATTCAACTAAATATAATATATTATTATTTTCATTTGAATGATTGGTATGACACTTTTCTATAAGATCCAAAAATGATCTCGACAATGAAAACCAGCAGAACCACAGACCAAGAAACTAAATTAATTTATGTTCTTATTCCAGGGATTGTCTTTTTCATTATATTTTTTGCAAAATGCATGGCTCTAGTCAGGAGTATATGGTAGAGTAATATACGCTGTGAATATTTAATTCGAATATGTATATTTCAAAGTGTCAGAGGTGTTCAAGAAGAATTAGATTAATGTTGTCAAGATATTATTTTTCGTGTATTTCCAACTAGGAAAAAGCCAAATACTTAAAGTAGAATGCAATGGTCACAAAGAGAGAGAAACACAAAATCATTATCACAGTGGTTCATAAAATGAACGAAAATGTTAGATAACAAGAAAAACAACTAAGCCACGAGGCGTCCAACGTCCGCCGCGAAATGAACGCGAACGCCAAACGCCACCTGCCAAGGAAAGAAACAATCCAAAACAAGATCCCATTTCAGGTGAAATGGGAGTGCCCATTTCAGGTGAGATGGGTGTGCCCATTTCAGGTGAAATGGGAGTGGCTGGTTGCCCGACTGGCGTATTTTCAACTTAGAAAAAGCCATATACTCAAAGTGGAATGCAATGGTCACAAAGAGAGAGAGACTCAAAGTCATTGCCACAATAGTTCATAAAATAAACAAAAATGGTAGATAACAAGAGAAAAAGAGAAAAACTACTTTTCAGGTCAGGTTGGCACCAGATAGCGGTCAAGAATGCTATCTGGGACAGCCAGCAAAGAGCTCAAAACCGGTTGCAGGTAGTCACTTGTTTCTAAATCACGTTTAGGAAGGAAACACTTGCGATTTTATTCGTCTATACGAATTATTGCATAGATTTCGGGAGGATGTAATCCAATGTTCATTTTCGTTCATTTTATGAACTATTGTGCTAATGACTTTGAGTTTCTCTCTCCCTCTCCCTCTCCCTCTCCCTCTCCCTCTCCCTCTCCCTCTCCCTCTCCCTCTCCCTCTCCCTCTCCCTCTCCCTCTCCCTCTCCCTCTCCCTCTCCCTCTCCCTCTCCCTCTCCCTCTCCCTCTCCCTCTCCCTCTCCCTCTCCCTCTCCCTCTCCCTCTCCCTCTCCCTCTCCCTCTCCCTCTCCCTCTCCCTCTCCCTCTCCCTCTCCCTCTCCCTCTCCCTCTCCCTCTCCCTCTCCCTCTCCCTCTCCCTCTCCCTCTCCCTCTCCCTCTCCCTCTCCCTCTCCCTCTCCCTCTCCCTCTCCCTCTCCCTCTCCCTCTCCCTCTCCCTCTCCCTCTCCCTCTCCCTCTCCCTCTCCCTCTCCCTCTCCCTCTCCCTCTCCCTCTCCCTCTCCCTCTCCCTCTCCCTCTCCCTCTCCCTCTCCCTCTCCCTCTCCCTCTCCCTCTCCCTCTCCCTCTCCCTCTCCCTCTCCCTCTTTGTATTCTTGTGTATCATTGAATTCCTCATCAATTTGCTACGGTGGAAGGTGAGATCATTTCAATATATTTGATAGAATGAAATTATGTTGTTCTAGAACAGTAATAGGATTTTTTTGATTCAGTTTAGCATTCAATCCCTTATCTCACAACGAGATTGTCAAATCACTCTCGTAATATGATAAACTATAATTTCCATAAATCTTACTAATAAAAAAGCAATATGAGTCATCATATTTCGAGATTCCATCAAGAAATACCACTACTATAATCAATTGGAGGAATGTATAAAATGCAATATGAATGATAAACATAGTATATTAAATATGAGTAGACTATGATTCAGAGTATGCAAGCCATTTCAGGTTCAGCGAATCATTTTCAATGTATAGGAATTGCTTTGTTAGTTTTCTGTGAAAAAAATTTTCATTCTGTATCGCCTACAAAATCGTTAAGTATCTTTATCATCACCGATGATGTTTAAACATGGTATCACCAGTCAAACAAATTTCACAAAATAAATTCAATTTTTAGGGAGGATGTAGAGATATATGAAGTTGAAGAACCAACAGAAACGTCGATGTCAAAATTTATAAAAAAAAATTATCTATACCGCATCATTTGGAATTTATGGCACAATTGGCAAAAATAACATCTAAAAGCAATAAGCAAATAATAGAAGAACAGATTACCAAGTCAATAACAATTTTGCATAGCTCCATTTCATTAATCCATCAGTCCTAAAGAGGTTTGCCCATTACTAAAAGTTACTCTTGATCCTAAACCATTATGGAGCTGTATGCAGAAGAAAATTTGGATATTAAATTATATACAACGGCAGTCTCCGCCCATTTATGAGAACGACTTATTCTTATAACTTTCATCTGAAAAACTAAAGTTGGACGATTGGACAATCATTCTAACATTTTGCATACGGTATAGGATAGGATGTGACTCCTAGTTCTGAACATCTTTCCATAGCAAGTACATTCTGTACCTTCCATGAAATAAGAACTTCAATTGATACGATTTTAAATCTAGAAGGTGAACAAACTATGCTTAGAAATAGTTATCACATACATAACCGCGACCGGCAAAAGTATGGAATGAATTTATTCATTTTTTTCTCAAAATATTCCTTGCAGACGTCGATTTCTTTTTCAGTTCCGCACATTATTATGTGAAATGTTCATGTTTGCCGCCATTTTAGTACAAATTGTAGAATAATATTTAGAGATTCAAATAGATTATTAAATTCTGATTTCATCAATGCACACATGGATGCCTTTCTTGGCAGTGGAAAAAATATGTTTTTATCAATGATGATTTCCCTAAATTAACTTTGTATATCGACTTTCTATTTTTGGAATTATATCAACTTGGTCAGTTTAAAGAAATAATAGAATGGTTTCACAGTAATCACTATAAGGTGCAGTTGAAGAACAATCAAACTTTACCGTTGAACTTGTACATGGAATCGACATTTCTTCTTTTTCTTAATATATTTGCAATATGAATTTATATTCAATTCCTCATCTAAAATTTCAACTTACCTTTCAATGTTTTCACAGTTTCAGTTTTATTATTATCGATCATTACATTCAATTGTAAATTATCACCCTAATAATGAACGGAGTTGAAGAAACAAATTCGACATGTTCAAGATATTTGTTACGTAACCAATTATTTTCAAGTCTACCCGTCAACACATTGTGTGTGTGTGTGTGTTTCAGTTCAATATTTTGGGAAATCCAAGTACACAACATAATAAAACAGTTTAAATTATCCCAAATGGTAAGTGAATTTGGGAATACCTGTCAAAATAAGAAACCTCCAGGGCAAAAATCAATTCTGCTTCTCGATTTACTCACTCACAAAATTGTATTATTTCGAGAACGAATATGCTGTTCCATAATAATAGAATTCATGTTCGAAAATGTAATTTGCTCTCCATTATAATTTCCATACCTGAGTCATCTGTTCTGTAGTAGTAAGTATCCTAGCCAGCGGATTGCAGCAAACTGGCAACGTCTCTAGTAAGGTAGGCCTTGAATGAGTAAGCAATGGCTTCATGTAGTGTGAATCGAAAGACCCCCAGATCCTAGCCAGAAATGCTTTTTCATTTTGCTGTCTGGGTATTTCCGATCCTGAGATGTCATTCCATTCCGTTCTCGGTGTTGAGTTGCCCTGATTGTGACCGGAATAATGTTCAATTACGTTTAAATCTATAGATCGTGAGTTGTAAAAATGGTGAAGGCACATATGGGAGATTTTTTTGAATTTTGACAGGGTGTTTCCGAAGTTCGAGCGATAAATAAAGTGGGTAATATAGAAGGCGCAAAAACTAAACTATATGCTTGTTTTGGGTGATAGTGGATTTTGTAGTTCGGGACTTTTGCAAATCACTATGTAAAGGTTAACAGCCAAACCCAAGCATTTGCTTTCAGCAAGGTGAGAATGACATTTGCAATGCTGCCGGATGTTCAATAATAGTGAAATGATGGCATATGGTATGTAGAAGCGTACATAAATTTCAATATAAAACCCATTTTATTTATCGCTCCATTTTCGGAAATACCCTGTATAGTATCCCAGGCAACCAGATGACGAATGATCACGTCACTGTGATGCCAAAATTGATGATTTTTCGTCAGAGACGTCACACACCAATTAATGACTTCACTATAACGTACTTTCTATGACGTGATAATCACGTCATCGTTTCGACGTCGAGTGAACGTCACTTAGATGGGTAAAAGAAGACGTCATGACGTTGCAGAGACGTCCTGTCGACGTCCATTTTTCCCAGACCTTCTCTAAACCATGGATATTTATATATTATCATGTGAAACAGAAGTATAACTCATGAAAGCGAATCAAAATGCAAGTTTTATTCTAATTATTAATATACCCGAAAAGTAGTAGAAAAACTTTTTTCTAAAAAACTTTGATACCGTTTATCTCGGAAACCAACAAGCTATGTTTATATAAAAATGATTGTTTAGGTATACCTATATTGGACCCGTTACTCTTATGACGTTGCAGTGACGTATCTATGACGTCTAAAAATCACGTCGGTGTGACGTACCAATTTGGTGAGCTTCGTACTTTAGGAAATTTTTCAATAATTTACTATTCAGATTTTTGTTGGGTGACAAAGAATGCATCAATATACATTATTCAACAAAGTGAAGCCAAATTCGCCAACATCCTCACCGTTGCTATCAAACTATTTTTTGTTTGCTTACATCTCGCCGACACAAACTACATAATTTTTCATACAAGTACGAGTAACTGATTGCATTCTGATGGAGATGCGTACTGAAGGATGGCGCTGCTGAAGAGGCGATTGAATGAACATGACACAGGAGAGACCCACCAAGCAGACTCAACAATGCATAATCAATATTATATAATGTCATCAGAGGCCAGTGGTGTTTATCATACCATGTTAAAGGAATCTTTTTTACGTATCATCGCCGAATTCAATCGTCATTATGACGTCAGTCGGACGTCACAGTTTGATGAGTGAATGACGTCAATACGACGTGAGTAAAATGACGTCATTGGGCTGTGGCTTATTTACGTCATTATCACGTCAATGCGACGTCAACTACTGACGTCACCTTGGTCATTCAAGTGACGTGAAAAAGACGTCACTGGAACGTCATCTGGTTGCCTGGGATAGGTACTCTTCACCATGTAAAATCACCATGCCACATTTCATCAGCAGCTTCATGAATAAAATTGGAAATAGTCCACATGAATATGGGTTGAAAAATGTTTCCTATTAGAGCTATAACTCCTGAATATTTCGAAAACACTTCAAGAAAATGGAAAAGCAACTAATTTGTTGTTCATAATTTTGATGAATAAAGTTTTATCGTCTTATTGCCTATTAATTTCCGATTTTTTTTTAATAACCTCGAAAACACTTCAAGAAAATGGAAAGCAACTAATTTGTTGTTTATAATTTTGATGAATAAAGTTTAATTTTCTTATTGCCTATTAATTTCTGATTTTTTTTTAATAACTCACAAAAAATAGCTACAAATACTTTTTCAATGATGTTATGTTAAAGGTATATACGATCATGTTTTTGATAAATGTACTAGCACAGACTACTCAATACCACTCGCTGTGAAAAATTAGAAAACTAGTATGTCTGGCATGATCGTAGTTTCACATATTGATCCTATTTCAGTTTTTCTTCACCTGGATGATTATCCCACTCGAAAATTTCAAAATTATAAAACGGAAATCTCGTTTGAAGAATTCAACAAAATGATTAATAACGATAAAAGCTCACTTGAAAGCAAAGAGCAATGCAATTGAAACAATGAACAATATTATATTTCCAAGAACTTATAATCTCCAGAAATTCAAAAAAAATCCAACAGCTACCTCCTCTCCCTATCCTCTTTAGGTACGCACGATGTTCTTCCAATATTATAGGGATTCCCTTTCGTGCGCACCAAGCAAATGAAAAAAAAATTATAGTAAGGGGAGTCATGCAAGATTATTGAACCAAGCTATGGAGATAAATGAATACATTATGCTAACAATGAAGGATCTAGAGCTAGACAACTGAACTGGTTGGTGAAAATCCAATGATTTCTGGAACGTAGGATTCACAAAATATAACAAGAGCGTTAAATATTTGTCACTACTTGGGAATCTTCAAAGCTTTAATGCAGATAAACAATAAAATTAATACATCTATAGTATTTCAAACTTTTACCTACCCCTGCATTTTCCATCGAATTGTATACCTAATCATCAAAATAAGAAATTATGTTAAAATAGAATACCCAGATTAGAAATAATAGAAATAGTTTCAATCCAAAGATATTGTTCTTGAATAGGTATTCGCAGTTGAATTGAATCAGCTATTATTGTGTACTGGGGGTCAGCTCAAAACACACCTTAAACGTTTTCGGAAACTTACTCTGGGTTGCTAACTCAAGAGAGGTCACGTGACAAGAAACTCGGATCACCAACTCGTGTTCAACGTTTACGAACGTGTCAGGTTAGGACCACAGAATAATAAATTGGATAATAAAACCACAAAATTCACACCTACCCAAATTATCTTCTCTATGCATTACTAAATCATATTATGAAGGTTGAAAATCTATATCACCGATCGACATTTTTCCCAACATATTAACTAATTATTGTTATAGTCGAGTGTTAAACAAATGTGGGCAAACTCCCGCGTTTTCGATTGACATAATAAATTTCTTACAAATTGGTAATGCGCATGCGGTGTCCTTTGCGACTCTGGCGACCCTGCTTTTGAATAGGGCCACGAAAAATCAACCGGTTCAGTGATCCAGTAAGTAAAAAAGGCCTTTTCGGAAACCAACTCGGGTTGGTATTGGTTGACTCGATCCTCAACCTGCACGTTCGCTAACCTAACCCGAGTTGTCTACCCGTGTTCGTAAACCTCAGTGTTGGCTACTCGATCATTAACTCGGGTTTGTCTAAAGTAACCCTACTGGAAAGCAGGGTTCATGAGAGTCTACAATGGCACCGCATGCGCATTACCAAATAAGATAATTTGGTTATGTTGTTTTGTTTACCTTATTTGATCAAACCATTAACATTACACTGTGATTTCATTTGTGTATTGTTCGAGCTGAAAAGAAATAATATCATGAATAAAAGGAAAAGTTCAATCTTCCAAACACTAACAGCATTAACCTTCGACAATTGTTTCGATGGTGATGATGCGGAGGAAATATCACATTTGATGTTATCTTCTTGTGTAATAAATATATACTCTCCTAAACGAAGACGTGTTTGTATTGAGAATTATGAAGATGTGATTTTACACTACTCCACTACAAGTAAAATGAACAGTTTACATAATTGTGTCACAAATACATCATAAAAAATGATTTTACAGATTTCCAGTGTCATTTTCGCTTAGAGAGAAGCACTATTCGAGACATTCTTGAGAATCCACATATTTCGCCTAGGATTTCCTCGTTCTGCATTTCTTTGGTTTTCGAATTTCAAGGTGGTGTTCTCAGTACTGTGTTTTTTTTTTCAAAAGATTTAGGTTATGTCTTGCAACTCAGGTCCGTAACCTAATACGTTCGTGAACTATATTATCTGGGTAGGTGATCCGAGTCAGATTGCAGTAATCCGTCACGTGACCTCTCTGGATGGAGTTAGCGACCCAGAGTAAGTTTCCGAAAACGCCTAATGTAACATTCAAGTTTCCGAACATAGGTAGAGGTAGGGTAGGTACCCATGTTAGGTAACCGAACGTTGAGGTTAGGGATCCGATAAACCCGAGTAAGTTTCCAAGCTTATTTACCAACACACATAAGGTGTCATGAATCATACGTCATTATTAGGAAACTCAGGAAGAAGTATAGGTATGTAATTTGGAAACTGATTGTTTAGAACTCTCAAGAATCTAGTTGCCATGGAGTGGCATGGAACAGTACCGAAAGATGACTTTATTATATCCTTATTATATGACCTTTCACTCGGAGACATGTTCAAGCTATTTCCGTAACACAACTATAATTTTGATATTTTTGTACGTTGAATGTTTGAGTTGACTACCTAATAGATTACTTTCACATTTCTAATAAGACACCATTTTATTAGGAACAAAATTCTTCATACAGTGCGTCTATAAAGTCATGAATGATATATTTATTCACATCATTATAAAATCACTGACGATGTCTTATAACCAAAACAGGTCGCCCTGTATACATTGAGTGATTCAACAAATTGACATGTTTCAGAGTAACAGCTTTAACGGCGCACTACATTATATATAGCATCGCCGAATAGTTATGTTATCTTTAATTATCTAACACCAACACATAAATAAATTTACTTACACTGCGAATACCTTGGTTAGATAAGGCCTCTGTTTCATCATCTACACCCACCCTGAAATAGGAAAAGAACGCTTGATTCATAACAGAGTGTGAATTTCTGATAATCAAATTATACAGGGTGTTCCTTGGCTTATTTTAGAACTAAACGTTTTTTTAAACATATGTTTCCGAGATGTAGGACGTTAAAGTTGAAAATATGCATAGATTCTTTTTTGTCCACCCTATATAGCTTTTTGTGACGGCAAAATTTACTATGTTATGTGACCATGTGACTGCCATAGTGCAAACATTTTAGAATGTTATTTTCCTTATCCATTTATCTAAACTAATATCTTGAATGGCGTACTCAACAATTACATCAAAATTTTTTTTCTCGAAAATGGTGCATTCTATCGAGTTTCTGGACAAAGTTATTGAATGGCCTTCCATTGTTTTGTATAAAATGCAAAAATGTTCCTTAATTGCTCACTCCTCAGTAAAAAACAAATAATAATTTCCCTCTAGCGGCGCAACTAACAATCCAATTGGCCAAATATGTTATCACTATTTTATGTGTCCTCAGGATCTCACCAATTCATTTCCAATATTTTCGATTTTTGTTCAGCAGTTGACTAGTAATTGATCGAAATCATTATTTTTCAGGACATGTATTCAAAGGATTTTCAGTGCAACCTTTCACTTTTCTATAGATACTTCCACGGGAAATGTTCCTCAGAAATATCTGCTATAATTCCATCACTATAGCAATACCAGTCAGACGAACTCGACAGGCCCAGTCGGCACATCCCCTTCGTCGTAAACCTTGAAAAATGTCGAACACCACTCTACTAAAACTCGTTCGTCTATTGAACGGCGAAGTTTTGGATATTTTTGCCAATGGAAGTATTCCCAAGAACTTATAATAACCTCCAAAAGTTCAAGAAACATTCCAACTCCTCTCCCCAACAGGTAAAAGAACAAATGACTAATGCTCAAGTGTACAGTGCATCCCATTCTGGTTGAGACTGCAAGGTTTCTCGGTTGTTATTGAAGATATAGTCTTGAGGTATTCACGTTCCTGTATCAAGATAGCCAAATCAAATTTTGCATAACTGTTTCCGTTTATATGAGATACAGGGCGATTTTGAAAACTTTACTTCTTGGACCCCTTGTATATCTACGTAGTTATAAGGAATAATGTTGCGATAAAAACTATGTCTGACAGAGACTTTTGCGCAGAATCCAGTGGCGTACTCAACTTTTTTTTTTTCGGTGTTCAGTTTTGGAGATACGACACAAACTTATATATTTTTTGATGGAACACCCTATATAATATTATTTTGTTGAATTTTCCATTTTTTTATGTGTATCATACTTTATACATATGGTTTCCAGAAATGCTGAAAAACACTAAAACATTAAATTAACATGAATTTCTGCTAGTGGGCCATGGATTTTACAAGTTCAACTTGAAGGATTATTCAGCAGAGAAAAACTTCCGGAGATGACTAAGAGTCCACTTTGAACATGGACTATTTCCGTCACTTTGAAGGATTATTATTATGTGTGATTCATTATTATATTATAATGAAGAGATACTTCTTTTATTTCTCATATCTTCATCTTAATTATTCATTCATCAACTCTTCAGGAGTACATTCTTTATGTTATTTTTTTTTCATTTTTTCTCCCTCTTTATATTATTGAATCATTATAAGAAAAATATATATACCGATCTGAATATATGTATAGATTTGTCTGAGTTACACAGACTAGCTTAGGCTAAAGTGTACTTGGGCATGGCATCATGTATAATACCCTTCAACATCTTTCTTTTAGGATCAAGTATTCTTGATATTTATTCGCAATAATTGTATATCTGAGATACTTTATGTAGAAATGAGAATAAATATTATTATTATTATTATTATTATATGTGTTATGACTTATGTATTATTATTCATTCGTTGTATTTAGGTATCTACGTTCTATGAATCGCGTGACTGAATCGGTGTTATTATCATCTTTTTTTGCCTTATCTCTTCATAAAATCAGCACAAATTCTTCAAATAATACTTTATTCATATAAAAAATCCACAGCCCACGTGTATCAAAATTTCATAATAATTCAATGTTTTAGTGTTTTTTTGGCATTTCTGGAGATCCTATGTATAAAGTATCATAGATCATTGTGAGGGGAAAAAATTACGAAATCTATGAAATTATGAAGGGTTTTTTGTTAAAAAATATATGAGTTTGTGTCGTAACTCCAAAACCAAACCCCGAAAAAACATTTCGAGTACGCCACTGGATTCTGCACAAAATTATCTGTTGGACATAGGTCTCAACGCAACATTATTCCTTAAACTTTGAAGATATAGAAGGGGTCCAAAAAGTATGAATAATATCCCTGTATCTCCTCATAAACGGTAAAAGATGCGAAATTTGATTCGGCCATCATAAGTTTAAGAAAAAAAGCCAAGACGTGAAAACCGCAAGACTCTATCTTCAATAACAACCGAGATAGCCTGCCAGTCTTAACCAAAATGGGATGCACTGAACAAAACTGAGATATAAAAAGGTGGTCATTCAAACCTACTTGAAATGAATATCAACATCAAACTAACTTACGGGATCTGAAACCAGTTCAGCAAATTCATCGCAGCTCCTCCTTGTATGATTACAGTGATTATCACAATCAATGAAGTTGTGGTCAACATTGCTTGACGAGCCTCTGACAGAGTATTACGTATTGCTAAGGCAAATGACATCGCTCCCCTCAAGCCTAGAAAGTACACAATTCGTAATGAAGAAGTGAGATGAAAAATTTAACTTCACATAATTACCTGCAAAAAATAGCATATGCTGAAAATTGAGTGGAATTTTCGGTTTTCTGCCCAGATTGAGTATGAATGACAAGGGATAGATGTTCGCTGCTCGACCTATGGCTGCACATAACTGATGATTTGTTAAAAAAAATATCACACAAATAATGTTTCCAGTTATATTATAGGAACTACTATGAAACCATGTGTTTCACAACAAAAAATATCAAAGAAAAAGATAAAAAAGTCGGTCGACCACAAACATTATAATATATCTTTGTGGTCGACCGACTTTGGGTTTTTTGCCTTTTTCTTTGAAAACTTCTGGACCACTGAGAAAAATGGATGATTTCCACGACTTACAAAAAATATTGTTCTTTCATCAAAAACCATCTTGTAAAACCAACAATGAAAAGAACCGAAGAAATAAATGAATTTTTGACAAAGTAAAATTGTTTGGGAGTTATTTAATTTCATATATTGCATGGAATTTTTATAAACAATTGATCAGAGGTTTGATCTCGGGGGTTCAGAAGTGGAAATGGAAGTGTTCAAGTCTCCAGATGCACTGTTTCTTACGACTGATTTATCATTGTGTCATGATTATCTCATACAACGCCCCATTTCATTCATCGGTCCAATTTCGGACCACTCTGTATACAATATGCCAGTCTATATTCATTATCCAGTGTGATCATTATAAGAATACGAATTAGGCAGTGTGTTGTTCCCACCAAATGAGGTTCAAATAATCTTGAAGTGAAATAAAATACTTTTTACTTTTAGTAGCAATCCGCCGCCCAGAAAGTTAACCTGTATATCTTGGCATATATAGTCTTTCCGAAGTCATTTGGAGCAGCTTCAGACGAAATATCGAAGGCAGTCAAGCCCCCTCAACCCGCTATCATTGCACACTGGACTGGCACTTGGCTGTTACAGGTGTCTCTGACTAACTATCGCCTCCGATTTATTGTCGAATGATGTTTGCACATTTTGAAATATTCGCACTGCCAACATTTTGTGTTTAAAAAGGATACAAATCCAGCTAAAATAAAAAGAGGGTCGAAATGATGCTTGGGAAAAGTGAACATCGAAACACCAATATAGGAAAATATGAAGTTTTCTGCCAAGAAATTAAGTAGCTCAAACATCTGTTTGGTTCTATGCCTCGAGTCTTCAGAGAGATTGTTGTAAGTATAGTGAGCTTGGCAAATACCACAGAATAGAACGGACACCACACCTAAAACAATCTCAAGATAATGTAACATATAGGAATCAGTAGGTACCTGAATTGACTAAATTTCGATAATAAAATATATGATTCATCCTTCCATGAATTCCTCAATAAAACAGATAAGTGCATGTTATTTGACTATTTTTTCACCTCCAGGCAGGCATCAAACCAAAGTTTATTATGCCACAGGCTTTTCAATTTATGGAAGCAAGTGTTTTGTTTATTTCCATATTATTATAGACCTGTTCATACTCAAATACTCTATATTGTATATTTTTTAGACGTTATAATATACCACAGTGTGAATTCAATCAAATTCTTGGATTGGACAATGAGTAAAATTAACGATAAACCTGATTTATCAATGTTAATATTTCATAAGCCTTCCCACAGTGCTATCACTATTCATGATGAATCAACTCACCATTATCAACATGAAATAGCAGCAGGTAATATCGTTGGGAAGGTTTATTGAAAATAATATAGACATAACTTTTAGATTAGAAAAATCAGGAGTATACAAATTGAACTGTGGATCTGGTCCTAAGGTATATATTGGTCTGACAACATTAACGAACATCATAGTGTTTTGAGAAGAAAACAATGTATTACAAGAAAACAATTAGAAATCAACAAGCCAAAAATTCGGATTTAATTTATTTTTTTTAATAATTTTTTATTTGCACAACTACCTATTGAGAATTCCATTAATTTTCTAAACGTATCCATATCTCCTTTTGCAGAATTCTTGTTTCTGTAGGGAGAACGTGGCCAATGACCTGGATGTGAAGAGAACACATCAAAATAATATGGGTTTTTTATTAATCGAAATTTCGGAAAAAAAGCATCCCCAGAGAGGAGGCGGGACAATGGCTTTCATTAGTATTTTTTTTCAACTATTGGATACAATTCGATGATATTTTGTGGACCAACTGATCTTTTTGTATTCGAAAGAGTGAAGCAGAACAACTCCGAAGTTAATGCTGGGTGGGGGTGGAATTAATATTGCAGTGACTTCTTCGTATGCAATTTTTTCAACGATTCGGCTTCATTATATGAAACTCACGTGGAACGCTCACATGAAAAAGGTTCTTCACAAAGCTAGATTATCCTTATGGACATGTCGAAGGACTTGCGGAAAATCTTGTGACTTAGGGCCCAAACAAATCCACTGTGAAAGCACTTAGCTCAAACCGATCAACGTTTAGACTGGTTACCAAATCATTATCTATTCCTAAATCCATGCAAAACCTCATGCATGTGATTTCAAAAACGCCAAAATGACAGTTAGCATAAGCTAGATATTCAAGTCAATGATAAGGTTATAGAAGCATCAATCTGTGTGAAATTTTTAGGGCACACTTTGGACAGTAACTTGAAGTTCACAACACATTGGGATGATATCATGAAAAATGTGAAAACAAAATGCTACCAAATTTGGGTTTTTGAACAAAGAGGCACTATTAATATTTTACCATGGTCAAATTCAGCCTGTATTAATTTACGGCATTTTGATTTGGGGTAGCTCATCTTCTATGAAGTATGTTTTCATAACTCAGAAAAGGATAGTCAGATGCATTGCCAGTGCTTCTAGGAAAACTTCCTGTCGAGGTTAATTCAGAGAATATAATATTCTGTCAATTTATGGTTTTTACATTCTGGAATTATTAGTGTATATATATATATATATATATATATAGATAAAAATATTGGTCGATCTGCAAAAAACTAAACCGAACATAATTATGAAACTAGAATAAAGAAACATCTTCACTAGCCCAAAAATCGTTTGTCATTTTGTCAAAAATATTAGCAAATCATCGGTCTTAGGCTATATAATAAATTACCTGAAGAGCAAAAATTGTTGAGTGAATACAAACAATTCAAGAGTTCATTGATTATTTCAGATAAGTCTTGTTCAATGTCAATGTATGGATTGTAACTCTCCGCGATTGAAAAACTCAATAAGTTATTTCTGGTCTGGATTCCTGGTCACTCTGCTATGGAAGGTAACGAAACGGCAGATTCCCTTGCTAGCGAGGGCGCCGCAAGTAGTTTCATTATACAGTGACGCTATTAGAGAATTTGAACGTCATTTTGACGTAATTTCGACGTCAGCCCGCCCTCTCAGTTTGGTGAGTGAATGGCGTCAATAAACGTGAGTAATATGACGTCATTGGGCTGTGACTTATTCACGTCATTTATCACGTCATACGACGGCAACTCCTGACGTCACCTTGGTCACTCAACTGACGTGAAAAGACGTCACTGAAACGTCATCTGGTTGCCTGGGATGGATCTACTCGGTGAAGTATGAATTGGTGTAACCAACAATAGACCCTTACGGGTCGAATTGGAGACCCACTCACTCGTAACCTAACCTAACCCCTTTATTCCCTAACAGTAGAATGAATTCATAAAGTTGAAGCCAGCTGTTATTTAAGCTAATCAAGATTGCAACTCTAATCGCCTAAGTAATCCAGTAAAAAGAACAATTGATGTACTCACCAGTAAGTTCTGAAGCTTCTGCAATCAAGAAAGTACTATATGACATCAAAACAAATAAAGCTGATTCCAGGAGTGGAAAGTCTTTAACTCTCGTAAATTTAGTCATGTAGCTCTTATTAAGGAAATATCATAAGAATATATTGAACATTCCTACCACAACCAAAAAACATATTCACCAAATTTCAGATCAGAATTTATTTACAAGTTTGCACGGAATTTTTGAGAATCGCTGATCAGAGGTTGACAGTGAAACCCGAGAGTTTGCTTTCGGCAAGGCCAGAACCACCAGAAGTATCGATGACTTCTACAATGATAACGGACGTTCAATAATAGTTCAAAGATGTGGTGTTATGAAAACGCACATTTTCAATAGAAAATCCAACAATTTTTTCCTCGTGGTTTATCATTTGTCATTATCTCTCATACAACACCTAAATTTATTTATCGCTCCAATTTCTTAAACATCCTGTATTCATAAAAAAGACGTGTGAAACGAGGTCGTTTCGCACGGGTAACTGAGAATAGTATATTGTTTAACGAGCACGGAATGATAGCGATTTCCCACGGGAATGAAGTTTGCAGAATGAGCCGTAGGCGATCGAATGCTGCAATCGAGTGGGAAATTAGCATTCTGTGCGAGTTATACACTATAATTTTTCTCCTGCTCCTCCTCTAATTTAAAAAAAAATTGTGATATCAGATACGGAAATAAAATTGATGACACAAAGTACCTCATTGATGTATCGAACACATTTAAACAAGAACAATTTTGTGTTATAGCAGTAGAAAAAGTATATTAGTGAATATCTTTGTATTTTGCGTTCAAAATGACATGCACCCATATGAAACAATATAACATATCACACTGATACTAAAGACATCGTCTAGCGTTGGTCTCCGAACAGTCCGAATAACCATCACCTAAATTCTAACCTACACTTTTTGAAGTTTCCAAAAAAAAACGCCCAACTAAAAGATACTGTTAAATACCCTTCCAGCCACAATATTCTATTCAAGGTGTCCCAGAATGACGTTCGTATACTTCGGGGGGTCATTTTGCAGATGAAAATAAGAAAAAAATGTTTGAAGGTAGGTCCTTAAATGCGGTTTTCCTCAATTATCTTTGTTATCATTGATCCTAGAATAACGAAATTTGGTACCTACTTAAAGCTACTCTTACATTACAGCCTTTTCATAGAAATTGCTGGCAACTGAATTGCTGGCCTTTGTTAAACAATAATTGCGCATGCGTTTCGGCCTATTTTCACTGCAACTTTCAGGCTTGAAATATATAGAAATGTTTCTAATTTTGAAGGTCATTCACGCGCATTTTTAGTGATTTTAGATTTTGACAACTTAATTATCGTGTTGGTGGTTCTGTATAATGGTCGACTATGAAGTAGAAGAAGAAGAAGAATCATTAACATTAAATGTAGGCTCATCCATTCTCAGATAGTTTTTAAAAGCTTTCAAGTCATTACACTCTTTGAATTCATTAGTTATTCTTAAGTTTCCCATTGTTTTATTTAACCATGGTTTGTTCCAACAGGATCTATTCCTCCTGTTTTCCTTGCGCCTTTTAATGTAAGTGGCAAGAGAAGCAGTTGTAGTAATTGCCATGAGTGAAACTTGTATTTTTCCTTTATCCATTTTCAAAATGAATTTCCACCTAATTTCTCTGAAAAAGTCTTGGAAAATGTCGCAAATGTAAGAAGACTAGTTTCTCTAGTTTCTAATTTTGCTTGCAATTTATATTGCTTGCAATAAAGTTGCTGCAAAAAGGCTGTAATGTAAGAGTAGCTTAAGAGTGATTGGATCTTACAAATCGTTTCGTGGTTCGGAAAACATGATTAAATATACAGGAAGATGCAACTCGTGACTGATGCTATGAAAATGTCCCAAGTTTTATTGTTTCAACACACTTTTAATATTTTATTCTCTGCTTCTTTTTAGTTTGGATAACTATAAAAGCGTGTTTCTTTAGTTTTTTCAACTACTATTTATTCTTCACCATTGGTACACATGGGATGTGCAACTGATCCACACTCTACCCAAAACAGATGTGTAAGCGTGCATAGTTTTCACTGTTTCCAAGTGTGACAATTTATGGTGGGAGTGATTCTAGAAGAAATGACGTAGAACAAGGTATTTCGAAAAATCCACTGCCAAAAATTTTGAAAACAAAAAACTACGGAATACCCGTAGTGGTGCCAAGTTATTATTCACTGATGCTTACTTTGCATCAGCTGTAGTTTACTGCATGAAATCAATTCCAACGCTAAACGGTGGAAAGTACCTCTGTAATTTGGTATACTTTTCACCATAGTTTAAAAATGACAACTTGATCAATCAAATCAATTATGTATTCAGGACTATTACAGCGCAATGTCAATGATCAATTAATCAAATGTATAGGACTGATGTGTTTCAATTATTATTATTTTCACGATCTTCATTCTTTCCTCATTCAATTTATTACGTATGTGATTGTGTTTATTTACTATCGTGACAATTTTATTACATATTTTTTATTTATTTGTTCATACTATTGCTTCCCAATATTTTATGAATGTATTATATATTTACAAATAAAATAATATTACTGATCCACGCGCATGTTAGCCTTTAGTGGATCTTATATGTGATTATTTACTTGTATTTTTCAATATATCACTGAAAATGTTAGTATTGATGGATATGGTAAATAGTCATTTTGTGTGAGGGAAACACAGAGTTACACAAAATGCGTTTCCTAATGTGTTAAGTACACTATTTTTTTCAATTTAGTAGTAGTAGTTGACATGGTCACAAATCACGAAGAAATTCACGAAATAAACTCGTTTGATATCTTCATTAGTGTAAGATGGCTGATTCAAGTTCAGATTTACCAAATAATATCGAGGAAGCAGCACAAAATGCACTCTTCGCCAATCTATATTTTTATTTCATAACTGGTGTTGAAATGAACATTTCATCACCATGAAAAAACTGTTTTATTAAAAGGATATCAATGCTGTAACACATCCCATCACAGCTCCTATGAGTAAAGACAACATGAAGATTCCGAAAAAATCTCCGGCTGCTTTAAAAAATGCCTTCGTCTCAAAGCCACCCGTACCAGATTGATAGCGATTCTCATAGTTCTGTATGGATCTGAAATATAAAATTATGTTGTTCATCTATAATTACGATTCTAAGGAATTTCAACACAAAAAAGCAAGTTTACAAATACAATGAACAAAGTCTACAGTACAGAATCGAACTAAATCAGCCAAGCATTTTTGTTTCACTAAACATTCGACAGTTCTTGATATGACCTTGACACAAAGGTATCATTTAGTGCCATAGTTCAACGTTTAACCAAGATGTCAATTCTTAATTGAGAATAATGGAAGAAAATTTGGTGGCTGCTTGAATTGGAAGACAATTGAGAGTATGTTGAATAGGTATTCCAGCATTCCACGTTATATACACCGGCTGGACTTTCGAACTATCGAATTTAGATTACGTTCTAATTTTCAATATCGATAGTCTAACCGCTATTGTAGAAATTAATGTCTATGATATATTAGAATGCACTTTCTAACAAAATTAACACCACCAGAAATTGACTAAAAGTACGATTTTTTTTATTCCGATTTTGATGATTTTTGTCTGCGCGCTATTGCAGTTTGCTGTTGTTACTGGTAGTGCTCTGATTTTTTTTGAAAAAAAAAACACCGAATTATTCTTACATCCAGTATTCAAATGGAACTGAATTTCACAAATTGGGTACATTGATCGTTACATTCCTGAAGCGACCACTTCTTAGCAAAATTCATAAGAATCAGACCAGGAGAAAAATACAAATAAATAACATACCGGGTAACACAGGGTATCGGTACAGTTATATAAGCAACAATTTCGAATTTGATCACATTACAATTGTTTTTTCATTTCACCTCGGGGATAAATGAGAATTGGTCAAGGCTATTCAGAATGAGTCGCACATCACCGAAAAATATTTTTTTTTTCTGAAACATTATTTTTTGAGTCACTTATCGATAAATCAATACAATCAAATTATATTTTGATCAAAAAATTAGTTTTTTCAAATGGAACCCCTATGGACCACCTACATGTCTCTCTAGAACTTACAATTAGGAAAAAAAATACATATCATTTTTGTATTTTGGTGCAGTAACAAGTTGTATACATTCAACAAGTAACAACTAGTTCACGAATTTCCTTATTGTAGTTCGAATAATTCTTTTTTTTTTTTTTTCGAAAAAATGACATCCGACATAATGATTGTACTTGTTTTGACGTGTTGCACTTGAATATGTAAAAATATACAGGGTGTTCCATTTGAAAAAACAAAGTTGTAATGTGATCAAATCCAAAATGGTTGCTTATATAAGTACAGAAGTTATAGGGGTGGCCCGATACCCTGTGTCACCCAGTATAGTGAATCCAACCAAGTGTTAAAAAATGAATGGACTTCAATATATCTACATAGATTGATGGCAAAACAAATGAATGATAAATTGATATGATCATTCTAAGAAACAAAAATTGTTTCAGCAGCAACTTGACTGATTCATGATAGTAGTATAATATTCTGGTGACTTGACACCAATACTAAGTTATTTTAAATTCGAATCACAGCCAAATTTTCCACCATAGACTATACATTATTATATGACCGAATGACTTTTATTCGCTATAGGCATAGATGGATATGCAGGGTTGATCCTCAATGATATGCAAATATCCAAAGGAGTAATGGAAAAATAATGAGTTTTTTTGTATGGACTCGGCAGTCAAAAATCCATATTGACAAAAAAACATCACTAACGATAAGATTTCCACAAAATTTTTAATCACCCGATATGTTTCGCAAGTGAAATATTCGCAATAAATTAACCTTACATTAAATTGCCTTTTTTATACAGGGTGTCCCATAAGTCATGGATCAAAAGAGGTGGGGTGGTAGGGGGGGGGTCATTTCTAATCAAACTAACCGTATATATGGTTATACAATTGTTGATGGTAGAAAAGTTATAGACACCCTGTATGAAACGGCACAACGCAGGAAGAATTTTAAAAGAGTAATTATCTTTGAAACTGAATGACAATTCAAAAATGATTTTCACGTGAGAAATAAACATTTATCGAATATCACTTAAATATCTCAAGCGATTTAGCAATTGATTCATCTTTTTTTCATCAACTTCAGCACTTCACATGCGAACATGATTACAAAAGGAACACTCGGAAAATAATGATGGATGAATACGATTTTCACAGTGCCAAAAGTTCCATTTTCAATTATCATGAATATTAGGATGCTGAATATACAAGGTGATCTTATTCGAATTTCCTATATTCGCACCCCTGGAAATCAAGCAGTCGTCAATAAGCAACTTTACAGGGTCTCAATAAATGTTACATTACATTAATTAAATAGATTGCACCGCACCAAAAAAAAGCCATAAAACAAGCCTAAAAGCTACCAACGAATCGACAATAATGCCAGATTTTCGGCCAATTTTTGCATTCAGCAGCAATATTTTCGCCTGAGCAGTCACGATGATCCACTACGTTACTAATTTTTCACTCAGTAGGACCACCGAATTAACCATCTTATTACCATAAATTTCGATACACATTTCGTACAACTGTTGTTCCTGTTGAATCAATCAAATTCTTGGGAATAACATCAATTAGATCCAAAGCTCATTTGGGAATCACATATGAATAATGCAGTTGGTACGTTGAGTATGTTTCATCTTTATGTGATAAGGAATCTTGGGTAAACTGTATCAGTTCACATACTAAAGCCTCTTTGTTATGGACTAGTGCAGTCAACCCTTCATTAGGGCTTATAGGTCAGTTATTGGGAATTTTTGCCGCAAGTTTTGAAACTTTGTTGGTTTATAGGATTGGGGATCTAGAACTGAAATTCACAAAATGCACATTCCGAGACATGCCGCCGGCGCTGTCATCTTGCCAAGATGGCGTCCAAAAACGGTTTTATGCAAATATCTCCGAAACTGTGCCTTTCCGATATAAAATTGAAGAAGAAAAAATGTCCTACAAGAAATTTTATTAGTATATTTTTGCTATAGTGAGCTGTTTAGGCTCAACAGCTGATTGAATGACAACATATTCTGTTAATCTCTATAAACTGCCCTCAACTATCTCCATATTATCTTTCATGATAAAATGGGCTAGTCAATTGGTTTCTAGTTATATTTATAGCTTGCCGATTGGAGTAAATTTCCTATTAAAATATGTTCCTAGTATATTTTCGCTAAAGTAAACCGTTAAGGCACAAATGCTTTCGCCAAATTAAAAATTTTGCGAATTTCGGAAATAATATGTGTATTAGGGGTTCCCAAATCTAATATTTTAGGACTCCATAAATATTCATCACGAAACATATTTCATCCAATTAAACGATTAATTCATTAATAAATCCATGTTGATAATTTATAATCAATTAATTTCGGTTCAAAATGCTGTTCTTGTTTCCACACCACCCAAGAGAAGTAAAGTACACGGCGCATTTTTTTCGTGGTTTCCCCTGTACGCCCAATCCTCTTAGGTACTGAAATTATTTTTGACAGAGGCCAGACGGACCTGGGTCGTTGATTTCCATATCTTCAACGGGGAAAATGGATTCTCCTTCTGCAGTCGATGAAGTATCATCAAGCAGCGAAAGGAGGTCTTCTTCATCGGATTCGTCTAGTGCTTGGCTGGAAATTTTTCCATTGTAGACACCAAAAATCATTGAACATCTCAGTCCTGCTTTCCTGCATCCGCAGGCTCTACCACAAGCCGCCTTGTACTTACAAGATAAAAAAGAATGTAGTGCTTTGGAAGCAGGATCTTTTGAAGTAGTTAAAAGCGGCAATAGTTCAAGTATAAGTGAATATTGTATGTAGGTAATGTGCCTAATATGGCCTATGGCAAAACAAATTTCAGCAGTCCAAAAAATATCGTGAAAAAAGCTCTGGTGATGAAAATGTATGGAACTTCTAGAATATTATTTATTTCCAAAGACGCATGTAGTGGTAATAAATAATATACGTATGCCTCCACCGCGGGAAACATATTTGGAGCTAGGACACTTTGACGATACTCGGAGGTACGACCAGCCGACCAGGAAGTCATTGTGGTGCTCTTCGCGTTTGGTGTGTCGTGTGTTGAAAATAGTTTATTCGGGATTCAGATTTAGCAGAAAAAATAAATATAGTCATGGCGAGCGTAAGAGATGGTTCATTAAAAACAAAAAATTAAGTTGACGAACTAGTTACTAGAGCAACATCTACCCTGGCCGACCCAGGTTCTGAGGGCACGAGCCGTCACTGCTAATAAGAGATATTAGGCAGAAGGTCCGTAGTGTGCAGTACTTGCAGTCTCGTATCCAAAGAGGAGTAAAGGGAGTAATTACGTCCCCCAAGGCTCTTCGAAATCACCATTCCTGTTATTCTATAAGTCTATTGGAAATTTACTTTACTTTATGAATTAATTATTTCTCCGGCAACCATTACCCTGGATTCGCCACTGCATTAATTCATATACCTCAAGAGAGGAGCAGATGGAAAAAATATTATTGAAATACCTCAAAGAATCAAGTCCAATCAATTCTTCATTTTAATTTCTCACAGATGATTGGTTGATAAGAGAAAAAATGGCCATATACACAATGACCCAGTGGCGTATTCAAGGAGGTAATTAATAATTATCCTTCCCCCTCCAACCTTGTCGAAATATTGATATTTCATACGTTTGTTGCAAAATGTATTCGTATTTTATTTATTCATTATCCCCTCCCCCTCTACCAATACGAATACCCTGGATTCGCCATTCAGTAGGTACTTGTATACCTTGTATAAGTATTGATTATTCTCCTATTCAAACCAAAATCTAATGCATTTAAGATAATATAACCTATAATCTATAATATGTCACTGTCTTTTTTTGTAAACTGACTACTCTGATAGGATAGGACTGTGCATTGTGTATCTTTGTTATGTGCAATGTAAAATCCTGAAATAAAATTCTTTTCTCTGTGGAACAACTTTTGAAGAATTTTCATGCGTTAAGTGGTGTGTGAAAATCAAAACACATTTTATCAACAGCTGCTTGATTTACAGTGATGCCAAAATGGAAAATTCAGATTGGACCACCCTTCCTTTCCATCAATGCTATTTTCGTTTTACTCATTCGAGATCGCTAGAGTCAAAACGGTGAAAAATACATACTTACCCACTGAGGACAATAGCGACAGCATCATTGAGTACACTTTCACCAAACACTAAAGCATACAGGTTAACATCTACGTTCAGGTCGTTAAAGATAGCAAGGATTGTCAGTGGGTCAGTAGAGGATATTAGGGCTCCGAAATACAGAGTGTCCAAAAATGTGAAACTACTTGCTAATCTTGCAGGCATCAACTGGACGCAGCCATACATTAACGCTCCAACCACAAATGAGGATACTGTCGTGCCTATTATTGCGAAGGTTAGTATTGCGCCCAAGTTACGAAAGAAATATTTCTGGAATATTAACAAATGGTGTTAGAAACAGACAGTGGATCAACATTACTGTGTTCTAGTTTTACGGGAAAATAAATCAAAGTTGAACATTTCACACACGTTAATAATATTGGAATTATTTAAAATGACAGTCATCATCATAATCATCATTATTCTATAGAGTTTGTAGAAATCTTTCCTTATGATGCAGAAAAACTGTGTACAATACAATTATATTTGTATGTCAATGTTGATCGGCTGCAATTACTTCAAAACAAAGTAATGAGAGTTATGCAACAGATATACTCCCATAATATCAATGTTAGAAACTCTTAACTTCTTGAATGTTCGTCAACTTATTACTGAGTCATACTCGATGTTATTATATAAGATTGTAAATAAGCAAGCTCCTGTATATCTGAGAGATTATCTCATTGAAATATCTGAGTTGGTAGATTATAATTTGAGATATACTGATCATTACCAAATACAAAGGTGTAATACTAGTGCTATGGAGAAAACACTCTTTATCGAAGGCTTGAAAGAGTATATAATAACTTACAATGATAGTAAAAACATCACCAATAATGATATAGTATTCAAAACTAGATTGAGGAAAATGCACTTGAATGTTTGATAACATTGTTTATGTTCTTAAAATAATGTCAATTGTTAATTATATATAATGTAATAGCTATTGTGCTAAATGAACATCTATCTATCTATCTAGCTATTCAACCACAAGATTTTGAGAATTTCAGTTGTTGTCTTGAACTAGGGGGTGAAACAGCACCAAAACCACTCAAGGAGTGGGTTTCAGAAAAGAGCCGACAGATGCAAAATACGCCAAACAAAATTCTTCAATTTGTTTATTAACCTAAGAGGGTCAAATAACCACGTGGTAGAAGCGTTACTATTCTAATCGCGATGGCTTGCCGGTCGTCGGTTCAAATCTAGTACTGCGGATTTTTTTCTGATGGCCCAACTAAGTGTTTAGGATCACACGTTAGAAGGTAAGGCCCCCGTCATTGCTTGCTTGCACAAGTCTTTTGAAGACTTCTGAGGGTTACTTGTAAAGGGGCAACCGAATGACGGATAGAACAGTTTTAGAACAATTTTTAGATTGTGAATGAAATAATGGTGTGTACGTTTGCCACATAAGACGTAATGAGGGACTTCGCTTCAAATTGCCAACCTAAAAACCTCTACCACTGTAGTATCAATATTATGGAAGTTTGTACTCAAATAGCTTTATTTTGGTGAAATCTGATTTTAGGAGTCTACTCAGCTTTCTAATGAAAGTTATTCAGAAGAAAAATAAGTCCTTCTGAACTTTACATCTGACTGGTTGAAAATCATGTTGGTGCATCTGCGGTACTTCAATACTGAAATGTCAATACTTTCAATAATGTCAGTAGTGTCACGAGTAAAAAATGGTTTATCAATCAATCACTAAATCAGTAAGTTCTGACACAGTAATGACAATATCTGTCGTTTGTAAAACAATTGTGATACAATGGTTGTCGAAGTAACTAATAATCATGGCTTTCTCATCAATCATCGCTTTTTCGAGAATCAAGAAACATTCACTATAAATCGGTATAACTCAGAAGTGAGTAAAATAAATAAGTTCAAGTAAATAACAAAAAAGTTCATGAATAAGAGGCTTATAAATTATCTAGAAGAAGGAGGATATATTAATAAAAGGCAATATGGATATATAAAGTTGCATTCAACTACTCAAGCTGTAACAGACATTATACATACAGTAGCAAAAAATAAAGACTTGGTTATAGAAACTAGAGCTATGTTATGCGACCTGTCGAAAGCTTTCGATAGTGTATGCCATGACATGCTGCTAAAGAAGTTGGAAAAATATGGGGTAAGAGATCCAGCAATAAACTTGTTAAAATCATCCTTAACTGGTGGAAGGCAATATATTGTTCACAATAATATTACATCTGATATACAGTTAATCAAACATGGTGTTCCCCAAGGTTCGGTGTTGGGTCCGCTGCTATTCATTTTATACATAAATGATCTACCATTATATGTGGATATAGCGGATACTTTTCTCTACGCAGATGACGCAACATTTATAATTGAAGCAAGTAATACTGGTAGGTTTGAAGAGCTATCAAACAAAACACAAGAAAAATATGAACAATACCTCAATGCTACTGTATTATGTCTGAATAAAGACAAGACTAAAATTATAGATTTTAACAAAAGAACAAAGAATGAGAACGAGAATAGTGTGAGTTTACTGGGTTTTCATATAGACAGCAATCTCAGCTAGAAAATACAAATTACAGAAATACATAAGAAACTGCCCAAAGGTCGTTTTGCTCTGAAGAGATTGAGAAGCGTGGTAAGCAAAGATGATCTTCGAATTGCATATTTTGGTCTGATACAAAGTCATTCACAATATGGGAAATTATTATGGGGCTCGGCATCAGCAGCACATGATGTTTTTATATCTCAGAAGAAAATAATCAGAGAGATGGTTAGAGCTAATGTTAAAGATCATGCAAAACCTATTTTAATCGCTTTTAGAGATTCTCACAGTACCATGTTTATATATACTGGAAGCTATCTTATATGTACACAAAAATAAAGAGAAATATAGTACAGGGGCACAGATACATTATTAAATAATACTAAGAGCAAAGAGGCCACCAGAACAGCTAAAATGAAATTAGAAAATACGGAAAAACAAACCGAGGTATTTTACTGCAAAATTTACAATACGCTTCCAAAAGAATTTAAAAAAAGTATCCAATAAAAAAAATGAATTTGTAGTGAAGCAGTATATTTTAAGCCAAGCATTTTACTCAATAAATGAGGTTGTTGATGCAGATATTGGCGTTTTAAGTGAAAAACCCTGTATAACAGAACATATTTGACACATTTTGACAAAGCGCAATTAATCAATGTAAATTTCATCTTCATCAACCGCGGTTCTCGTGATCTTCTGGCAAATAGAATCATGACTTTTAACATATTTTTGATGATAGTGGTGTGACGTACCAATTTGGTGACATCATGGTATCAACATGACTTCGACTATATGAAAACGTTACGCTCTTATAAAGTTGCAGTGACGTATCGGTGACGTCGTGATAACGAGAAATTGTCAAATATTTGCTATTTGGTTTCCTGTTGACGAGGATTACATAATATATTGTTATACATTTTTAAACAAAGTAAATATTAATTAGCAAACATTCGCTATATCGCTATCAAACGTTTTTCGGTCTGCTCACATCTCGCCGACCTTCACTACATAATGTATTACCAAATTTTGACGTCCTTCCGACGTCACCAATAGGCTAGTGACTAACGTCACTAAAGGTGAATAATATGACATCAATGGGCTGTGACTTATTCACGTCATATGATGTCCACTCATGACGTCAACTTGGTCATTCAACTAACATAAAAAAGAAGTCAATGAAACGTCATTCGGTTGCCTGAAATCTCCCAATGTCCTACCACTTGGTATCCCAGCTTTCTATTCCCTAACCAATGATCCGGGGCCACCACAGCTTGATTAATGCGTGCAATAGTTCGAAACTTTTTGAGTGAGACGATGAGTAAAAATATCTGTCTCAGGACAATTCAAATTACAAAATTAGTCAACTCATGCATGAATGAATTAATGATGTGATCGAATTCCTATGGAAGATGGTTGATTGATGACCAGGTACCTATAAATTTTTCATGACTAATACTCCAGGAATCCATAGGACTGGATGAATTACTTCAATAATTTCTTTCCATGAACATATATGCTCTAAAACGGTTCGTTATTGAATATTAAATATTTCAATACTCACTGTTGATAGATATAACTTCAAGATTTTGTAAGTACATTAAGGTCATCAATATGCATGTGCATAACATTTCGATCGGCATACAGAGTGGTATATGTTTTAAGCACTAGTGATAACCAAATCAATAGAACTTTTTTTCAGTATGGCACTAACCAGATTGCAATTAAGATTTAGAGTTTAGACCCTCTCATTGTTACCACTGTTATTCTATTTGGTTCGCAAGTTATTTGATAAAATTCAATTCGATGCAACTTGAAATGCTCATTTGATGGTGCTTGTAATCAACAAATTCTCGCTGATTTCTACTTATATAGATACTTAATGATTTATTCATACATATTGTGATTCAGGGTAGGGCTGTTTTATTTGGGCGAGTGGACTGACAATGAATTATTGGCATTCAATTGCTCCACTGTGTCCTAAATTAATTTTTGCAACACTTTTCACTCTCTTTTATGTAAATAATGAGTCTTTGCGTTATTCAAAATTGTTGGGTTTCAGAGCTCATTTCAAAGGTATCGTCATTGCCGCCATTTGGAGATACCTAGGTCAAATAAATGGTCAGTTTTATGCTGTTCTGTTATTGGTCAGATAATCCCACTCACGAATCAAGGTTGTCAAGTCACCATTTATAATCAAGTTATCAAAAAGATGTTATAAGTGCTGTCATTGAATAAAATATAATAGGGGAAACGCATGATATAGTAAATTCTTGACTTTCTCGATCAGTCAGCATGTCCAAATATTTCTTATACTCCATAACGAAATATCATATAAATGTTTGAGACTTGGCAACATTGTGCTGAATGCTGAGAACTAACCAGACCACGCCCACAATTCGTGCGCTGTGTTGTCACGTTTACCGCCTCAAATGTCCTCTAGTGTGAATTAATATAATTATTTTTACACAAATTTATCATAAGCATTAAGCCACAAATCATTAGGGAACATTTTGAGACAATTGATTTTGTATTGCTTATAAGAAATATTACCAATACATAAATGAGAATTTATGAATTATTGAATAACTAATATTTCTGAAGTTCCCAATCGTCAGTGACGTCAGTTTTTACTCGCGGTGAATTTCTAGCCGTTTGAAAAATTACTGTATAGTTTATGCGAAGTCAGTTGAAAAACATCCGTTTTTAAGGACGATACGAGGATTTGTCGATTTGCTTAACATTGGAATAGGAATGAATGAGATATTTTCTACTGAGCTTTCCCGGTATGCAGCCTGTGCAGTCAACGTGGACTTGACGAGCGCTGTCATGCTAGAAACCGCGTCTCATTGGTTACTCCTGAATGTTGATTGGTCAGAGTTGCATGGGCGGTCTTCTGTGTGATAAGAATCTTCTAGCCTGCGCTAGGCAGTGCGGTACGAGCTAGGTTGCCTTCATTGGTTCAACTCGAAATTCAGAAAATTATTATTTCAATCATAGTGCTTTTGTGTTCTGTAGGCCTTTTCAGGAAGTCAACGAAGTTAGTGATAGTGATTCGGATGAAAAGCAAGCGGAGTTCGCCAATAAAGACTTACACGTTCAAACGCAAAGGGTAATTTTGAATATCTATTCGCGTCTCAAGGACGAGAATAATGATTCTTCAGAAAACCAACTTGTGGAGAGAATACAGGAATTAACTAAAATAAGCTATACCCACCATATACAGAGTTATTGCCACATTTCAGATATAAGTTGAATGAATACGCGGATTATAATTACAAATCGTTAAGTACGTTGTGAAATGTTTTACTAGATTGCGAGTTCAGTCATAAGAAATTAGACAACAGAATGGTGATTATGGAATCAAGGCCCATCGTAGACCATCGGCAAGAATATCTACGTAAAATAAAGGAATGCCGTGAAGCAAATAGACCTATAATCTAGAAACGTGGTTCGACACTCATGACGTTGTTCAATACGGTTGGGTAGATGATAGCAAAAACTGTTATGTGAGTGGTCCAAGTTCGAGAGGCAAAAGAATTATAATCCTTCACGCCGGCGATGAAAATTGATTTGTTGACAATGCAATTGCAAAAATTAGTCCACTCGCCTATTATTCCTCACCGTATACAGGGTGTTTCATAATTGAATGCTGATCCTGGAGGGCAATAATCCTTGGATGATTTCAAGAAAAATCATCATATGAACATAGGTCCACAACCGCTTTATTTCTGAGATACAGTATCATCAAAAAAGATACCTACTCCTGTGAGATACTGAACATCATTAATGTTCCCTGTGAGTGGGGTGAAAGCTGCCCCTCCACTGTGACCCCAGATCTATTAAATTTTGTGGCAATAGAATGAGATAATAGTATTTCATCGAATTCTATGGATTCCCCAAGTATTAGTCCTTAAAATTTAATAGCCCTGTTCAGATTAATAATGATTAATCAATTAATAATTTCAAATGAATGATTGAATTATCATTATATATTCCATCCAAATGTTGAAAACTTATGATAACTTGCAGAAACTTATTGATTATTATTTTCAGAGGAAACAAGTTCACTGGTCTCTTAACATTGAGGAAATGTCTTTTCCATCATTGCTTCATTATACCAGTAAATTAAAAAAAAACTAAAACAACTCCAATGTGTAAACATTGACAGGGGAACATTTCATTCATAAAAGATATTCAGCAAGACATTTTATATTCTGGAATGATAAAGATAAGTCCATCTAAGTAACAAAAAAAATGATTTATAATAATAATAATAATAATAATAAGCCTCAAAAAATCAATGAAATCAAATATTTCTTTCTCCTGAATCTCAGAAAATGATGATCTAATGATGTTAATGAATCTAACAGTATGAAAAACCTTATCTTACCAAAGTAAGACTCTCAATTTTAGTATTTTAATATTGAATTAAATCCCAACAAACTTTTCTCAATTATTTTCATTATTTATATTTTTTATTTTCATGGCAGTTTGTTTCCTGAGCGATATCTAATATTTAGGGAATAAAGTTTTAATAGCAGATTTTATGAGAGAAGAATTAAAAAGTCAATGTTAAAAATTCAATTGATTAGTAAAAATTATCACCAATGAACAGTGCTTTCGAAAGTACTGAATAAATTCATTTCTAGCCAAACTATCCATTCTTGAGAAATCTCCTGAAACAGGTCGAATTTTATTTCCGATTTTTCCCATTTTTTCGAAAATATCAAATATACAGGGTGATCCATGTTCAAGTTACGAAGTCAGCGACAATGTTTTCAAATGGAACACCCTATATGATATTCAATTTTCGGAATCTCCATGGAAAGCTGAATTCAACAATATATCACACATAGGGTTTGTATAGAGTGGGTCTTTTAAATTAAATGCTCCTGTCATTATTGGGCAAACTATCAATTTCTTAGGAATCACCAGAAACATGGCGATTTTTGTTTCAAATTTGTCACATTTATAAGAGAAAATTGAATTTACAGGGTGATCCACGTTTGAGTTATGACGTTAGAGACAATTGTTTCAAATGGAACACCCTATATATCCTATCATTCATTTTTCTTTGGAATTTCCATTAGAAACTGAATAAGAAATTATATCAGGCATATAGTTAAATTCTTTGCTTTGATAAAATCAGGAAGCTAATGAAAAAACACTGAGGTAATTTCTCCTGCAGGAATCATTAGATGGCTTCAAGTGATCTGTCTAAAAATTATTCCTTTAAATTTAATAAATGTATCCACTACTTTACAGTAGTACTAAATTTAAGGGACCTACCCTATGTTTCATATGGAAAATTGCTGTGGCAGTAATAAGTCAATGGTGATCGCCCTGTATATTCAAATTTTTTCTTGAAATTGTGGAAAATTGATAAGAAAAATGGACAAGTTTCAGATGGATAGTTTAGCTAAGAATGAATTTATTTGGTACTTTACAAAACTTGCAAAAACACTAAATGTACAAGAAATGTACAATCAAGTGGGTTGATACAACTTAAATAATTTTTGCATGTTATCTTAATACTCTCAAATCAGATGATAATGTAATATTGATAATTTGCAACAGTTGCAAAATAGATTTTCCTGATAAGTGTGATGGTGAGGCACACTCAACTTTGATTTTTTTTTCAAATGTAAACATTATTTTTGGACTTTTGACTGAAGTAATTGAGACAAAGCAAGGATACAAAATGGGTTGAGAAAATAATGGAACTATCTTCAAGAGAATTGAATAATTATTATTTTTAATTTGCAAATTTTCATGTTAAGAATCCTAAATTTCCAATCCAATAAGGAATGTTTTAGGAAATATAATACAGCTGGCAATATAATTATCATACTTGAAAGTTTTGAACATTAGAATCAGTCCATTACTCAAATTCATAAGGACATAATTGAAGAAACAAATTCTTTGGAGTCAGGTTTTTTCGCTATTTTGCACATTTTTGATTAATCCAATGAATAATCATTACTACATACTGGAAAAATAAGTGTATCTCACCCTTTTCAAAGAATATCCTGCATGGAAGATGATTGGTGGTAGAATTATATTGAAAAATATTTCTGGATCAAAGGTAGCTTTGAGATCAATTTCATTCTCCCTCAGATCAACAATTTCCTCTCTAAATATATACTGAAATGTTTTATTTGTAATCCCAATGTGATCCTTTATAGGGAAATGTAGGGATAAAGTATCTGGTGGCACAGTGGAGTTATACTGTGGATCATTGACAAAAACTTGCATATTTAATACTTGAGATGAACTTCCTGAATACCTTATGATAGCTCCAACAATAAGTCCTGAAAATGAACAATTTCTGCATGTCACTCATTTATATAACATATCAACTCACCATATATAACAGCCAGACCAGTTTCATGTAAAAAACTAACTCTATGGTGTTTGAACAGCCAAATGGTAAGTACAGTCAAAATCAGTAGAAATGTATAGGATAAAAAATTCAAACTATCTAGCCTATGAGTAGATTGTGCCTTGGCATCTAATTGTATATCTGAGGCTGCTCCATCACTATAGGACATATAACATATAAGATATAAAAAAACCACAGATAACCTAGTAATGAAAAATTTTGTCAGCATGATTAGGATGAATATTATTTCTCTCAACGTGCACAGGTAACAAATCCTCAGAAAATCATCCAATGGGGATTCTGGTTTATGGAAATTTGACTTCACAACTAAATAGTAAATATCACCAAGAATTCACTTGTTTATTTTGAATGTTTTGAGCGTTTTGGTCGTTTGTCATTTTTCTGTTTGACAATATGTCACCCTCATAGATCTGTTCGTTTGCCCTGCTCGAGGTACTAGAAGCCTAGAGCAAGGATAAGTAACAAAATACGTTCCAACTTCCAATCTTTTTCTCACAAAATTTCAAAATCAACATTTTGTCAAACAAATCAGTGTGAACAGGGAACCACCTTTTGTTCTTCAAATCGCCGATCCCATTGTTTTTGGCGGTTCATATTATCTTATAGAACTTTTTCAATTCGACAACATAATATGTTATGTGTACAGTTACTATATACGAATAAAATGGAATATAATTTTTATAATTTCATCCGTACAAACGAGAAAATCCCAAATAGCTCATTTTTTTTTTGGGTGAACAAGAATCATGGAACTCGCGTCTGTGGACATCGTCACCGAATGAGTCTCTACATATACAGGGTAGCTAGGGTAGGTAGAACATTGCAAAATAAGTCGGGCTTGCTCAGTAAAAAAATGTCACGGAATACGGAATACGAAATAATATTGTAATAAAATTATTGTTGTAGGTGAAATCGGATAAGTTGGTTTGTCTTTGTTTATAACTTGTTCGCATCCTGAAATTAATTCTCAACTTCTATTAAAAACAAAGTAGATGTTCCTTGCAAATGATTTTGAGAACTTTATTTTCCAATAAGTATCTCTTCATCATCGAATTCGCAAAATACTTTCAACAAAATTATGAATTCTGGGAAGTAATCTCTTTTATTGTCTTGAAAGCTCCAACTTTTCATCACTATTTGATGATGATATTCAGATTGCCACAATATTGCCACTAACAATTTGGTTTTCAAACTATTCATATTCAATGTTTCCGCAATGAACTCAGTTGTTTACATACATTTCATTGTGTTTCCGCCATTTTCAAAACTGCACTGACTGCGCACGAGCTCGTGCGACAATTGTTGCACTGAGCTCTAAATTATGTGAAACAATTTTTCAATGGAATTCAAAACCCGACACCAGTTTTACCAATGGAATTCGCTAACAGTTACTACGAGCATGTTCCGATATTCCTGAACAGTACTGCCCAGTATATGTTATTGTTCCGATTTTACTGAATTTGACTGGTAACGTCAGAGATAAGTTACCTAACGTTTTCGCGGGTCATTGTAAGGAAACCTGTTAGGGGCTAAACGTTTACTGTTGGCCACTGGAGCAGAAATGATGATGTAGCCTCATTCATGTAATGTTAGGTTAATAAGGACTTGAAATTTAGTTATGAGTCGATCAACATTATATATCATTATTTTCAAATACATTGGGAAAATGTATGAATTCGAACTGGAAGATCTCACAGAGGTAGACGACGCTGAAACTGTCACTAATCTACAAGATGGTGTTTTATTCACACTTTTGATATCAAATATTGCACAGCTATGATTCATGTTTTCATCACTGTAACTAGAGGTACTTGAGCTTGGTGTTTCTGATGAATCATAATCACTATTGGATAATATATGTCTATCAAGAATATGATCAACAACTCCATCCATAATTTCAACGTGAGTCAAGAGAAGTTGATAATAAGGATGATGGAAATGGCAATCAACCAAACAAAACATCGAAAATTGAAAGATCATAGGATACTATTAGTCTACTGTGTATTAGTGTTCCTAAATTGTTCAAGGTCCAAACACAATGCAGATGAATGAGGAATAGGAATAAGGGATAGCACTATGATTGGTTCAAAACACGTTCAAGGATAGAATTGACCAATATCAGAACTGCATTTCTTATTTTTTATTTCTTATTCTCTATTCCCCTACTGCGTAATGTCAGCAGTGCGTTTGAATCCCACGTCGGCGACATGGGTTCAATGCCTGCGACAATCGGCTTTTATCTTTTATTCAATTCTGTTTTCTCAAATGGATATTTCATTCACATTCCCCGTTAAACCCGATTAGATTATTCCGTTGAAGGTGGTGGTAGCCAATAAACTATTTTTGAAAACCTATTCCTTTCACTTTACCCACTACCATAGTTTACTCGTGTATCTTCACTCCAATATCCACTCCATCCATTTTTTATTTGAATGTTCCCATTATATCCTCCATTTTTCACAAATATTCAAAAAGTTTTACTTCAACCAACTATGATGTTGGTGAGTTGTTTATAGTCGTCTCTATGTGAAGTAACCCTCAAGTGATTTTTTCTTTCCGAGAAATATAATTTGTAGGAAGAAGCAGGTCTATTTAGGCCGATTAAGGTTAGCTTGTTCAAGAAAAGTAGTGTCTTTTTTATGCAGAAGGGATTTTTTCCTTCTTCCCTGAAAAAAGTACTGTATTTTCAGGATGAAGGTTCATTTAGGCCGAGTAAGGTTAGATGGTTTGAAAAAGTAATGTCGTTTTTCCTCCCTGAGAAAAAAAGTACTGTGGGGGCAATGAAAAAGTTGTGACAAAATTATTTTCTAGAGTAAAAAGGTTTCTTTTGGCCGAATTAGAATATGCTGTTTTAAAGTTTAGTCTCTTTTCACTTCCATGTGAACATGTGAATTCATGATAATGCTATTTCCTTCTTTTTAGGTGATACTATCAGTGTAAGATTATTGAAGTACTTTTCTTCCATTCAATTTAAAGAAAATCAGCACAATCCGGTAACACTGAATATGACTGACACTTGATTACGCATATGAATTACGCGAATTCACAGTGGAAGTCCCCACCACTATTCTATTTTATGACACAGACTCCGCAGACGCAAGTTTGAAATCCCAACCCTGGCTGAAAGTGCGGCACTCCGGCACTGCGACCTGCGACGAGTGGCGACCACAGAACTTAAACCAGTTCTGTGGTGAAGACTTCACTTGACGAGTGAGACATGACATCGAACAAAGGTGGATATATGCATCGAGATCGAACGCTCTAACTCCACTCCTAACCATAACCAATGAAATCGGCCTATCATAATCCATTTTGTTTTGGTGTTGTTTATTACTTTTATTAGGAACGTTGATCTTTGGTGAAGTTGAAGTCAGAAAAAGTTTAGAATAAATAAAATAGCATGTAGCATGTAGTTTAACACAATAGGTCGCATAATTCATCTCTTGTTGGACACAACGTTCGTGTTCGAAATTGCCTTCTTCCTGAGATCCCTATGGGTATATGATAAAATGTTTATCTCAGCATTGCCATTCAAACGAATTTGAAGAATCCACAAAACTGTTGGTTATTGGACGAGTCTAGCAAACTAGAGTCAACCGTTATTATGAACTCCAAGAAGAGTAGGAAATATAATAACACTGAGGCTGGGAATACATATAACAACAAAACTGAAAGTACAACGGGTCCAGCTAAAAAAACTAATAAGAAGAAAGCACCAATTTGCAATGAAAATAATGGAAATATAAAATCAAAAGGGAAAAAAAGGAAACTGTCTGAAGTAGAAATTGTATATGATTCTCCTAAGAAGCATAAAAAATCTATGCAAAAGGTCCAAAAGGATATCCTAGAACCAGTGAAAAATAATGATACAATAGAAAATGAAATTGAGGAAGGTGAGAATATTGCATTGAATGGTAAACACTTGGAAATACACACAAGAGATATTGATAATGTGGAAGAAAATTTGAAAGCTATGTTTGAAAATGTGTCTCCCCTACCTATGAAAAAAAACAAAAAGAAAGATCAAGAGTTGTTGGAAGTTGCTCATAATACTACAGAGCAGTCTGCTTGTCCAATAGAAGAAGGGGTAAGTAAAAAGAGAAAGAAAAACAGAATTGGTGTTGGCAAAAATGATCCTGGGCCTAGTCAAGGAATAACTAACTATTCCACAGAACAGTCTAGTAGTGAAATTGATGAAATTTCTACAAAGAAAAAGAAGAAAAAACATAAACCCATTGCTCATCTCTCTGAGTTGAATTCTGAAGATATCCAGAGCACATTTAACAACAATATTCAAGTGGGAAAACATGGACTAAATATTATTGGCATTAATGATGACATTGAAAATGTTGTTACAATATCAATTAATGATATAGAAGGTAATGACTCAGATTGGGATACCAATGATCTTCTCAAACAACTTGAAAGAAGAGTGGAGAAACCAAAAGAAGGCATGAAGGGTGAGTTTTTGAAATTTTCAAGTATTTGCCAAGACATTCCTGTATATTTGTAGAACAAATGTATCAACACAACTGTACCTACCTATTTGATTTTGACCTTCTGATGAGTTATTTTTATTCCCTGAAAATTGTTATTATCTAGTCACAACAGTCAGTAAAATCTGTATCTTATAGGAGATATAACAAATAATGAAAAAACTACTGCAGTTGAAACCTATTCATTTAATATTTCAATAATGATACTGAATAATATGATTATCAATTGTGTAAGTAACTTTTCTACAAAATTTTGATAGTAATATGTCCTATTGTTTGCTCTGTTGAACAGATTAGCAAGTCCTCTCAAACTAAAATCATATTTGTTTTTCAGTAAAAAAAATAATTCCAAATTGGCCTCAAGAGGATTTTAGTGAATTGATTAACAGAGTGGATGCTTGTATTCCAGAAAATGATTGCTTGAATTACACAAAGAGGGTTGAATTGTTAGAGTGGGATAAGGTAGGCAATATTTCTTGATTTTTTTAGCTAAGAGTGCAAGTGCATCAGTAAATTATTTTCAATTGAAAATAACAAGCCAGTCCTGATGCTTCATTTCACAGGAGAGGCATAAGAATCTCATTCAAATAAAAATGAAACATAATTCCTTGATATGGTGATTTTTTATTTATATTGAAAAAAGTGTTCAACATGAACCTCCTAAAATAGATACAGTCTACCTAAGCATTTTGGACCATCACATTTCAAGTCTATCCAATTATCATCATTGGAACCACCTTGTACACAATTAATTAGCTGATATTTTGTGTCAAACCATTAAAGATCATCATCCAGGAAGAAAAAATAATATAAACATGAAAATACCAGTTATGCTGTGGAAACAGTGTTAACATATTAATTAATTTTTCTAGATTGCTTTCAAGGGTCACACTGTAGAAGACTGCAAAAAAACTTGGTGCTATTTTCTGAACAAAGTTCGGAAATTCAGGTATTTGAAGGAGGTTTTAGAAGATGTCAAAGAATGGGTTGCTAACCCAAAACAGAAATCTGGAAAGTTGCTGCGCCATCCTGATCAACCCCGACGGCCACTAGGCGCATTCTTCATCTACTATATAGAGAAAAAAGATAACCTTCAGGCTGAACATCCAGGCATGGATGCTGTATGGAGCCTCATTGTTAATATTGAGTTGTATCATTATTGCCATCTTGTGTTTTCAGACTGAACTAGCCAAGCTGTGCAGTCAGGACTTCAAACAGCTACTTCCAGAGACAAGGGAAATGTATGAAAAAAAGGCTGCAATTAACAAAAAAGAATATGAAGAGAATATGTTAGAGTTTTAGTAAGTAGGCAATATAATGGGGAAGTTTTCTTCAGATGAATTTTCATAAAATAAGTTCAGTACTCCAGTTTTATGTCCACACTGTACAGAATGGTGATCGATAAAGTCCAAGTCCTTTTTATTCTAAAAATGAAGCAGGAGATCAAAAATCAATACAAGTAACGCTGGTAAACAAAAACATACATAACCACAAAGTCAGACCAGCTCTCTTGGTGTGCCTGTCAGTATTTTGTATGGTGTGGACGGGCTCAAAGTATTATGCACTGTTGCAAGATATAATCTGCTACTTTCCTAGAAAGTAGATCCGTTTTATAAAGAAACACGTTCATTTGCAAAAAAATGACTGACAAGTGATTATCATTTCCGGGAAAGTGAAATTTAATCTATGGAAAAAAAGAAGAAAAAAAAGTATACAGGGTGTCCGGAAAGATCATGTCATAAATGGATAGAGTGCGCCAAAATATTGTTAGTACTTCATACAAAAAAAATGTCTATAGCACTACCTTACGGAGTTATTGACCTTGAAAGTTTATGCAAGTCCAAACATATGCATACTCATCAATACTAAACTCATCCATAGTGTTATCAAAGTATTGAATACTGTCAAAATAATATGATGTACCATGTTATTGAATAAATAGAGTTTTTATTACCTTTGAAACGGTTGATGTATGGTTTCAAAATGCGATTTTCACTAGAACCGTACAAGATATCAATTAAAATAAACTATACTATTTTTGTAGAAAAAAGATGAAGGAATCTAACGGTGAAAGCAAAAAGTCAAATTTGTCACCTCTGTCAAAAATTCCCTAATTTAACAGAAAAAAATAGTCCCATCCTGTATAAAACGTAATCACTGAACAGCCGTTTGCATATCGAAAGGAGCATGAGTATGAGTTAATTCTGTTTCAATGATTATATTATTTATGGTTGTTAATATTTCAAATTCCATTACTTATAAGTTTCCTAACTTGTTTGATACAATATTTTTGTCTGAAATGTTTGTATAAAGAAATAAAAGCCATTTTGAATAATAAGGTATCACTCCAGCCAATGTTATTCAAAAAATAATTCCATTCCACTATTTTGAAAGTAATAAACTTTTCATTGGCGTCAGCAGTTTCCAAAAACTACCACTGGGCAAGGTCTATGTTTTTCAATATACCAAGCCGGTCAAAAGTTGAGACTGTTGAGAGGGGAAGATATTTTTTGAGAGAAAACATGCTTTTTCAAAAATGTCCACACTGTTTCTTCAAAGTTTGAAAAAAGTATTAGTTTTTGAGGTTAATACAAACTAGATCGTTATACATTTTTTGAATGAGCTATTGAGTTGGGATAAAGTTTCCGAGACATCTCGACTCATAATTCTGTAAATTGATTCAGTAAGCTGCATCCAGATCAACTGAAACTCAAACCAGAAAAACCTCCAAAACCTCCGAAGCCACCAAAACCAGAAAAAGAAAAACCAATAAAGCCCCAAAAAGAACCAAAACCCCCTAAGGAAAAACCTCTGCCAAAGGAAAAGCCTTTGCCAAAGGAAAAGGTACCAAAGAGAGCACTGCCACCATTCCAATACTTCTGTCTCTCCGAAATAGAGAAAGAAAACGTCGAGGACAAGGGGGCTTTCAGAGAAGTATGTAAGGAAAAATGGAAGCAGATGCCGGACAACCAGAAAATTGAGTGGATCAACTATGCAGAGGCAGAGAATTTCAAATATGAAGTGAGTCACATTCGCCAATTTTCGATTTGGATTATTAATTGTTTTTTCTCATAACCTTTATAAATATGAATTGTAAATTGAACATAATTTGCTTTTGGCCAAAAATTTATTTGTAGTAGGACTTCCTGAAAAATAGGGTCATTTTGTAAAACATCAAAAATATGTGTCCTCGCTTGTTTCTCTGCAGACCTTATTTGTTTCATTATTTAGGAGGAGATGAAGGAATATATAAAACATCATCCAGAGTATGTTGTTCAAAAACACTCATTGTCTAAAGAAAACCAGTTAGTGAAAGAACGTCTGGCAGGTAAACCTACAAAACCACCAACTTCAGCATACAACATCTTCGTTGGCAGATTACTGCAAAGTGAGGAAATAAAAGATGTTCCTTCAAGAGACAGACTGACATTTGTTTCTGACCAATGGAAGGCCTGCAGTGACGAGGAGAAGAAGCAGTATAAAGATTTGTATGAGAAGGTAAGCTTGAACCATATATAGGCGTGTCCCTGAGACCAAAGTGAGATGATTGAACCAAACTTATCTGTATACCAAAACGCTCCGTTTAGCCGCTACAGGGCCATTGAATTGAATTTTTATATTTTTATGCAACACCCTGATGATAGTGTAAACTGTGACACACCCTGTATGCCAATAAATAAAAAAAATTAAATGCAATTTCAACGCCCTGTAGCGGCTAAACGGAGCGTTTTGGTATAGAGGTAAGTTTTGATCCATCATCTCACTTTGGTCTCAGGAGTCCATGATATCATTTGGTACAGATACCTTTCAAGGACACCCTGTATATAGTTTCATACAGAGTGGTCAACAGAACATGAAACAGACTCAATAACTGACAAGAGAATGTTTGAAATAGTTATTCATGTGTTGATGCTCTGACAAATTTTTGTTTTTGAATATTTTCTTACAAGTTATGCACTTCCCAAATAGTTGAGTGAGAAGTACAAGCTGGATTATGCCGCCTACCTGGAATCGTTACCCGATAATGAGAGGCTAATGGAATTGCAGAAAACTGCGCCAAAGAGAAGAAAATCGGATGATTCAAGACCAAAAAAGGAAGTGAAAGGTAAAAAAGCCAAACCAGCTGCAACCAAACCCAAACCCAGTGTGGCTGAAAAAAAGAAGGTGGAAAAGAAGAAGTCGAAGAAAATGGTTGAACCTGAGCAACCTCCAATGTGAGTAATTTCATTTATATTGGATTTGAAGGAGAACGAATTATGATTTATAATAGTATTTTAACCTAAATCTGATAAATAATTAATTTAACACCTATTTTTTGACATGAACAAAAATAATAGGCTCACTTTAATGATGAATTGTCAGTAATTATTGCTTGAAGGTATAAACATGTTTCATGAAAACTAATGGAAATCTCGTTTGTTGGCCTACCCCAACATGAAGCAAAAACACCTTGAAAAAATACCAAGTATTTCTCGAAATTAAATTTGAATATCAATAGGATTTTTCATTATACATTTCAGATTGTATTCGGGAAAATTCAATTAGCAATAGAAAAGTTCATGTGAACTTGTATGCTTTGAATCTTCGTTTTCAAGACACAAGGTGCTGAAATTTTTTGGAAAAAAAAAAACAGCTAAAAAAACTCATCAGCTGATTCCTGTTGAACTTGAAAGATTTGTTCATGATATGAAAATGTATCTATTGGGGTAACTAGATTCTCGTAATTATTCCAGTGGCATCACAAAGGGTTCTCTGATTGATATTTTTGGTGACAATAGAAGATACAACTTTCTAGTTCCATGAGTTTTTTAATATATTGCTTGGTTTTCAGCAAAAAAAATTAAGACCTGATCCTGAATCCAATTTCTAATGTAGGTTCATTCAAAACATCCATTAGACCAATGGATAACCATGATAAGTATTGAAAAATAAATTCAGTAGTGGAGACGATGGAGTTTCCACTCATATAATTAAATATCGTATTGACATGGTTTTGGAATTACTATGTTACATTATCAATAATTCTGATAATTCTCTTAAATATGGCTTTTATCCAGAAAGGTTGAAAAAAAAACCCTTGTTATACCAGTCCACAAGAAAGGTGAAGTAGATATATTTGAAAATTATAGGCCATTTAGCCTTTTATCAGCTTTCTCAAAGTTATTTGAGATGGTGACTAATAGATTTCATGAGCCATACAAATAGGCTTAATAACATGCAGCATGGATATTTGCCTGGTAAATCGACTTTCACTCAGAAGAGGATGAGGAATTGATCCTAGGACTATTTTTGTCTAAATTATATGATACACTAGATCATACAATTAATAATGCTGAATAAATTAAAACAATATGGAGTGAGAGGTAATACATTATTCAAATAGACAACAAAAATCTATCAAATTTTCCCGATTAAAATCCGAAACACCCTGCATGATTCTGGTATTCAATTGACCATATTTTCAAGGGTGAGGCGTTCCATATTATAAGGTTAGGTACAAAGGTGTCACATAAACTCGGCGCCACTTTCTGAAATAATTCCATTTCTATCAGGTGAAAAACTGGTGGATTGTTGATTATTGAATATTTAAGCAAAAACAACTCCGTGTTCCCTTCCTCCCAGTTACCTTCAACAAATAAAACAAAATGCCAAATGCCCCTTTCAAGAGAAATATGATCAGTGAAAAAAATCCTCATGATTCCAAGACAATTTCCATCATTTTCCAGTTCTCCCTACAAATATTTCCTCACCGTGCATCAAGGCGAAGAGCCTACCAAGGCCTGGAAAGCTTTAACTTCCGCGCAAAAGAAGACATATGAGGAAGAGCTTGTCAAGAAGAAGCAGGCTTACATTGTGGCGTTCGAAAAATTCCTGAAGAGCATGACTAAAGAAGAGTTGGAAGCTTTCTCAAATGCAAGAAGGAAGGTTAAGCAAGAGCCTCAAGACGATGAAGATATGGTGAGTGAGTCATTGGAATTATTTTAAATTTTTGATGTGGCTCATTGCTGATAGCAGGTGGCTGACACATACAAATCAACTACATTTTTTTAACGTTTTCAGGATAGTTCTGGTAACTCCGATTCAGACAATTCTGATGAATCAGAAGTAACTGATGATTGATTTTTTTGTTCCAGATGTTACAAGATCCTTTGTTTTGTTCTCTAATATATTTTGTAAAAGTTTTGTAAATAAATTAATTTGTGTTATAGCAATCATTTTCTTACCCCAAATATTATTATTATTATTAAAATAACCATACAATTGTTGAAATTTTCTCTTGCCCATAATCTGTGGGGAGATATTTTTTGAACAAATGGAAGCAATTTTGAACAATTTTTATTCAATGTTGACAATGAGTTGATGTTCTGAGAAAATGAAGTGCATAGTGCATTGTTTGAGAATGATTTACCAATGACTGCAAAGAGCATTAGCATTAGCAGAAGTTTAATTTCTTGATCTAATATGCTAGGTGGCATATTAAAAAAAGATTTTCTTTTAACTGTTCGAAATTTGACTGCCAACATCAAGCTGGTTTTGAACCTATCTCAATAATCATTGAAATTTAGCTCCATAGCATAATAGAACTTGATGATATTTAAAATGCCAACGCCGCAACGGATTTTCTTTAACGTGCATAACGAGAGGAAAAGTAGGTTAATTCTAAGCTTTCCTATCAACGCCTGTGTGCTATTGAACATAATTATTTTATATTATGTTGCTTGACAAAACTGAAGAACGCTCCCGTTATTTCAAGTTTTTTTTTATATAAGAAGATAGGTATGAAAAAACCTAGATGAAAAAGATGAACACTAATAACACAATAAATATATATGTCGGTGATGACTGTGACTGCATTTTACTGTACAATATTTTGTACATCAAGATTGTGTGCGAAAGTAGAGATATCCAGACGTACGCCTGCGATGATAAGGGTCAACTTGCCAACAGCCAATTTCAAAAGCGGCTAGATGACTTGAAAAATTAAATTATGGCTAGTAATCGAAGCGCGCCGCAGGCTAAAATTTGTTCTAGTACAGCCGTCTTCAAGACGGCTGTGGTTCTAGCCATTTTTTGCAATAATTCTAGCAAGAACAAGAAGTCTGACCATCATCATTGACGTCAACGTCAAAAGGCCTTTTCATTTGGATGACAAATTACTATCTCTGTTTATATCTCGCATCCAACGACAGTGGCGGCCATTTTCTCCGAAACACTTGCACCACAGTACCACACTCCTCAGTAACGAATAAGTAAGGTTTTTTGGAATTAAATTATCATGATACAATCAATACACACCAGGAATATGAAAACAAAAATACTATGTTGTTATTGTCGTTTCTCAATGACGAATGTCCATGGTGGTTGAAACTGTTAACACTTGACAGAACGTCAATATTACCCGCCATATTCGAAATGACCAATCAGCATTTTGTGTTGGAACTATAGCCAATGAGACCTTACCTTCGTATTACCCAATAGATTTTTGGATCTAAAAACGGGCGCATGCGTCTTGAAAATATGTCTAGATGAAAAGGCCTATTTGTCAAAGTGGCACAAAGCATGGATCTCTGGCATTGAGTACAAAATTAATAGAAATACAGATGTGTATTTGACTTATTAGATTAGATCGTGAATATACTGTGCTTCTCAAAAGTGCCCTCCCCCCTGTTATTTTTGTAACGATTATACATGAACATGTGAAATTTGGAAATTGAATGTTAATTAATTAAAGGTTGTAAACTTCCCTATGACGAAATCGTCAAAGATGACGTCAGAAGGGTATTGTGAGCAATAATTTTGTATGGAACCCTAAGGCGAGCGACACCTCTGTTTGAAGGTATCGAAAAAACCTTTTCAATGATACGCAAAGCTGTAATGAATTGAATTCAATATTCAATTCAATTTTCAGTCGGTAGATAACTTCCTTCAAAACTGGCTAGAACTATCCATAAAATTGCTAAGTAGGCAGCACTGTCAAATGTTAAGAGTCAGCTCTTGACGTGACTGATGCCTTATCTAGTTGTAAATGATCTAAGAAAGAGATATTCTGCAAAATGATTGACGTGAATGTGCATCTGTCATTGTCGCTATCTGTCATTGTCGTTAAACGACCTTGTTGCACTTACAGAGTCGTCACCTGAGTTTATAAACGTCAAAAAATGTGAAAGGCAAAGTAGATTTTGTGAAAATCGAGAAATGGTGGAAAGTGATACCTTTGAAAATAAACAAAACGACACACAGGCTGAAGATGATGTTCGTAGGAAAGAAAAAATGGAACGAGAAGAGTACATGGAAAAACTGAAGAAATGGCTTGACGATGCTAGGTTATGGCATTACAATATTTGTGCAGGACTTCCAGTTCACAGTGGTGATAACAGTACGATCCCAGATGATACAATTCACCAAGTACCAAACGTATATGCTAACTTAACACATTTGAATTTATGGAACCAGAATGCACAGAACCTTTTTCAACAGAGATTTCTTTTCAATGGTCCTGACAACAGAAATTTACAAAATGTTTTTCAGACAGGTGTGTTTCTTGCATGTAATTTCAATAGATGATTGTTAAAATTTCATTGAATGTCTTATATTGTAGGTACTCATATATTCCAACAAAATCCAACACCTAGTACATATGAATTTGTGATACCACCATTATGGAAGAGAGCAATTGCAGAACTCATGGATTTCTTACTTTTGTTTCTCTTTAAAATGGCTCTAACATTTGTACTCTTGGAAAGTTTTGATATAATGTAGGTGCCAATTGCCTTGATTTTGTAACTGTGCTCTGTGATGGTAATTCTTCCTAGAGATGTACAGCCTATCCAGTGGTGAAGTGGCATAACTACTGTACCAAACCCAGAGTTTGGCTAGTTTTCTGGGTCCACCAACCAGAACATCCAGTCATTATTATTCCAAACAATCCTATGTCAAAAATTTTGAATTCATTATGATAGTGACCATCTATTTATTCTAATATATTGGAGAAAATCAATATAGTATCTCAGATCAGATGTTACCAACAGAACAGACTTATTGATTGCATCAAGAGGATTGAAATCATTGTTAATACACCTTAAGAATGTTAGAAAAGACTACATGAATTTTATAATTAGATATCAGTATTTCTGTGAGAGGGCATTTGAAGAAAAAAGGCAATATAAACCCAAAAAACAATTCAGTGTGAACATAATATGCATCTTCTATATTCTAGTCAATCAACTAACTAGTTTGCAGGAATTGAGATTGTTGAAAAATTATGTTTTTTGAAACCCCAAACTCTTGTTTCTCTGACAGGAGACAAAAGACAAGGTGTTCAGATATACAGGGTGCCCCATAAGTAATGGATGGGTCATTTTCCAATCAAACTAACCATATATATGGTTATCCAATTATTATTGTTGATGGTTCAAGAGTTATTGAATTTTTTTTCATTTCTAAGTGAGTATGACAGACATTTGTGATTTTTTCTTTTACAAATTTCATCCACATGGATGCACCTTTTCCACGAAATTATTTTCATGACCTATGTTACTTTTCTATCAATTAAGAAAAATGTTGGTTTCCTTAAGTTTTGTTGGATGAAATGATACAGTAGATTTTTTAATGCCCCTGGCAGATTTGAAAACTACCCCACAAAGAAGACTATCTGAAAAAGTTGCTCATTTAATACAGATTCCGAAATGGTATTATAACATTATGGGGTAATTCAAAACAGCCTTTTTATCATTAATTGAATAACTTCTTCTTACATGGAAAGAGCACATAAACTATGTCACAAAAAAAATAAGAAAACTCATTTATAAATTCTATGAACTGCGTAACTTCCTATCTTATAAAACCATGAAAACAATATATTTTTCACTTGTAGAGTCTATCATAAATTATGGCATTGTTGTGTGGGGAAATGCCTGTAGCATATATTTGTCAAAGCTTGAAGTATCCCAAAAATGGATAATAAAAATAATGCTCTTTAAAAAAAAGCGCTATCCATCTCAATTAGTATATGAAGAAAGTAGATTACTGACTCCAAACCAACTTTACCTTAAAGCAGTTGCAAGGTTTATGCTGAAAATGACGTACTATAGAAATGATATCAGCCATAACTTAAACACGCGGAATGCTGCTCAACAGAATGTTCTTTTGAGAAACCCAAAACATGTTGCTTGCCAAAAACATATATATTGTACTGGCCCCAAAGTTTACAATGCTCTACCTCAGCATCTCAGATCAATGCCTTACAACAAAATTAAAAAAGACATCACAAAATGGATTGTACAAAGTAACTTCTCCCTTGTGTACCTAGAATGAAAAGACAAAAAATACATAAAACGTTCACGTATATTGAATCAATCAAACCCCTTCCCTTTTTAAGCTAAATTACTTACTGTATAATATTCTGTGCCTATGTGAACATTGACATAGTTAGAACCTCACCGATAATTCCATAAAGAAGAGATGCGCACACACAGTATCTTTGTATACCATAGTGCGCCAAATTCAAGTACTAGTTTAGGTCGAATCGTCTAAATGGACAATCTTTCTGTTTTCTATAGACCTCTCAGAATAGACTTATTTTGTAACTGTATTACCACCTCTACTGTATATTACTACCTTACTATTACTGCTGAATAAAATATATAAAATAAAACTTTTGAACTAACAGCAATTGGATGACTACATATACAGTTACTTTTATTGGAAATGACCCCCTCTACTACCCCACTTCTTGTGATCCATTACTTATGGGACACCCTGTATAATGGGTTTGACATAAGTAAGTTGAAATATTCAAGTGACATATGCCTGAGAAAATTTTAAGAAAAAGTCTATATAAATTTTGTGTCCGGAAATACTTCCTTTCAGGAATACAGATTATTGAAATTGATTTGTTCGTCAGCTTTTTAGAAATAACTTCTGTAAAATATAAGTTATCTGCACAAAATTTGTTACCCAGGGTTTTTTGACATGGTAAATCATAACTTCCTATCAATTTTCATGTAACATGTAGAGGGTGCTGCACAAGCTGTCTTTATTATTTCAAATTGCCCTAACATTTTTGACAGTAAACTTTTGATTCTTTTCATAAAGAAACCTAATTCCCACACCTTTTTCAAGTGGAGAAGGTACACTTCCTCAACAACAGTGGAGGTGATCGTTTTCAAGGTATTTATAATGCATGTTTTGGAAAATGTCAACCATATGTATCTCGAAAACAAATCATATTTCCATAAACATTTCATGGAAAAAAAATTAGTTTTTGTGATGTTCTCAGCAACTTCACTTAGCGTCCTCCCTGCTAAGTAACATGCATCGATATAGAAAATGGTAAATATCTGATAATGATCACCTCCAGCGTTGTTGAGGAAGTGTTCCTTTTTTACTTAGAAGGTGTAGGAATGAGGTTTCTTCATTAAAAGTAAAAAAAGTTTAGTGTCAAAAATGTTAGGGCAATTTGAAGTAAATAATGACAGTGTACGCAGCGCCCTCTAGATGTTACATAAAAATTGATATGACATTTTGATTCCCCATGTCAAAAAAACCCTGGGTACCAAATTTCAAGCAAATAACTTTTAATTTGCAAAAGTTATTTTTAAAAAGCTAATAAAATTCAAATTCAATTTCAACACCCTGTATCTCCGAAAGGAAGCATCTTCGGACACAAGTTTATGCATACTTTTTTTCTTAAAATAGTCTCAGGAATACGTCACTTGAATATATTAGTTACACCCTGTATAATGCCATAAAAAACTAATACAAGACAAAAATATGTCAAACAGCATCACTACATAATATACATTACAATAAAAAATCAACAAACATTAGAAGTCATTTTCCTCCATCTATGTTCCAGCAAATGTTTTTTCAGTGGTTTTAAAATAATTGAGAGTGTGCACTTTTTATTGCAGTAGGCAATTATGTGAATGCTATCAAGCCTTTGAAAGAAATGGCTCAGCAGAAGCTTGTTCAAAATTTATTATCATATTTTAATGTTGAAAGGTTTTTTCAATTCACATGTAGTTATTTGTTTTAAACTATCTCAGAATTTTTTTTCATTGGCGGCCCTAAAAGGTTAACGGGGGGGAGGGGAGTTACGCCACTGAACCTATCAAAAACTGGTTATGCACAAAATAAAGTGATTATTACTTTCCTTCCAGAGGTATGGGATTTTATGGATTTGAATTATTTCAAAAGAATTTGGAAAATCCACAAGTGGCAATGCCAATGGCTATGGAATTATTAACTCTGGAATTACTTCACCGCATTGTTGTTTGTGCATATGAGGTAATCATCTATTTTATAATATACATTGAATACACATTTAGTATCCAGCTCAAATACTTGAAGAAACATACCAATGACCCCTGAAGTAATATTTTCTGGCATTATGCTCATGCATTTAACAACAATCATGCCATGCATATTGAAAGGGATAAATTGACAATTTCCTTTTCCATCATTAAATCAATGTTGTCATGATGCTTTTCACATCTTAGAATTTCCGAATTTTTCAAATTATTTTGCATGGTTGGTTATATAAGAAAGTGTCAAAATTTCTTCCAAACATCTCAGATATCTCCTATACGTAGATCAAGTCGAATTTTTCAAATTCTTTTTGCATGGTAGGTTACATAAGAATATGTCAAAATTTCTTCCAAACATCTTGTTCCATGTGCTGTAAAAATACAGGTGATCACTCAGCTCATGGGCCACCTTTTATAATGGTATAATTCCTCATGGTCACCTGGTATACAGTATGATCCACTTCAGGCCATAATAGTCCTAAAAATCTATATTCTTTAATGACAGATTCCAAAATATCCTGCTTCAAGAAATCGACAAATTAGCAAATAGTGAATGTTCTGGTGAAAAATTCTCCAGTTATTATACCACTGATAACCACTTGAATGGTACAATGTTTGGAATATACTCTTTCAATTCAACTTTTCTGTAAGATTAGTTATTGAAATTTGGTCTTGATAAAACTAAGTGTCATTATTGCATCTTTTTACAATATTCTGTACATATCTGATTATCTGTACATGAGTTAAGTTTGCAACTCAAAACAAGAAATTTTCATGGATTCCATAGCAGAAAGTGGATGTTTTAGTTGCAATCTTGATTCTTGTTCAGTTGTATTCAAAAAAGGCATACAAGTATTAGGGAGAATGATTATGAAATACAAAGCGTTAGCTGAGCCAGTTCTAAACATTTAGAACTACAACTGTACAGGATATTATAAAAATAGGCATTTAGGGGCTCGAGTTTTTCCATTTTCATCAAAATAAAAAGGTTCTACCTCAGTAAAACTGGATATTTATGATGAAGATATGTATACAGGGCCTTCCAGAGTTCAAAAGCCAGCAGATATTTGGTTTGTTTCATGAAAAATGACCTATATGACTGAAAAGCTCTCCAGAGTAGTGAGATCAATTGAACTTTCTTTCAAACAAACAATCACCTGTGATTTTTATTTATTTTTTTCAAATTACACCCATGTTTTTTGTTCTGGTTCATCTTATGAAACTCAATTTTCAAGTCCCGAAAAAAAAACTGGGCACTGCCTTGCATGTAACCAGAAAGTGAAGTTACCTAGTATTACCATTTCTATTAAAAATGTTACAATATTGACCGTTTAAGAGATATTGCGCCTGCAAATTGTCGTGGGACATCCTGTATAAATCCTCAATTTCCTCTGGTCAGCAGAGCTAGTATTGCAATTGGAATAGTAAGAGAAATAAAAATTGTCACCTGGAATATCTCGATAAAGCAAAAACGAGTTAATTATTTCAGTATCATGAAATTGATCAATGATTATTTCAGACCTATTTTCTCCAAGGACGATTTTTTGCTACACCAGGAAAGAGGTACATGGGATTGATGGTCATAACAGCAGAAAGCATAACACCTGTGCCTGGTAGATTGACAGAAACTATTGTAGCTACAGGTGCAACTCCTTTAGGATGGCATAAATCACTGACCCGCTCTGCCTTGAAAAACTTGTTTGTGGGATTATTTCTACCAATGTGTGTGGCATTTTATATTTTCCCTCATAACCGTACTGGATATGACATGATGTCCAATAGTGTGGTGGTTGAGTATCATCAAGAATTCATGTTGTATAATGCTATTTGAACTGTTGATATGGCCAAAATATATGTGATATGTTGTTTTCAAATCTATGTCTTCCTTAACACCCATCAATTTCAGTTTTTACAGCACTAAGTAAATGTTCCAACAAGAAAGTTATTAACAATAAATCATGAATTGCCAGCACAATACTAGAACCAGGTTTTAAATGAGGCTTGTAAATGACCACCCTTTTGATCCATGACTTATGGGACACTCTGTATATGAAACCTATAAGTAGGTCTAAATCCGGCCACTACCTCCTTTTTCTTGTCTCTAAAGATTCCAATTCAATTGAGCTTTTTTCCATAGACTACCAATTTGGTAGTCTATGCTCTTTTCTATCTTGAACGAGAGAGAGGAAAGTTCTCTCCCATATACGTATTAATAAACAATACGGATCATAACGGGTGCCAGGATGAAGCCAAAAATATGAAACAAATGAATATCCATAAGGATTTGGTGGCATGATACGCATGCGCCATGCGCTATTATAGTAGTCATCAAAGACATGCGTTTCGGTGGACAATGACGTTTACTAGCCTTTCAATCAAAGCAGTATGTGTCTGATCGTTTCAAAACTTTTCCTTATGGATAGTCATTTGTCTTCAAAAATCGGCTTCATGTTTCGCTATGGAAACAGATAGAGATTATCCGTATTGATTATTAATACGTATATGTTCTCTCCTCTTCCATCTCTCTCTGCAATGCTACCAACGTGGTCGCATTGAAATATAGAGAGGTCCGATAAATCTTTCCTTGTTTAATATCTACTTTGTGCCGCTGAACTATTTTTCAATACAGCAGAGTGTCAAATTTAACGACGATATTAACAAATTATTTCACAATAAGTATGATAGACATATCACGTCATTATAATATCGAAAATAGTTCAGTGGCGCAGACTAGAGGTTAAACAAGGAAAGATTTATCGGACCTCTCTATATTTCAATGCGGCTACGTTGGTAGCATTGCAGAGAGAGATGGAAGAGGAGAGAACTTTCCTCTCTCTCGTTCAAGATAGAAAAGAGCTCAATTGTAATGCACCGCCATATAGCTAGAATCGTTTTGATTGGTCAAAAAATGCATTAAAACTAAAAATGGTGGTAAAGTGAATTTTCGCGAATCGCATTTCTGTTATCATTTATAATTGAACTCATATTTTTGAGCTGTCAGAAAAACTGGCAAATCATATTGGACTCAGTGTTCAATTAAAAAAAGTATAGGTAGGTTTGGTGTGTCACAAAAATATGCATTACCATGTATAAGTAGGTGAAAAAATAAGTTTATTTGACTGAATAAGAATCAGCTAGATATTCTCATCCAGTTTTGTAAATGAGATGGTGGCCGCAGTTATGTCGGGGACACTTGAACAATAAACTGGTGAAGTAAATTGAGGATTGTTACAAATATAAATTTATTTAAATAGAAATAGGGAGTTTTACAATATGGAAAACCCTGAATAACTCATGTTTGAGTGACAAAACAAAAATTAATTTACAAAATTAAAATCCTGGCCAAAACAAACAATCATTATGAGGATAATACACATTCACTAACAATTCACAACTAATAGGTATTACAAATATAAATAAACTACTTCAAGTAACCTGCTCAAAATTTAGTAACAATGTTGGAAATTATGTGCAGTACAAAATTCAGTCTAATGCTCTAACTTCGAATTGCACAAATGAGATAACCATAATATAATACGCAAAAACACTTAATACTGCAATTTTATCGTCTGAATTGAATCAGCATAAATTAAAATTCTAGTTTTCACGTACATACACAGTCAAATTCCTTATCACGACAAACTGTGAGGTAGATTTCCATAGAGAAATAAACGAGTATAATTTTGGACAATATCGTGAAATATAGAATTCATCACAGTGTGAAAATAATTTACCAATTATGACAAATGATATTCAGCAATACATATTTCGATATCTTGATCAGAAATAGGCATAATTAAAGAAAAATATATTAAATAACAGCTTGATGAAAAAAACTTCAATTCTTGTTGAAATTTTCATTTCCTTTGACTATTCTGCTCATATTAGATACCTACTTTATGTAATCCTGTTCCCAGTGTATGAATTCAATATTGTTCTGTTCCCAGTTTTTGAACGTTATAAAAACAGAAAATGAAAGTAATCTGAAGGATTACTTGATGTCAAGCCATTCATATTTCACCACCTAGATGAAAAATGTGTAAATTATATGTAAAGCCCATCAGTTTTTCAGCTATTTTATTTTTTCTGATAATTTTGTCAATTTTGAATTCCATAATTTAAATATTGGAATGCGTAAGTTTTATAGTTTTATTCATATACAATTATGAATGATATTGTTCGTGAATGGATTAAAACTCTAAAATTGAATCCCGAAGCAAGACTGAGTCGCAGAAGATGGTCTTCAACTCCCTGTGGTTTGAATACAATTTTATGCACAAGTTCTTTCAAACAATTATTATTAATAATATAACAAACGATCCAGTACAATGTCTTGAATAAGTCAATAATATGCGCTTGAGGTTAGTAGTGAATGGAAGATTTGTTGCCACTTGGTACCCTTAACCACGGACAGTGAGTATCTAAATTCCCCACTTCCGAAGACGTGCTAAGGAAGCAAAACATCCTTTCCAAATAAAATAGGAGACTAATTTTTTCTTACATTATTACCCAACTCGGCCTAAATAAATCTTACTAAAAATATTTTTTTTCGGATAATTACTTGAGAGAACAGAATAAAAAGGCCTCTTAGGGGAAAAGGATATAAGGGCCTACTTTAGATGACTTTTATTATCAGATTTAGAATCAGCATCCCCAAGAACCCCTCATTCACAATCTAAAAATTTCAAAAGATTTCAGTAGAAAAAAATTCAAAATCATATTTTTTCTAATAGGCTGTTCATTTCTAACTTCATAGTTGAATTGCCCTATCCTATGCTTTTCTAAAACCTCCATGCCATTTCGTGACATTCACACTTCTTATATTCATTCAATATTAGTAGTTCCTTACTAATTTGAGCTCAAAGCGACTTTAGTTTTCATTCGTCACAAAAAAAATGCTATAGCTACTTTCTGTGGACCTACTTTGTTTCTCAAAGTAGAAAGATAAAATCAATCGATTCATGACGAAATAATGATTTAATATTTCTTTTGATAACGTTTTTGAGTATATTTTATTTGATTTTTTGAATCGGAGTCTACGTCCGATTTAGCGAGAGAATACTGGGTGTCCGTGGTTAAGAGATAAATTGAAAGTACCTTCGAATGTTCATATCATATTTGTGATGTTATAGTTTCATTACCCAGACTTCAAACAGATTGTTCAAAGGGAGTTGTACACCAACACAATTGAATCTGAGTATGTACATTCAAATCAAACCTATCAATCATTTTTGAACTTCTCAGACACTGGGTTGAGGATTTATTTCAGCTTCTATCGGTAGGGTTGAAAACTTTCACTTCTCATCAGTTTTGGACACAAGTTAGTCAGAACTGTAACATCTTTGTAGTTTCAAAAATAATCACGAATATTTCGAAACAGAATTCAAAGCAGCCACATGATTTTTGAGGTTATATTTGAACATGTACTGACTACAATTAGTACTGGGAAAGCTCACAAATTTTCATGTACTTCTGATATCCCCGATATTTTCCTATTTTGTTCCATGAAAATGTGCCAAATAAAATGTGAAATGAATGCTTGGGCTAGATGCTGAAAGTATGATCATTATGTTTGTCAAGATCTATACAAAAAGATTGAAGACACATGTTGTGGTTTTCCACGTTAATGTATTGTTTTACAATTTATTTACAAATAATTCAGAGGGCATAATGTACACAAGAATTTGCAATGAATACTACATACATTTTTATTTTGTTCAATATTTGCAGTTCATTTATTGAAGACATTTATATTATGTTGTTATACAACGTCTCAAAATATCAAATCAAGAAAGAACATTTCTATAAGGATGGAATGAGTAACATGTGTCTTCAACATGAATCTCAAGAGTTCTAAATTTAAAACAGGTTAGGTGGGAAATAACAAAATTGGATGTGACTTAATTCACTTCATAGGCATTCAGAGAAATAGGGGTTTAAGCATATTCTCGATTCTTAACCAAGTGTTATGCACTTTTCAAATAAACGAAGTGTTCCATTTTAAAGTAAATAGCAAGAATATCCATTGAAAGAAATATCTCACGAGAAAACAAGTTGATTTATATTCTTAGAGGAACATCGTTTGACCTGAAAATGACGCTGACAATGTTACCCCCTCACTTGCAGAACCATGCACCCAATTTTTTTTTATAGAAAATGAATCGAATGTTTCTGTAGTATTTGTGTTTCTTAAGGAAAACACAGGTGAATCTAAATCCCCAATGGATAATACAAATAACAGTAGGTATAGATAGGTACTTCATTATGTTTTACGAGATAATTCTTTTAAGAATTATTCAAGATGTTTCGTTTTTCGGGACACCTAAAATTCGGTCACAATCATTCATCAGTGTTGACTCTTCTTCATTAAATGGTTGGAAGTTGGAATATTCTCTTGTAAGTACTCTGGAAGGTCCACAATTGTACTCATGAAAAAATGTGTCACACTGATGATGGATTTATGCAGCAGTTTTAAGTCTTAAGTTTCAAGTCTTAGGTTTTAAATCACAAGTCGTAAGGTGAAAATGGCGATTCATGCAGCAATAATGAGGACTGTCATATCATAAAAAAAGCACACCTATTCATTAGCTCAATTTGCTTATTGTTTATCAGTTTTTTACATGTTTGAGGTAACACAGAACAGTTTTTTTCTATTATTCAGCAGTTACGAATATCTGTTTTGGTTTTGATTCAATTGAAACAAATGTAAACAAACCAAAATAACAAATGGCAGCACACGGCTCATGCGCAGAGTAAATTATCCATAAGTTTTAAGTCGTAAGTCGTAAGAGATGAATGTTGGCCAACTTTTCTTACGACTTAAAAACTTATGACTGCTTATGACAATTATTGTATGAACGTTTACATTGAAATGCAATGAATGAACTTCTCAAGACTTATGACTTGATACTACCGACTTAAAACTTATTACTGCTGCATAAATCCACCATGATTCCTGAAAAGCTTCTACATTAAATTGATTTCACTCGAAAATGATCTGGCTGATGTGAACAAAGAATAAATATATTATTTGATCCTATACCACTTCTTTGGTCATGAGTCATGCTTGTATGAAATTTCATAAAATTTAATGAAACAGAAAAAAATATTTTTGGAACGATCTTTTAACCTGGATCCCCCTGTACATTTTTTATACACGGTGGTGACATTTTTTTTCCGATATTTCTCTGGCTAGTACATGTAAGTACAGTCATTATTTTCAAATTTCTATAAACTCATTCCTGAAATTGGATTTTAAGGGAGATACACCCCTTTGAAGTAGGGAGTGATGAATATCAGTTTTAAAAGGTGTAATGAGTCATAATAAATTTGAGATGAGTTTGCATTGATTCATCATTGAGATAACTGTATGATATGAATGTAAAACTAATATTGCAGGCTTCCTTATGTGTAAAGAGGTTGTTAATCATTTTCCCATTAGAGTATCTCAGTTTTCTAATTTCAGAAATGAATACTATTATAACGAATTGTTCTTGTTTCAGACTTCCTTTGATAGCAGATTGCCGATACCTGATTAAAATAATGAATTCAGTTATCCATCAAAGTATCATAGACTTCATAAAAAATCATCTTGGGATGGATCTTCTAACGGTCTTTCTATCTCAAATTGATTTCAGTATAAGTAGTGGTGATGTAGATTATTATTCAGAAAACCAATCTGTTTGGTCAAGTTTTGTTCATTACACATAAATCCTAAGATTGGAAAATTGCTTTAGAAGAAAGTGCAAAAGTCTACATTGACTATGCAATGGTTTCATTCCCGTAGAAAATGTTATTCCAACTTCTAAACTACGGTGACACTGAAAACAAAGTTGAATCAAAACAAATTAATGATGAAGTCAACCTGCAGCATAGTTTATACCAAGTCAGTTGGAAAAACACATCACCGCAAGCAGTCGGTCCCTTTGAAACTTCAAAGAGTGCGGCAGCGCGGCCCGACATTCCTCTGATGATCTGTTCAACTGACTTTGCATAAACTTTACCCAGAGTTCTTATCCAAGAAGCATTCAAGAAAGACTTCGAAATCGATCATAATGACACCAATGTCTGCAAAAAGTTTCCGAATTTTAGGTCATCTTCGTGAAATGAAATAAGATATTCGTTGAAATTTACTGTATAAAAAATTATGTTCAGATTATTTCCGAAATATGAGAATACAAAATAACAAAACTATGAAATGCTAGTCAATTGTTACTGAATATGATATCAAGATATGCCCGGCGCTTTCATCTGTTTAATACAAGTTTTCTTGAAACAACAATAAAGTTTACGAATTTTAGGTCATCTTCATGAAATGAAATAAGATATTCGTTGAAATTTACTGTATAAAAAATTAAGCTCAGATTATTTTCGAAATATAAGAATACAAAATAACAAAACTATGAAATGCTAGTCAATTGTTACTGAATATGATATCAAGATATGCCCGGCGCTTTCATCTGTTTAATACAAGTTTCCTTGAAACAACAATTAACATGTGATTCATGCAATGGTTATTCATACACGTCAGGTTGATGGAAATAAATTGATTTCGGAAATCCAGCATCACGTGCCGGTTGCCCCTCCAAAGCGAACTCACCTGAATTTCGGATTTGACCAGCAGAATATCCTTGACTTGACAAAACCAGCAGCACAGCATAAATATAACAGGTTTGAATCTGGCCAAGTGATTAATGGATTCATTGATTTTTTTCAAAATCCCCTGGATTTACAATTAAAAATGCATAAGAAAACTATACAAAACGTTTGTAGAGAATCTCACATGTAATATAGTTCTCTATCATATGTATAATAAAATAATGTGAAAATCTCCACAAATCAAAACGAAAAAGAACAAATCACCACATTTGTAAAAAGAAGGAAATTTAAATGTTCACAGTCCATTCATAGTTAAAAGTGCGTTACTAGATCATACAAAATTTCTTTTAATTTTTCACCGTTTATAAAACTTCCTTTCATAAACCATGTTATTCAATTTCGCTGACGATTAACTAAAACTCACTGTACAGTCTGAACAGTGCAACCTGTTCAATTGGGCGCATAGCTAGGCCAAGAAGTCCGGATCACTATAATCGTTTTCACTTTCATCACCCGACGAACTCACGAACTTCCGCCGCTTCTTTTTGTGTCTATGCTTTTTCGCTTTCTCTACCGACCTTTGAGTTCGCGGAGTACGTTTCGTATCACTATCAAACCTTCTATTAGATATCACCAATTTGGGCACTTTTGGTTGAGAGTCCTGAAAAAAAAATAGTTATTTATACACCAAGGTAGTGAAGAATATCATTATCACCCAGGGACCAAGATTATATCCCGAGGCTTCAGATGAAACCGAAATATGGACCTGTTGTCACTATGCCAGCACTTATTTTCAATACTTAGCCATGACCATGACAGCATATGACAAGTCGTTATTGATAAATACCTGTACTAGATTCGAGTGCCATTCCTGCGAATATCTGATCAGAACAGTGCATTCGGGTCAAAGCAGAGGTGGCTATGTCTTTATTGACTAGTGGTTCATAAAATGACGAAAACTACCTTGGTAGTAAAAACACATAACACTTTGTTTGACAAGCGAATTTTGCATTTGCGAGGCGGAGCGTTAAGCGAAGTCGAGCGAAAGCAAAATTTGCAAGTCAAACAAAGTCACTTTTGATCCGAATGAAACATGTTATTTTTTCTGCAAACGAAACAATGAACTGGAATAAATATGTGAAGTAACCACCAATGCCGTGCCATATGTATGTAATGCAACAAATAATCCGTGTGGTTTATTCAATTTTCAAGGATGTTCGAATTGTAGTTTCAATATAAATACAACCACAGAGTGACATATTTGTGTATGGACCAGATGCTCTAATGGCAAATACTGCGCCAGTGCCAGGTATAGGAACAAGACGTGGAAAATGTTCGGTTAGTGAGCATATCAACAATAATAATAGCGATTATTTATTTCTCTCCATACTCGGAACAAGACGTGGAAAATGTTCGGTTAGTGAGCATATCAACAATAATAATAGCGATTATTTATTTCTCTCCATACTCCACTGTGTTTGGCTTGATAATCAAATGTTGGTAAACAATATCGTTGTTTTAGACAAAAAATTGCTGGCCGTGATTATTCAGAAACAAGTTATCCATCCCGAGAATAGCGAATGAAATACATATCAGGCAAGTATATGAATCTTGAAGGCTTTCCTGATCAAAACAAAAATACTCAACTATACCCTTGATTATATACACTAGTGTGACTACTCAAAGACTATAAATACTAAGGTGTATTTATATATCCAGCATGGGTATGAAATGCCAAATCTGCCGAAATCGGAAACAAATCAGGTATGCGTCTCTACCCAAATAACCAATCATAACAACGTTGTTTATTCTTGATGACCTCTAGTACATCCTTCTTAGATCTGAGGAGCTAAAGTTCAACTTCAGATCTTAGGAACTAAAGTTCAACTTTAGCTCCTAGGAGTCAATTCAAAAGCTGATTTTGGTATGAAAATGGACGACTTTTGTCAACTTTAGGTCCTAGGAACTAAAGTTCGACTTTAGCTCCTAGGAGTCAATTCAAAAGCTGATTTTGGTATCAAAATGGACGACTTTTGTGTCAGTTGCAGAAAAACAATATTTATTTCTTTACGATACATAATCCAAAATGGCGGTAAGTTGTAAGATGTACATAATCTTGGAGATTGCTTATAAGAATGTATTCAGTTCATTGAATGCATTGAAGTTCCTTTTTTTCCATTCTGGAGCGCACGTAAGATAATCCCTATTATATTCGTGTAGAAGGAAAACTTTTGGCCTTCACTGAAGAGATCAGGGTTCTGAAGAGTATTCTTAAGGAACCTGAACCAAAAAGGTCTTTCAAACAAACCTCTGGTACTATGAGTGGAAGTGCTTACAGTTACTGTGATGGTATTTTAAGTGACCACTATACTGGGTGTTTCAGATTTAACTGTACATAAGATACCTGTAGATAGCGGACACTTTGATTATTCCAAATCACTCCTTATTGGTATGTCTAACGTCTTTTATATCTGAGATACAGGACGTTATCTTGATTTTGGAAACATCTTCATCTGGTCATAATTTTTGAACTGTATAATCTATCCATACTTGGTAAAAATATTCCACTCATATTACCAAAACTAAATGAAAATGGGATCAAAGTCCAGATCCATCTTGAGAAAAAACAGAAACAGAGTATGTATGAACTATGACAAAATTTCGTAAATCTAGAATCTCTTTTTTTTTTTTCATCAAGTTCCTTACCTTATAATTGTCAAGTACAACTTGGTCAGTCTCTGTAAGTATTGATGAAGGTGCTCCTGTCTGGTTTGGTTGGGGATTGACGTTGGTACTCGCCAACGCCGTCAAAACCTTTGGAGCATTTTCATCTTCATCTACGTCTTCGGGGTCCAGTTGCAACATCAATTGTTTGAACTAGAAGAAAAAATAAATTAGATCCCGCATGGTATAGATTTCATAATAAGGCCTTCCCTCAACGAGCTTACACTATCTCTTTATCGAGAATGAGTCGGGAGAAATCCATAAGAACATGCATGCTTATATTTTAGAATACGCTCTCATTTGAAATATTTTCAGCAATGCGGAGTTGCCGCTTCTATCAAGAAGTAGCAACAACTTTGTTATGTCAAATAGAATACCCTGTATTTTATTGCAATCTTAGATTCTCCCTGAAGAGCTGATTTCAAAATCGAGATTTTTCAACTTTAGGATTTGTTTGTGTCGAAACAATTTATTATCGGCCAAAAGGCACACATGTCCCTATCTCAACTTTTGATCTAATATTCACTGATGGAACAGATACAGGGTGATCAGAATTCTGAATCTCGAACCACATATACAGTGTTCTAGAATGTAAATATTTGTGAAATTCACTGCTGAAAAGGAAACCCACATTATGTATTCTTTTAAATTCAAGAACATGACCTTCCCAGTTTATCAATCATAGTAATCTCAACATATGGTCTACTAATACTAAATGAGTAAGCACATCATTTCTGGAACTTGTGAATCTATATTTACAAAAGTTATTGATACTTACGTCTACATATTGACGTATGAGATCCCTCCTTCCTTCTTCATCCAGATACTCTGCAGGATTTCCTTCTTTGAGTTTCTGTAGAGTTGCCTTTGGGTTGAAGAGAGCATTCGACCTACGCTGTATCGCTTTTTCATAAACCTTTGCTGGTTCCGATGGTGAATATTGTTGTATTTTTCTGAAACGTCAAACGAAATTGAGGGGTTTTGACATCATTATATTTAGTTTTGAACTATCTCCATGTAGACTCACCGAAAAAAAAAAACGGCCAGCAATTTAGCCAAATTGAACGCCCTGTAATTTTTCAATTTTGTCCGATTCTGTTGAAATTTCGACCAAATCGTAGATTTATATTTCAGAGTTAAGCCTGAATTTTGATTCATCAAAGAAGTTGGCTTGATTATTATACAGGGAGGAACAAAAGTTACTATTTTATCCTTAACTTCTTAACTCTCAGTGGCAAAGGTGAGTGATTGAATTTAGCTTCATCATGTTTTAGAAGGGGTAATCCCTTCTTGATACAATGGTTTTTGATTCACGCCAATATCTTCTTTTTATTCATATGAACAATAATTCAGAACCATAGAGAATCTTTGGGATGAACCCCAGAGGATCATTTGCCTTCGTCCAGCCTTGTCAGAGACTCAAGAGCAACGATTCGCCCTTCAAGGACAATTTGAGGCAATTCCTCAAGACTGCTTGAGTAATTCAATCAACGACTCGATGCCACGGCGGTTGAATGCTGCCAATTCAAGCTTGAGGAGGACATACTCATTATTGACCACATTCAGGTCTATGTTTCTTTTGTTTTTAGAAATCGAGGTTTTTGTTTGCTGGTGAGTACTGAAAAACGGGGTGGAAATGAGTGAGTTCTTAATCGATAAGTTCATGTATGTTCTGCAAATTGAAAAAATCCATACTTTTTCAAAACACTTGTATCTTCTCTTAAAAAGAAGATATTGACGTGAATTAAAAACCATTGTATCAAGAAGGGATAGCACTTCAATCCAAAACATGATGAAGCTAAATTCAATCACTTACCTTTGCCACAAGCAATAAGAAATAAGAGTAACTTTTGTTCTTCCTTGTATAATGATCAAGCCATCAGCTTCTTTCAAGAATTAAAATTCAGGCTAAACTCTGAAACAGTCGAATTTTCGTCCGAATCGGACAAGAACCGAAAAAGTTACAGGGTGGTCAAATTGGCTAAATTGCTGACCGGTTCTATTGCCGGCGAGAGGATGAAAGATTACAAAAAAAAAACAATGCAATGTAGAATATCGCCCTGTATGGAATACTCACCCATCGCTGAGACCATACACATCTTTAATATGTTGTTTCAACATAAGTAGTAGCAGGCAACCTTGAGCTGCTGTTATGCAAGCTTGTAGTTGGGTGGTGTCTTCAGGTACACGGGACAGAAGAAGATCTTCATCGTCATCATCTTCGTCTAGAGCTGATATGACATTCAAAGTTTCACCATTTTCGCTGTCGAGAATTTTATTCTGACCCTCTGTCATAATCAAACCCTACAAAAAAAAAACGATAAGGACAATGCATGAGCTGTTTTGTCATTTGAAGCAATCAAAGTATTAAAAGATAAACGTCTGTGAGTTATTAAAAGTTGTAAGTCACAAGTCCTTAGAGAGCTTGTTTGAATTGAAGCAAGAATGTTTGTTTCTGAATATTCATTGTTATGTAAAAAACAAACAATGACGTCGTTTATGGGTAATACCTGTTTTTTTGACAAGATGTTTTGTTCAATTCTTCACTCTCTATCTTGAAAAATACGTATTTGAACTTCAGGATCTCTCAGTATTTTTACAATATTTTTCATGAGGTATCGCTGTCCTACCCAACTTAGCATTTATCTCACAGGTGACTGAGACAAAATCACTAATGATCAGATGATTCTTACCTCCCGAAATGATTGGAGCAAATTTGTTCCAGAAACTGAGATCATAATATCGACGTGATGAACGATGAAGAGGGGCTCATCCTGAACTTGGTACGGAAAATATGCCAGATTATCTGCCAAGTACAACATGTAAGATAATGTGGTACGCTGAAACAAACAATTTGTCAAAGCACTATATATGAAATCGATTCATTAAAGATACAGTTGTATCAAAAATAACATTGGGCATATCTTACAGTTGACATGCCATGAGATTCATCAACTTTATACAGGCTTTGATTATTTTCATTAACAAGATGATCCACCTCAATGTAAAATGTTGAAGCCAAAGTTGACATCATTTTAATGGATGAACTGATCAAAAGGCTAACATCCAAAGGGTATTATTGCTTAGGATAGGCCGACGACCTGGCAGTTCGCTAAAGGTAGATTCGCAAGTACGGTTTCGGAGCTCACACAAACTGCTCTTAACATAATTGACAAGCGGTGTAAAGAGGAGGAACTCACCGTGAACCCTCATAAAACCTGTACAGTGAATTTCACGAAAAATAGAGTACTGGAAGGATTAAAGCCACTAGTACTCAATGGGATAGAAATTCCATTCGCCCTGAGGCAAAATACTTAGGAGTCATCTTTGACCATAAGTTAACATGGAATCAACACCAACAAAATTTTTTTCAAAAAAGTACAGTAGCCTTCAATCTGTGCAGACGAATGTGCGGAAGAAATTGGTGGCCAAACACAACAGGCTAAAGTGATTCGAAGGCTCAGTGCTATTAGAAGGCAAGCTTGCCTGAGTGCCACTGGTGCAATGAAAACCACTCCAACAGCCGCTTTAGAGGTCCTCTTGAATCTGCCACCACTACAAATATATATTCAAGGCGAAGCCAGAGCAGTCGTGGGTAGATTGTCAAGGTCAAGCACCCATAAGCAACGCGCACGGTAAAGAATATAGGAAGCTATATGAAGAGTTGAAAAGCGACCCCATCATGGGAATGCCAACAGATGGCATAATTCCAAAATATAGATTTGAAAAAACTTCTAAAATAGGTATGACGGACAGAGAGGTATGGAAGGAAGGACCTCCTATCAATGCAGACATTGCTGTCTATACGGACGACTCCAAAACTGAGGAAGGATCAGGAGCTGGTATTTATGGGGCCAAGCCAAAGACAAGAATCTCACTGAGCTTAGGTAAATACGCGACGGTGTTTCAGGCAGAAATTATTGCAATACATCATTGCGTAAAAGAATTGATAAGGCAAGAGTTTAAAGGCAAAACCATTGCAATCATTCAGATAGCCAGGTGGCAATCAAGGCAGTCAACTCTATGCAAGTCAACTCAAAACTAGTATGGGACTGCTTAGAAACCCTAAATGAACTGGGCAGTCAGAACAGACTGTCTATAGCATGGGTACCAGCACGGGAACCAGCACATACAGGGTACGAGGGCAATGAAGAGGCAGACTCACTTGCCCGAGCAGGAGCAAACAAAGCTCTGAATGGCCCAGAACCCTTCTGTGGTATTGCGAAAGCTATTCAAAAGACTAGTATCAAATCATTGATGCAAACCAAATCTCAAGAATGGTGGAACAACTCGCCAGGAATGAGACAGGCAAAAGATTTTATTAAAAAACCATCGCCAACATTCACAGAATATCTACTGAGCCAGAAACGAAGTTCAACTAGAATACTAGTGGGACTTCTCACAGGGCATTGTAGGCTCAACAAATACATGAGTACGATAGGTCTGACTAAAGAACTGCTCTGCAGGTTCTGTCAGGAAGAGGAGGAAACAGCAGTACACATACTTTGCCACTGTGAGGGCTTGTCAAGAGTAAGGTTCCTTACGCTGGGTGAGGAAAAAACAGAAGCCCAAAGATAAACAGGGGATCTGAAAGCTAGCCTGAGGAGTCTCATAGAGAAGGTGGGGCTAGCCGAAGAACTCTAATCGATTTTGAGGGCAGACACAAAAGATCTGAAAAGGTCGCGGTGTGGAGGCAGATAGCCCGAAGGTCCCATTCTAAATCTGATCTAATCTCTGACCTTATTTCTTGGATGGTTGATAGGCGGCGCTAGTGAAACTCAGTAAATTATGGCCGATTTGTTTATACTCTCGGAATCTGCTTGAATCCATCTTTTTTTTCTGGTTCCTACGAAAAGGGATTTCCTGTAATGTTCAGAGAACATCGTGAGAACCAAGGGAAATAACCTATCTGTAAGTTACTGATCTATCTAGGAATATCTTTCGTTCTGGAGCAGGAAAATCTCTAACTTGGATATTCTGTCTTTCAAATAATAAAAATATTCTTGATCCAGCCCCGATGTATTCACATCTAAAAATAAACATCAAATATATTCTGCTTTACCCTTCGCTACCCAACAAAAAGTAGTTCACCTTGTCGCTCATAGATACCGCCTCCACCGATAAGAATTTCTGATTTCATTGCTCTCGTAAGGATGATTCATTTTGTTAGTGAAAATAATCAAGGCTACAGGTTAGCTAATACTTCATATTTTAAAGTATACACAATATCCTACATATTCAAATTCTGTTTCCTTTCAAGCCATTTTGTTATATAGGGACTGCATATGTTTTCATGTATGAACAAGCAATTTCAATATAATAATTATGCTAATTCAGATGCTAAGGAGCTCTAAGATTGTTTGGTTTGGCATTCTGACAGGGGTAAGTGTGACCCACTTCTAATGGAAACACCCCTGGAAATTTGCAGGAGGAAGGGAAAGTCCAAAGATAAAGTCAATTACGTAAGATACGGGGGTGCTTCCGTAATAATTGCGACAAAATTCAATTTTTCAGAACTGAAAATTTTTCAGGAAAGATATGAATAGTTAGTAAATTGGGCGTCCTGATTTCGAATCTGAAGTGATTTTCGACCTATTCTGACTCCCAATATCATTTTCCGGAAATTGTGGTGGTTTTATGGCTGTTGGCGAGCAGTGTATATCACTGAAGATGACCCCACTGGGTCATAGGGTGCATTTTTGGTATGTCTCTCGCTCCAGCAAATCTCAGGATCCTAACCCAACGATTACGTAAGATACAGGGGTGTTTCCATTAGAAGTGGGTCACACTGTATGTTTCGAAATATAAGGTCAGGAGATGTCATGCAATTTCTGAAAAAAAAAAGGAATAGTATAAGATTCTTATATACTTACAGCTTGTTCGTCAAACTGTTTCAATATATTAAGTATTAAGGCACGTCTTTGTTGTCTGGAACTACGAAGAATAGAGTACAAATAAGCGTTCAGCGCACTGGGATATTCGCCCTGCTCCTTCACTCTGAACCCCCTCACTACCCCCTCCGGTTGCATGATCTTCTGCAGCTGGTAGGCCAGCCTAATCCCCAACGAGGACTTCGTGTGGATGAAGCCCGGATACTTCTTCTCGATGTCAATCAGCTGTTTGTCCGCACTGTGCGACACCAACTTTTCACAGTCCGTACTCATGCATATCAGGTACGGAACGATCTGCACCGGATGCACCAAGCCTTGCTGCAGGACAAGCTGGATGACCCTGAGGGCCGGTTGCCGCACTTGCAGGTCGTGGTGCAGATACGACTGCATGATCTCTTTGAGGTAGAGCTGGATCACCGTACTAGCCATTCCCGAGGATACGTCCCCCATCTCTTTCAGGTTCTCCTTCTTCGATAGCTTCGACCCTTCAATGTCAATCGGAACAACGCGAAATTACTAGCCAGCAATTCAAGTTCTCATGAAATGATAAACAGAGTGGTATCTGGACCAGTGGGAGAGTTGGATAACTATTGAAAAAATTACGATCAAACTGTATCACGTGAGCTATATATTTCAACATTATCGTAATTCATGTCCAATGGGCAAGTGGCCTAATATATTTTTAATTTCTAGAATAGCATCATCACTCAAAAACCTTTAAATTCCATTTTTTTTTTGAATTTTTGGTCGATTTTAAGGTGCTAAAATCATCATGTCACTGTAATTTTCAAACGGCTAAAAATTTACTGCAAATAAAAACTGACGTCAAGATTTCGTAAGTAGGGGCAGACCATAGCACAGTTGCCATATGTTGAAATATGATTGGGAACTTCAGAAATATTATATATTCAATAATTCTCAAGTCAATGTGTATTGGTTATATTCCTAATTAGCCAAAATATTTCCTCATGGGTTGTGGCTCATTACTTTTAAAACATTTGTGTGAATATTGATAAATATATTGAAAAGGAATATCCTCAGATATATTTAAAATGAACATGAACATTTAAAGAAATACATAGAGAATGTGAGTTCTCAAATGAAAATATTAATTCTCTCTCGGTATATTCAACAGAAAACAACTATTTTCCTGGCTATATGCCACAACGAACATTGAATTAAATCAATTGAACACACACGATAAGAATTAATACATTAATAATTATATCAATTCACACTTGAGGACATTTGAACCGGTAAACGTGACAGCTCGGCGCATGAACTATGGGCGTTGTCTTGTCAGTTCTCAACATTCAACACATGCTGCCAAGTCTCCAACATTTACATGATAACTGTGGTGTTGTTTTTGGGGTTTAGATCTTAGATTAAAGACAACTATATTTGTTGAAAGCCAACGTTTCGTCGATTTATTTTGACATCTTCAGGGCACTGTAAGATAAAAGGGTCGTTACAAATTACACCTGTACTTCCTGTAATATGTCTATACTACTTAGAATTTCGTATATCGCTACTCCAAAATTGAAAACCGACTTTCCGATAGTCCAAACTTGTATATTGTATAGTGTTGGGAAGAGCAGGATCTACAGCTTATAGTGGATTTTGAATCATTTCTAGTACGCCTACAGGCTGATTTGAACTGTGAACCACATCCATGACATGGCTCGAACCATCTGATGAAAATATAGGTACATAAGCAAATGACATAGCCTCGAAAAAGTTTTTTGGTGCCGTATCTTCTCAGTATGGATCATAATAATCTTCTTGTTACTGGGCAACTTTCAACACATAGCTTATGCTAATTCGACGCTCAATTTGGTAAGAGTGCTTCTATAGAGAATATTATTCTAGAAAATATTTATAAAGGGTACTAAGTGTGGAAATTTGATATCAATACAACAATCAACTGGATTTTCGAAATAAGTTTTTTACTTACACTCCAAATCCTGTTGAATCATCCGGTTCTCTTCCTCTACCAGGTAGTTTTCTATGTTGATGAGTACTTCAACCTTCATCCTCAAAGGGGCATCGTCCCCTGTTAACTGCATGTGGTAGAAAGTCTTCAGCTCATTTTCCAACATGAACTCATAATGTCTGATACAGATGGAACCTATTGCTTTCAAAGTGTTAGCTTGCATGTCGATATCGTCCCTTTGCAGAAAAAAAGTCATGGTTTGGTACACTTCATCCTTGGTTTCAGGCTAAAGAAACAGATAAAATATGAAGAGCCATTAGGAGAATCGATCACATCAATCACTAGAATTATGACACATACAATTTTTTCTGATTGTAAATTAAAAAATAAGAGTGCCGTGAAATTTGAGAGCAATCCGACGTAATTCGTGATAGAATAATGAAACTAAATGACTATGTACTCTGATGCGTACAGATCGCGCTGATATAGTCTGTATAATATTTCTTTGCGTGTAAATGGAATAAGCAAATACCTACGCACAACTTGCTATCTTCTTTCAGAGTAGAATATAGAGCATCAATTTCTATCATGACATAAGTCACATCATTCTTAGATGCAACGGGTTAAACGATTGCATACGGAAGAAGTGTTCGTAGGTCGGAACGCATTCAAGTGTGCTATTTCAGACGCGTGCAGTACTAGAAAACTCGTTCATATATAGAACGGCGAAGCTTTAGAATTCTTTGCCAATGGAAGTATTCCCAAGAACTTATAACCTCCAGAAGTTCAAAAAGAAATCCAACACCTACCTCTTCCCCCTATCCTCCCTAGGAACGCACGATGTTCCACGAACACACATAAAAAACACACATAAAAAAAATTACGTCACTGCTTAACTAAAACATTTGACCTCGAATTGTTTTGATGCAGTTCTTGACGTTACGTACGTACAAATAAATATTATATAGACTATATACACTAAGAATGAATTATATTTTGCAGGTATATTGTAATATGATAATGATAGGCAACAAGACTCATTTATTTAACAGGCCATAGAAACAGTATCCGTCATTCAGTGGATCGTCATACTAAAGTTCACTCACCGAGAGATCTCCTATTACTTCAGGGTTCTTGAAATCGAAATGCCTCAGCAACAAACCAACTATGAACAACGCTCTCCTGAACAGACCCCTGTACTTCACCTCCTGGCACGTCCTGTAGTCCATTTCGACCCAGTTCTTGTATCTCAACAAGTACTCGTAGTACTTCTTGAAACAGTCCCTGATGAGCTTGTAGTTACGAGTAACTTTGTTGATGATGGAGCCCAAGCAGGACAGACAACTGCTCACTATGGGCCTATTGTGCTGCAACACCAACTTCATGGCATCTTCCTCCAGCTGCGCCAGGAAAGAATCGCTCGGATGTTCCATCAGAGGTACCACCAGCTCCAGCATCCTGGCCACGCTGCTGATTATCTGTATGTCTCCGGCCGATTGGCATTTCAAGCCGAGGTACGGTTGCAGAGTACTCGCGTGTTTGACTAGAAGTTGGGGCCTGATCTTCGCGAACAAATGCAGGGTGGTCAGACAAGCTACGAGACGTTGAGATGAGCCACTGTTGTCGGTGGTTTCTTCGAGGCTCAAGACATTCTCGATGAGACAGTCGACGATCTGTCGGCAAGCCAGAAGTAGGGCCTTCGGGGGCTCTGTAGCTACTTTCGTCGAATCATCTTTGTCTTCCTTCGGTTTGAATAACTGGAAATTAGGGACTTATGATATTTTTTCGTCGGGTCCTGACGTGTGTGGAGTAGTGATCTGCATGAGAATATAATTGAGTGGAATGGCTGACACGAGAAATGATGAGCAAAAAATTTAGATGGGAAATGTGCGTAGGCTAACTCTTCTTACTCTCACTCTCAGACAAATCATTACCATCAATCTAGTAAAACAGAACCAACGTTTCCGATTTACTCGGCCGTTACTTGATAGCAATCCTTAGAAAATTTTCATGAACTTTGATTTTTCCACAAAATTCTTCAAGTGAAATAGTCCTAATCTTATCCTTTGTGATATTTCCATAAGCCAGTCGTGTTTGCTAATGAAAAAATAAATGGAGGCTATTGAAGAAACCAACATTGGTCAACGATGGTCAAATTATTGAGTAACTTTAACTTGATTTAGAAAGATAATAACATAATCTATTAACAAAAAGTTTTAAGACACGAAACACATTATATCAGTAAAATATGTGCTAGTAGTCGGAGAAAATAATATTTAAACCACGGTACGGAAAACTATCATCGCCTGCACTTGCTTAGAAAAACATCTTCTGTACCTTGGTATCTAATTATTAATTTTACCCTGTTGACGGCATCAATGAGCTCAAAAATAAAAATATTAATCATAAAATCTATTTTAAACTGAATTTGAATTAATAATCCAGTTGTTATAAGAGGCAGAATAAAGCAACTAAGCATATTTCCACATATAAGAAGAACGATAATTAATAATGCTTGCATGATTGTTTATAACAATACCGGTCTACTTAGACATCTGGCAACTATCTTCTTTATCCAGTGACGTTAGTTACAATGAGAGGTAATTTTCGACCTCCTGAACAAGGCTGTGACTTTTTTATGATTTCAAAATCTTACCTTGACCATTCAAAGCATAGATAAAAGTTTAAAGAACTAGTGTCAACCCAGTTAATGTTGCTGTTCATGCAACTTGTCTTCTTGCTTTTGAGAAGATTATGTATACGCTTGAGGCAAAAATAATTTTCCTATAGAGAAAGTGTGCGACGTATCGCCTCCTTCGAGCGGGCCCATTTTGCGGCCAGACCGGAGGGATTATCGTATGGTACACGTGCCAGAGTCAAGTGGGTGGGGCGTCGGCACCCATGATTCGTTTCTCTATAGGAAAATTATCCCGGCCAGACGTGTATATACTTACACTAATCAAAAGTTGTTCAAACCATTCCAGACCAATCTCTTTCGAAGAAGCAACAACGTCGGTGATGTTCATAACTTTTCTCAACAGCGAAGTATCCTTAGTGGGCGTGAACCACATGTTTTGAAAAACTTCCATGACTAGCTTTTTGATTCCTTCCTCATCGTTCACCCTCCTGATCATTTTTACACAAATTTCGGGAATTTTCGGGAACTCGGGACATTCTATACAAATATCTTTCAATATCTTAATCACTCTCTTTCTCACACTGACGCCCGTGTCTAATATTCGTGCCGATAACATTTCATAATACTTGCTTATCAGTTCGGGGCGACTCAGGACGAATTTCCCTACTAAATCTACAGCTGCCTCTCTCACAGAAGTCGAATGATCGAGGAAGGAATGGTTGACGCCCATTTGCATGTCATGCCTACCCAGGACTGACGGGTCAGCTTCCACAATCATGGTGAGACATTTCATTGCTTTCGTTCTTATGGCTATAGATGTTTCTTTAAGTACGATAAGTATCTGGAATGGTAATGAAATATTTAAGAACCTGTTGGAGTGAGAAATTTGAGAAAATATTTAAAAGGTCAATGGTTTCGATGATCCCATTTACCAACAACAGAATATGAAGATTTAACTTAACTCAAATAACTAAAAATAAATGTCTCTTGTCTGTTACATGGTGTTTTGTTCGAAAATTTGAAAATTATTTGTGTCTAGTAGGTAATTTAAAACTATAATGAGGTATTATTTTTATATTTGGCGGGAATTGTAGATACTACACACCCTACTTAATAATGTTAAATGAACGTTTCTGGCTTCTAACAGAGTACAACAGAAGCGAGCGACTGGTTGATCTCTCCCAAATTCTATGCCCATCGATTTTCCAATACTTTCTACGTAAATGTCGTACTCTCTCTTCATAGCGTATTTTGATGTGTATAAATATACTTAAGGTCGGTTTTTGGGTCATCGGGTTGCATTTATTACGCAAATAAAATACTATAAAAAAAAACTATGTTATCTATCGAGATTTCTTGAATCTAAAAAACACACTGGAGCTCAAAAAGAAACATATTTTATATAGATGATTTGGATTGAATCTTCATATTTTGAGCTCAGGATTTTATAGTTGAAATATTTCCAATTATTAATGAAATATCCTGCATGTGTAACTGATTCATGAATCTCCTACAACCCTAAATTTATCACGAAATTTATTCTATACAGGTTGATTCCATAATTGTTATGATATCAATGGAGATTTTCATTGAAAACACTGATAAAGCATGTTTAGAAGTTGATTTTTGTTTTGTTTGAATATGGCGTAAATGACGATCGAATTGTACTAAGGCAAATAAAAAAAAATCAATGGATTGTTATCCTACTATAAATTTTAAATCAAGCTTTTTCGATAAAAAATACTCATAAAGTATTACCGAGTGAACAATTTCGTTCAGTGCCACACACACCGCACACACGATAAACAACGCAAAATATCTACGTTTTCATGATACTAATTCCTAACACTGATGTATAAGATCATCATGTATTTTTTATGCGATGTCTTCGATGTGTGTTTTTCCAATAATTGTCAGCAGACCAAGAGCGGCTGATGAGGTCTGATGGACCGAAACAGAACTGTATCGCTCTTGCTGACAATTGGAGCAACTCTATTCATCCTGGATCTCTCAGTTATCAGACAGTTTAGAAACACTTATTATTGGTATATGGAAATATTATGAGTTGGGAATCTTGTTAACTAAAACAGTTTACTTTATACTTACTGCTTTCAGATATTGATCGAAACTCTGAGAGAAATATCTTTTTGAAGCTAGAAACTGAGCGATGAGTTCAGCACTACTATAATCAATGTATGTCTGAAAGACTTGAACTCGATTTCCAGATGACATGGTCTCCTGAAAAGGTTTTATTTTATTCAACAGAAATTTTTTCTTTTCCTCGATCTGTTGGAACTTTTCGGCATATTCCTGATCAGCAGATGCTTTCTTATTTTTCTTTTCTCGTTCTTCATCCGACTCATCACTTTCTTCTTCCTCATATTTCTTTGACCTATGATTATTCTTCTTCTCGCCGGTTGCCAGTTGGGTTTTCTCATTGACACAGTCTTTGTACCACTGAGTAATATAAAAATGCCTAGCATACTTGTAAGCTTCGTCATTTTGAGCATTCACTGACAAAAAATCCAAGAGAACACGCTGCAAGAATTGACCCCTTTCCTCATCAGAGTTGATCGAGTTGTTTTTCTTCTAAAATAACCACAATATTTTGTGCAAACAGCTCGCCACGAAGAAAATGATAACTTACCTTTACTTTCGACGTTGGCTCCTCGCTGTCTTTCATCTCTTCCTGCTTGATGTCCTTTATCATTTGATCTATCGTGTTCAGTTTACACCTTGACAATACACTGTCCCTCCTAAGTTTGGCGGCCACAACTCCCAGATAATCCAAGCTAGCGACACGTAGAGACATATCGGTTCCTTTATTTGAGAAATTTTTGACCAACATTTTCCCTAACAGGCACAGCAACAACTCAGTGGCTGGCCATTCGGGTTTGTTCACTGTCGAAAGTAAATCTTGAACAAAATTTTCGAATAGAGGCCGATAGTCGATGTCCTCCTGTTTGTTACCACACTTGTTCAAGAAGACGGTGAGAAATGTACCAGCTGTCGAAGTGGCTTTCTCGAATTTATTACAAATGAATACGTCGGTGTCGACCTAAAACGTATCTCGAAGATATATTTCGAGGTATTCCAATTTTGGCATATAAATTTAATCCACTGATTGTCACATAATTTTCAAGTCTACAATGTGTGAATATACAATCTGTTAATTTGTTTTTCATTGATACCATCAATTCTCAATATTTCTTGAATAAAAATAATATACAATTTGTATTATACCACTACTGGTTCTTCAAAAACTCGAATATGTAATGAGGTATCTCTCGTCAAATAAGGCACAGTGCTTCAATGATACGAGTCACATGAGTGGAGCAAAATAAAACAAAAACAATTGCCAAATTATCAAAATAGGGGAGTTTAGTATTCCCTGAGCACCTCCCTACCCAGCTGCTCTTGAACTATTTTTGTGAAGATAATGAATCAATCTTAATTATTTCATAACGTACCGAATTTTGAAAGGATATGTTATTAAATTGTCGTATTATTGAAAAAACTATGGTTTTAGATTTAAAACTTCGATGCCCAGAATAAAAAAATTGGCATGAAAATTCATTATTGTGGATGACCAATTGGGTGAAATTACACCACTAATTAGTAACGTTATTGTGGCTTTTTCATGACGTGATAATCACGATATTAACATGACTCCGATTAAACGTCATTTATAGGAGTATAAAAAAGTTACTTCACATTGTAGTGACGTGTCGAAGACGTCTAAATAAACACGTTGGTGTCACGTACCATTTTGGTAGTTTTTCAGACAATTTGTTTCTTACATTGCTTTGTTACCCAACTATTTCCGATTCGCTTACATGTCGCTGGTACTCCATGATTTTAGATACAAATACGCGCATCTGATCTTCCTCTATCACGTCACAACAATGCATATTCAATATCAGATATCTGATTGATCTTTATGGTGAATCTTCTACCAAGTTTTCATAGCTCATTACAAAATTTAGACGACACTGTGGTATACCTACAGGAGCCAAGTGAATAACGTAAGGGTGAGAAATATGACCTCATTGAGCTGTGACTCATTCACATCATTTGGCGTCGACTCATGACGTCACCTCGATCATCTAATGACTGAAAAAAACTCAATGAAACGTCATTTGATCGCTTGGGGAATAAAGAAAGGGGGATTGAATGAGCATAAGAATTAAATACAAGTCAATGCCAACCATGACGTGACACGACTAGACTACCACCAAACGTCTTTTTCATCTAGATGGCAGATTGTTCAAGATGTCAAAACTACCTTCAGTGGCTCGGATATTTTCACGATCTTGTATAATTAAACTGAAATTTTAAAAATCGAGTTCCAGCAGATAGAAATAATAAGTAACTTGTATCAAATTAAATGATGATTCACACAACAAATGGCAAGACATATTATTGTATACCTTTTTTTATATAAAGGAATAAAAACGTAAAATTAAAAATTTCAGTGAATGTAACTGAAGATTTTGTGGCAGTTGATTAAATCGTATTCCTAATTCAAAAGTCAATTGAAATCAACTTTTTCAGTATCATTTCTTACCTGGGGCATTTTCTCACCACTGGAGTTTTTATCTTTTGCATCTTTAGCGTGATTGAAATTGTCTGGTAAGCAAACAACACACTGTATCAGCTGTAACACAAGGGCAGTGAGCATTTGTATGTGTTCCTCACTGTTCAGCCGATAAGTACGCAAACTACGTTTTGTACTTGGAAGACGAGCAATTGATGCTAAAATGTCATCTAACAACAGCCTTCGATGTGTTTCGTATTTCGTAAAGATCTGCAAAAACCAGAACCTCACTAACGAATCTGATTATGGCGCCATTTTTCTTACCGTTGTTACAAGCTTAAGACATGCCAATTGTAATTCACTAACATTTTCAGCAAAAAATGGGGATACACCCATGGAAGAAGCATGAAGAACTGAAGTGTCCGTCAATATTTGAATATTCATCAATTCAGCTAGTAAATTAACCAATTCCGATAGCTTGGTATACAACACTAGAATTCCCTTTTCGGACACTTGAGTCGTTTTCTTTCGCCGGCCATCTTTTTTCTTGTTATCTAACCTATACGTAGAGTCAAATGATGGGAATATTGTATTATGAAGTTGGTATTTTATATAGAGAACTACTCGATCTATAACTTCCTCCAGGTATACCCTTTTAGACATGTTACGGGATGTCATTATATACATGCACACCAGACATGCATCTGCTGCTCCCATTACTCTCTCCATTGCTGTTTCAAGCCATAACTGGCGAATGCTCTCATTATCCTCCTGAAAATGAACATTGTGAAATTCACAGCCAGATCAATCAAATTTCACTTACATCAGATATAGGTGACACTCTATCCCCTCCTCTGATATTCAACTCCAAGACGTTCAAAAGTCTAGTGAGTTTTTCAGTTGGTATCATTTCCATAGCTCCCAGTATCTTCAGTTTTGCTGCCTCGGTACATAATTCTTGCATTACATTCCTGCTCAGGAGGTATTCTTCCTGAATCATCCCATCTTCCGCTGAAAGTTTTCCCAATTGATATACATATGTTCATTAAAAATCAAGAACAACCTTCACATAAGCTAACCACGATAAAGGCGATCAATACTGAATTGATTGAAAATCACTAATTATAGTGAAATTGATTGAATCAATACTCCCTTACATCTCCATTGAAATTTGAACTCGTCATAGCTAAGTGCGTTTGAATTGGCAAGAACTGATAAAGTTTCAAATTTGAATCATACCTAACGAAATCAGAATAGCTCATTATATCAAAGTATCTAGAATGTCATGACCAAGAGATTCTAGTGTATTTTCGTGAGTCGATTGCCAGCTCCGTCATAATACTGTTTCGGCTTGCCAAGCCTCATCAATTGCACTAGGCCAAAGAACAATCGATTCACGAACGTGACTTCTATATAATATGCTGCCAAGCAGGGTCTCAATAGGCGAGAACGATGGACGATCTAGCCTTCCGAGCCTAGTGGCAAAATAACAAAGGGGTAGTAGACTTTTCAAACAAACCGTACCTTGCAAATTCCTCGACGCAAACCCCTATGTCTGTGCTACAGATAAAAAATGTCACAACTCTGCAGACTATCGCAAAGTGGTTTATTGTCCCACTGACAAGAGTTAAGAAACCCAGAATCTCAACACTAAGAGATGCTAGTGCATATCTGTAAATTAAAACAGAGAAGGAGGTGCGGTATGCTTTGAAAAGTCAGACTTTTTTCTGTCACTGCTAGGAACACATCGAAGCTAATTTCAATGATGACATATTTCTTAGAGTTTTGTCACAATAAAATATTGTTTGTTGAAGATAATGTTGATATAAAAGGCAAATTCACACTGACCTATTTCAGTGACATCAATGTCTTCCCCAGACCTCAACACATGCTCAATGGACTTGTTGAACCTGTGGTAAGTATTGGTCTCCATAAGTTCCTCCTGGGACAACTTGGCGAGCACTGGAACGAACTTCTTCTCAACTCGCCTGAGCTTAGGTTTGACGATGACAGGTTCCGGCACATCATCTTTCGCGATTTTCCTTCTTTTACCAACCAAAGCCGAGAATGTGTCAGGCTGATACTCATCGTCTCCGCTGCCTGAGTGCTTTCTCTTAACACGACGTCGTTTGCCACCATTCTCATCATCCGTGTCAGATTCGTGTTCGGCATCTTCCTCTACATCGACACCGAGATCATTCGCTAGTTTGGGTTTTCTATCAACGAACTCTTTGAGACTCTTCTGCATGAGCATCAAGTCTTCCTCTGACAGCCTGCACAGTTTTATGACCGGTTGTTTGATGGGTGAGGAAGAGTTCTCTTGCTCTATTTTCTCTTCAATGACTTGAACTATTTCACTCGTAGGTTTGGCATCAGCATTTTCCTCCTCATTCGTGAATGTCGAATCATCTATTTTCGACTTTGGTTTAGTAATTTCTTTGTCTTTACTTAGTTTCATATCGATAAATAGAACAGGTGCTACTTGATCAGTCTTCGTTGGTTCTTTGGATACTGGTGCATCAGTTGTTGTCTGTTGTACTGAAAACGGATGGAGAATTTATCTACATGATAGGTTATGGATGAATGGAATAAGCAAGACGGTTGTTTTGTTTCAGGCGCAAGACAATCTGATGATTTCGACCCGATTTTACAGTTGAATTGATAATTTTACTGTCAAGCACATAGGCTAGCATTATCATAACCAACACTGGAGCAAAACATTGAAACACAACCTCACTTTCCTATAGGTCGCGTGCAAGATGACCGACCCTTCAACTCAACTTCTCTTATTTGTTTATCAAGACGAATCGTGTTTTTTGAGCTATTCATCAATTCAAGCATGCCATCATGTTGTGCTGTTGTACAATGCACAAAAATGCAGCGATCGAGAGAGGAAGGAATATGATTTTTCAGGTAAATAGTGATCTCACATAGTTTTCATTATGAAATTTTGTCATTTCTCACCAGAATTCCTACTGCCATTTCTGCAATAGAAGCTTATACATCTAAAGGAGTGAAAATGTCTACTACACACATGATTATATTTCGTCAGCATGTCAGGCCAGTCCTCCCGTTTGATTGCATGAATCCAGTCTTCTTGCCATCTTTTAGAATCTTCACGAGTATTCCTCTTATCTCCTATTGCAGAAGGAATTCCAATGATAAATGAAAAAATTCGGATTCCTCCGCCTCTCGCTGCATTTTTTGTGCATTGTACAACAGCACAATGTTATGGCATGCTTGAATTAATGAATAGCCGAAAACACGATTCTTATGCCAAAATAATTATGAAAAACTTCTTCAATCCTTTGTAAACGAATAAGAAAAGTGAGGTTGTGTTCCAATGTTTTATTTCCAGATCTTGCACGCAACCCATAAGAAGTTTTAATACTCTTGTAACTAAAATGCTTTTTAGCATACCAATGAAGGTTCTCGAAGAAGCCCCCAGTCGAATTTTGTGTGAGCATTTAAGGAATGTTCCCATACGAGCTTTCCGTTGTTTGACTTAAAGCGCATTTTCATCTCATTGGCCGATTAGCCAGAAAGAGCGTGTCAAGGTCATAAAGCTAGTAAGTCGTTGTCAGTCCGACTTATCCCTAAAAATAGCTCAGACTGTTTGACAGAACAATATAATTATTCAAAAAATTAATACAAATTGGTGCTATGCATATTATGCCGTGTGGGGGAGCAATGGTAGTAAAAACACTATTATAAATATAAAAAAGTGGATTCTAGAGGATGTACACCTGAAATAAAACTGAATATGCCAGTCACTGTCACCGTAACATTTTTATGTGAACAGTGAACCCGTTTTATTCAAGCTTTTCGAAACGAAATGTGGCTTACACGAGATGCGGCTTGAGCGGAATATGCATTGAACGAGATGTGGCTATGAAATGCTCTCCTTTCTGTGATATGCATAAGCTGGCATGTGATCGCGCCATTCCGCCATTACATGTTTCTGTCAATGTTGAAACAGGAACAGTATAGAAACACCATATGTCAAAATAGAACATAGATCTATTCCCGTACTAGAGTCTATCAAATTTCTAGCATTTCATTGACTGTAGCTTGAGCTGCGATAACCATATAAATAGCTTAGCTTCTAAATTAGCCTCAATTTGTGGGGTCATACGGTATCCAAGAGAACGTATCAGTATTATTTCCTATGGAATATTGTTCTGTTACAAAAACGCATCCTGAGGTGTATTCTAGATTAGAACATGGGTTGCTTACTGTACCCTCATTGTATTATCTATCATTGGCAGTTTTTGTGAAAAAACATAAATATTTGTTTAACAAAAACTCGGATGAATACACATCTAATATGGACATGTTCACAAGTAACAGAAATAATCTGAGTATTCCACAACATTCAACTGCTTTTTTTTCCAAAAAAATACACATTACAGAGCAATAAAGGCCTTCAACAAATTACCATCAGAAATTAAGGACATTAAAAATCCAGCTATATACAGGAATTTAGTCATTTGTTTTCCAAAAGAAAAAATGTATTATGATTTTAATTGTTGGAAATAATTCTTCCCAACTGCATTTTTTTTTTCATATTCGTTCTTGATGTAATTTTATCAGGGGTTCCATTTTTTGACGTTGCTATTGTCATTAGATTTTCACAGCAATAAAGATCATTATTATTATTATTATTATTAGGGCCAGGTAGCCGTGCGGACAGAGGGACAATATTCTGATGGCCCAAAAAAGTGCTTGGGATCACATGTTAAAAGGTAAGGCCCCCGTCATTCCTTGCTCGCACAAGACTCTCGAAGACTTCTGAGGGTTGCTCGTAAGGGGGCAACCGAATTATGGATAGATCAATTATAACTAATGGCCAAAATGACCATGCAATGGAGCTATTTATAGATGACGACAAATGTAGTTGTATACTTAATATTCCTATTGAATCACATTTCATATGAGCACCAATAAATATAATCACTCACCTCTAGTAGGAATCCGCCTCAACTGTCGCAACTCACTCGTTAACGTTTGCGTATGTGGTGCAGATGTCGCTGTAGTAGTAGTGGTAGTAGTTATAGAAGTAGGCTGTAGAGCTACAAGGGTAGGTTGCACGGTTATAGGAGTAGGTTTCACAGTTATAGGACTAGTTTGCACGGCTTTAGGAGTAGTTTGCACTCTAGGAGGAGTAAATAAAATAGTCGAAGGAGCAGGCTGCACAGGAGTAGGTGGGATAGTTGTAGGAGCAGGTTGCTTAGACGTAGGTTGTATACTAGGGCTGGGTGCAGGCTGTACCAATTGTCTCGGTGCTGGTAGGGTCACCTCAGGCACCCTACCATTATTACAGTTGATCACAGACGTCACCAGTGTACCCTGGCTTGGCTCCTCCTTTCGGGACAGTTCAGTGGGCGAGGTTACTTTTTGATCTGCCACAGTTTGTATAACACTAGGTATGACTGGTTGAGATTGTTGGTTGTAGTTTTGTTGACCTATAATGCGATTCGGCCAATCAGGTATTCAATTGAATCTATGAGCCCTTGTATAAATTTTAATATCATGTAGAAATTTCACCTAAATCAGTCAACTCTGTGTTGCCAGCTCAAAAATGAAATATGGGTAGAAGATTCAAAAGTTTCTAGTACTTTTTCGTATTCCACTATGCCTATGAACGTTAATGACGTTTCATAATTACTAAAACATACTATAGGGTATTTTGCATGGCCCCAATGATAATAAACAAGGATTTTGACTGTTTTATTGCAACTGCCAAACAAATTTAAAAGAGTACCAGATTAGTGTGAATAAGGTTTTTTGAAATTGTGTTAATTTTTTATTTACGGTTCATAACAATTTTTAGCTTTTATACTTGAGAGTCCAGTATAGAGGCTCATTTATTATCTCATATTTCACTCACCTATCTGATGCATCACATTACTTTGTTCCTGTATACTTGGATTCTGACTGGAACCCACCGAACTTGAACTTGGCTGAGTAGAAGTTTGCATAGTACTTTGAGAACCTAGAATTTGCTGGCTAGTTGCTTGATGACTAATCACTGCTTGTTGATTCATGTACAAATGATTAGGGTTAGGTAACTGAACTTGCTTATCGATGTCTTTCTCCTGCAATACCTAAATAATCATAGATTTCTTAATGTACGCAAATAACTTCAGAGATGATGAAAAATAATTGGAAGTAGGATAATTATGATGAGATATGTGTTCAAGATTCAATTTGTCAGGCACCATTGAAATGAGAAAAAGTTAGAACTGTTATCATTTTCACGAAAATTCTTGAGGGGAATTTTGGAAATAGTAGCGACAATATTTGCTTGTTCGGTGATCCTACAATAATTAAGTTACAGTTTTGGGGACTTTCCACTTTTTCAAAGAATACTCTTCCACTGAGAATGCTATTCAGAATTCTTGGCCATTTTTTCATCACTAGCAATAGCAGTCAGAGGAACTCCAGAAGCTCATTCAGTATATCCCTGCTAATATTATAATCCCTACTAATCCCTACTAATATTATAAATGTGAATGTAAGTTTATTTGTCGGGCTTTCACGCCAAAACTACTCAACCGACTGTCATGAAACTTTGTATAGGTACATATTCTTAGATCTATTAGAAAAGAAATAGGATACTTTTTATTGGAAAAAAATATTTTTTACGGAAAGTTAAGATATGTACCTTACCCCGTTTTGTTTACTGCGCAACCATAATTTCATGCCACGCGCACCAGGCCATTATTTTAACCCTGGACACAAAATATCCAACAATCAGATATGAAACTCTATACGTCTGTACCTCAGATACAAATTATACTTCAGCGTTTCCTTCTCGATGATCATTGTAGTATGTATGTAGTCCCCCTACTTCGCGCTAGATGTCACAAGTTTTAAAGAGCAGAAAAATCCCCACCATATGGGGTGCTTCTATATTATCGACGCAACCTCAAACGACACTTCTCTTTTTGCTGAGAAGATATCACAAGTGAACATTTTCATGAAGTAAAATTTGTTATTTGGGATGTTTTTATCTCAAATATGGGAAAACAGGAGTCTAGCGAAGGCGAAGTTTCTAGACTAAAGAGATATCTGAAAAAGCTCAAAGAGATTAAAACGAAGAGAGCGCTCTCTCAATGCCGAAAGTGACAAGGAAAATAGCGAACGGGGTCGTCCGGGCCCAAGTATGAGACATCGTCCACAAGATCACGATACACATACAAACCGTGGACCTAACAGGAGTCGTTCTAGTTCCAGGAGTCGATTAACTCGACGACGATCATATTCTCGTAGAAGTTACGATTGACCTCTCTCGAATATTTCGTCATTTTCATCTGATGACTCTAGGCCAATTACACCTGATCCGGGACCGGATCCATTGAATTTTGTGGTAAATGAGCCAGGAAACAAGGAACAGAGAGAGGACAGTGAGTATTTATTCTATGACATAATGGTTTGTTTTAAGAATAGAATAGCATAGGAGGTATATATATTATATAGCTATCTCAAATCTCCAAGACTTAGTGCGAGTCTTGATTTGGTTTGAGGAATCTAGGCTCAGTGCGAGCCCTGTTTTGACAAATATTCTTGGCTTAGTGCGAGCCTGCTAGACTCAGTGCGAGTCTGTTGGAGTTTGAGCAGTGTTTTCTTTTTGATGAAGAATCTAGGCTTAGTGCGAGCCATGATACCATAAGAATTAGTGCAAGTCTTCCATTCTTGGGTAACAAATTTTGGCCTGTGGATATATTGGTCCATTCCATAAAATAATGCCTGCTCTTTATTAGGAGACTTAGTCTTGTCATAGATTGATGAACATTTTGGGGTTTAGTGAAAACTATTTTGATAAAAATTAATAGTTTGCAGTTTCTGCCTTAAGGAAAAATCAAAAGAGCTTCATTTATAGGTCCGAACCCTGAACAGAACCAGGACCCCCTTCAAGAAGATTCTCTCCCTCTTGGTAAGGAGATTTTAGATCTTGGAAATGAACCACCAACTAATGCAGGAGACATTACTCACCAAGATATGGCTGCAAGGTGGACTGAAAACTTTAAGAATGGCACCAGTGAAGAGTTCCGAAGAAAATTGATGTCAAAATACCCCCCTCATAAGAACTGCCCGTTGGTGGGGCCCTCAAAGCTGAACCCGGAAGCAAAGGCTGCTCGCAACAGCGTGGCACTAAAAGGGGATGACTTTATGCCATGCAAGCGCAAATAGGAGCCAGCCTATCTGCATTGGGAAAAATTCTCACAGTGTTACTTGGTACAAAAGAGTGGGGGGAGGGTACCATAAAGAAAATAATGAGACAGTTAGCGATGCTAGCAGACTTCTCACTAGACAGTCATAGTCCAGATAGAACCTGATGTCCTTAGAATTTAACAGCGATTTGAAAGAAGTTGTTATGGAAGGAAATCCTGATGGATGGCTATTTGGAGGAGATAATCTTGGAGACAGAATTAAAGCAGCTAGGGCAATGGAACATTCTGGCTTGGATTTGAAAAACAAGATCAGACCAGAGGAGGAATTTAAACTACAAGAGTCCTTCCACAAGGCCATTTGTTCAAAGATCAAATCAAAGAGGGGGAGGACAGAGAGCCAAGCCACGGAAATAAACTTGTCAAGAATCACACTCAGTGAGAAAAGACAACTATAACAGCCAACGCCCACTAGAGGGAGGAGGGACTATCGTCAACTCATACACGGGAAGGCTTCAGGGCTGGCAGCCTGAGTTGGTACCTTGAGGCCTGGGGGACCATCACATCTGACCCATTAGTTTTATTGTGGGTGAAAGGTTATCCCATAACTTTCAAGAAAAAGGTTACAGAACACATTGTAGCTAAAGAAACAATATGGCCTCATGAGGAAATAATTGCCATCCAAGTTGAACTGAAACATATTTTATCAATAAAGGCTATCAGAATCTGCTCCCCTCGTCAGGACCAATAATTTTTGTCCAACATTTTCTGGTAAAAGAGTCTAATGGAAAGTTTCGTCTAGTGCATAATTTGAAGAAGCTGAATTCATTTATTTCTGCAGACCATTTCAAATTGGAGGATAGACATATAGCTTTTAGAATAATTTCTGAGAGTTGTCCACTTTGGATTTACAAGAAGTCTATCATTTGATAAATGTCCAAGAAAAATCGAGCAACTTTTTACGCTTCAAATTTGACAACCAAATGTATGAGTTTTGTTGTATACCTTTTGGCTTATATACTGCTCCTTTGGTATTTAGGAAGATAATGAAGCCAGTAATTTCATCTTCAAGAAAAAGAGGTTTCATGCCAGGTTCATGTTCGTCTATTAGAATGACCATTTCTCTCCCAGATGAAAAACGAGAAATAATTGCAGACTTACTCCGGAAATTCCTCTCTATTTCAGTCTGTTCAATACGAAATTTTGCTCAGTTTGTTGGTGTAAGGTATGGCCTAGGTATACACAAAAACCTTTGAAAGAGACAAATATTCAGCAATGAAAAAATCTAGCTACGATAATATCAGTAATCAGTCGTATGCTCTCACTATTTATTTCAACAGGTTGGGGGTAGTCTGTGGGGAGAAGAAGGCTAATGGGCAGTATGGGCACTGGTCAGAAGAGGAAAAGTCACAATACATTAATTATTAGAATTGAGGGCAGCTTCTTTCGGACTAAAATGTTTTGCAGAAGATATTCAAGATTGCAAGATTCTATTAAATATAGACAATACAACGACTATCTCATATATAAATAGGATGGGCGGTATTCGTTATATAGGAGTCAGTGATTTATCCAAAAACTTTTGGAAATGCTGCGAAGTCTGCAACATTTGAATATTTGCTTCCACTATAGAATCCTCAAGAAATTTCGAGACAGATACAGAGTCGAGAAAATTAAAAACGGAAACTGAATGGGAACTAAATCACAAAGCTTTTGATCTAATCATTGAGAACTTCGGATCTCGCGTCATTGATCTATTTGCAAGTAGATTGAACAAGAAATGTAAATGTTATGTTTCCTGGCACAGGGACCCAGATGCATTGGCTATAGACACCTTTACCTTGGATTGGTCGCAATTTTATTTCTATGCCTTTCCCCCTTTTTCTATGATCTCATCAACCCTACAAAACATTATCAGAGACAATGCTATAGGATCCATATGGACTACACAACCCTGGTTTCCTTCATTTTCTAAATTACTAAAACCTAATAAATAGAAATTGGGCCCTAATGTTAATCTCCTCCGTTCTGTCGATAGGTCTCATCCGCTTTGGAGGAACCTTTTCCAGACGGTAGGAGTTTTGTCAGGCAAGCATTCATCCTCAGGGAGGTCGAACCCTCGGCATCTGAGATCATGATCGATTCCATTGCAGAATCGACCTTGAAACAGTACGAGGTGGGTTGAAAACAATGGTGGAGCTTTGACTTGTCTAAGAAAATAAGTCCATTTCGGAGTTTTACTTCGAACGTACTTGAATTTTTAGGAACTGAATCCAAAAAGGGGCAAAATATGTCTCTCTGAACAGTTTCAGATCGGCTCTATCAATGATTTTAGATCCAAATTTGACATCAGAGTAGCCACATATGCCTAGATACATCAGCAATACTCTGTCATGGGAAAATCATGTCCGATCCATCGCAAAAGCTACTTCACAAAAACTCGGATTCTTGTTCCGTACGAAAATATGCTTTACACCTCAACAGCTTCTCATGATCTACAAAGCACAGATACGGCCGACCCACACATACGCTGATGCTCTTAGATTCCATCCACAGAAGAGCTATTCGCCGGGTGGGTGATGCCACGCTCACTAACTCTTTGGCCCCATTAGAACATCGTAGAAAAGTCGACGACCTTTCACTTTTCTATAAATACTTCCACGGGAGAAGTTCCTCAGAAATCTCTGCTATAATTCCATCACTAGCAATACCGGTCAGACGAGCTCGACAGGCCCAGTCAACACATCCCTTCGTCGTTAACCTTGAAAAATATCGAACAACACTCTACCAAAGCTCGTTCGTCTGTACAATGGCGAAGCTTTGGAATTCTTTGCTAATGGAAGTATTCCTCCTTTTCCTATCCTCCCTAGGTGCGCACGATGTTCCGCAAACATCATAGGAATTTCCTTTCGTGTCCCCCAAGAGATAAAAAAAAATACAATACAACTTGGGAGAGATAAATAAAAATACAATACAACTTGGGATCGGTAAGGTAGAAGCACACCATATGGCGGGGAGTTTTCTGCTCGTTAAAACCTGTGATGACATCTATCGCGAAGTAGGAGGACTACATAGTGCTCAACTTCGCTCAAGGTAAGTTCGTTTGATCTTATAATTATTAGAATACGTCCTTTGGGACTCGTAAGTTTCAAATTATTAAATGATTAAATGAGAATGACAAATATCTAACCTAACATCAGGTGGGCACTTCAAAAGACCAAATTCAGTACTGCATGGGAGATACCCTTCAGCGAATGACATTATTGACGTTTTAGTCTTCTGTGAAACAGAAATGCACGAATTCAATACTACCTAAATTGGTCCATCTAGAGACAAGGCACAACAAATAATCCATAGGTGAAATGCATTGTAACTTTTGTTGTAGTAAATAATTATTGAAGTGAAAACTTCTTTAGACGCGTTTTGTAATCATGATCCGATTCTATTCAAAATTGGTATCTGGGGGTTTTTAGAGTCGAAGATTCTCATTCGTCAAAATCTGAGAATTCAACATGGCGGGCGTTTTGTAATTATGAACCGATTCTATTCAAAATTGGTATCTAGGGGTTTTCGGGGTCGGAGAATATGATGCCTTGGTCAAAATTTTCTTCTGAATATGGGTGAACGTAGATTCTCACACATGAGTTGTTAGATAATATCAGTTCTCAATAGTGATTGCCCAGCATTCTTATCTTATCTGCTAATCTGAAGGTGCGACATTCATGAACTCAAATGCAGGAACCCAGCACCGTACATATAAAACTGAAAGAAAATTTCCAAATAGTGAAGAAGCCCATACTCAACTTCTTATGTAATCTGGAATTATATTATTATTTTATAATTATAAATGACATTGACAAAAGGCAATGCATAGGACAAATGACACTCAAAATAGCACAAAATGTCTAACCTTTTATAAATATGGTCAATAAACTTCCATGGTTTTTGGATCACAGGGTGGTCAAGATAATAAACTATTGAGAATAAAAAGTTCAACCCATATAAGTAGGTACCCAACCCAATTTTTTGCCATACATCATTTAGTAATGGTCAACTCGAATTACTGACGCCGGTTAACTGGAGTTGTGCTCTGCTTGAGTTAGCTCAAGTTTTATTCTCACTTGGAGTTGTGCTCTGCTTGAGTTACCTCAAGTTCAATTCTCACTATAACTCGAGTTCGTGATGGCGGTACATGAACCATAAACACATAAATGAAACAAGAGAAGCGAAAGAACGCCAGCGTGGTTGCGCGCATTTTATTGCATACATTATTTTGAATATTGCATATATATTTTTGGATAATTCTTTTTATTTTAATACCACCTATGTACAAGGTTCACTAATAATGATATTTGTCCCAACAGGGAATTGGAAGGAAGGACAAATATATAGTTGATTTTCAAAATATCATAACGCACGACTGAAAAGACTTCAGTCAATGGACTTTTGGGGTATATCCCTAATAAAGATTTTCTCTCCCCCTCTCTCTCTCTATCATTAACGCAGCTTTGTCCTGCCAACTCGAGTTGGATTCGAGTTACGTGAATTTCAACTCCAGTTAATCCTAGTCGAGTTTATCCCAAGTTGGCACATACTAATATCGTTTCAGAAAAATGCTCAATCTTCAGGGATCCACTTTCAATTACCTGTACAGTAGGTTGAGCAGTATGATTCCATTGTTGCTGTTGCTGCTCCAAATGAAGTTGCTGCTGCAATGGTTGGTGTTGCTGCCCAATGCTCTGTTGCTGCTGCTGTTGAACTGGTTGACCTTGATGCTGCTGCACCTGAACTGTCTGTAGCTGAGGCTGATGAGATTGGCCTTGAATTATGGACATTTGGACTTGCATCATCTGCTGTGCAGCATGGGCTGGAGATAAAATAAGAAAAAAACAAATTCAAAGTTCCATTTACAGCTTTTGAGACGCCAATTGCATGAAACTTACACTTGTTGCCACTGAAAACATTAGGATTCGCCTCCAGAAGAGCTCTCAGAAGTTCTGGCATTGATTCCTGCTGTTCTAACCTCGAATCTGTTCCAGCATAATTATCCTTCACTTCTCTAAACAGACAAAAGGTATTGAGCTTCAAAAAAATTCATGAATTCTAGTTCCAATTAACATTATTCGACAATTTGAAATTATTTGTCAGATTGTCGATTCAGTGTTGCCAACCCAATGAATGCATACATATTCAACTGATTTTCAGGCCAGTACTGTACTTTTCTGATTTATATTGAAAATCTTTGGACATAAAGGCAGATTCAGTCCTGGAATGCTGCTTCAATATCTATTTGAATTGAGGCGTGCACGACCTTTATCGTTTGGGAGTTTCAAACAGCAATCAAATTATGCTTTTCTTATGTTCCAAAATTAAAATGGATAGATATGGCAACATGGTCAGGGTACTTAGTGTTTCCAAAAGTATGTATTTATCAACATGAAAGGGCTTTTCTAGTGTCAACTCAGAATGATATCAACTGAGATCCATTCTCATTGGCCAAGTTCCAAGGTTATATGTACATAAACCAATCAAATGGTGAAAATTTATGAGCTGGTACTAGTTTGTTTCAACCAATTTTCCACTGAAAAAGTCCTAAAGATGGTTATTTTACTGCATACAAAGTTTGAAAAAAAGGAGAAAAAAACTTGATGCATCATTAAATACTATATTTTTTTGTCCACAAACTGAAATCAACTTTATTGGTACATGGCAAATCAAAAATAATATATTGATTGAATAAGATATTGCAGATGTAATCCCTCATCATTCACAAGAAGTTCAACATAAGAGTTTTATATTAGTGGATCAATAACTCTTCTATAGAGTCAACGAACCAACTGTGATATCTTCTTAATCCCCGCGCAAGTATCTCATCAGCCTTTTCTAAAGCCTCTATACCAGCTGGAAGTTGAAACTTCACATACATTCGAAAGCCACTAACATAAACTACTATCTAGCTAGACCGATAGGCAATGCCATAAGAAAGAAGCTATGCCACTCATGAGATGAAACTAGTGAACAAGAATCATGGGCATTCCAGACAGGGTGTGCCGTGACTAGATCGTCATAAATTAAGGACATATTCCTTGGACAATCTCAAGTCGAAAGTGCCATATACACTTTTGTCTTGAACCCCATAGTTAAGGAGTTCTGAGCAATTAAATAACAACTTTACTAGTCAGTAGATTGCAAGAGGTGGTCCAGTTATTTGGCAACCGAGGTCTCCTGACCACTATTATCATTGGGGACCCATGAAAAGTTTAGCGGATTCGAATAAACTACAAACCAGAGATGATCTCATTCAAAGTATCATGACTACAGCTGCATCTATAAGGGGCGGCCCAGATACTCTTTGGAGAGCAGATGATCTAATCCAAAATATTATGACTACAGCTGCATCCATAAGGGACGATCCAGATACTCTTTGGAGAGCAACGTTTTCAATAATTAGAGGAGCAAGAATGTGTTGTGAAGTAGCGGGGGGATATTTCGAACAAAACGTTGAATAAATTAGTGTAAGTAATCAAAAAATTCAATTTTTTTTTCAAGATAAAATCTTTATTGGCTAATATCTAATATATGAGTTGCGTGTATTATCTGTCAAATGACCGACCCTGGAGGTAAAGCATTGGAACACAATCTCACTTTTATTATTTGTTTACAAATTATTGAAATGGTTTTCACAATTATTTTGGCATACGAATCGTTTTTTTCGGCTATTCATTAATTCAAGCATGCCATCACATTGTGCTGTTGTACAATGCACAAAAAAAGCAGCGAGAAACGAAGGAATTCGATGTTGCCGTTGCCCGTTAGGTACATTGTGCTGGAGAGCAGGGGTTGGCAAAAAGGGCCCATGGCTTGCCTGGCTACAGCCTCCCCACAATACTACTACTACTACTACTAGGTACATTGTGCATTAAAAGTACTATAACTATTGTCAATCACATATATATAGTTTTCATTACGAACTTTTGTCATTTCTCATTGGAATTCCTTCTGCAATAGGAGGGAATAGAAGTATTCGTGAAGTTTATAAAAGAAGGCAAGAGATGACAAACAAAATAATTCCACGTGTTTCGGGAAATTTTTCCACTCACTATGGGATAAGGAATATACGGGGTGGCTGTACATATGAATAATGTAAATTAGAATTTTGTAGGGATGGATACATTGTTGTTGGGTCCGTATTTCTGAAGCTATGATCTTCTCCCAGAGGGTATTTTCTGGAAACTTGTGTGTGTGTTTACTGCAGAATTTCCTCATGAGTGAATCTAGTCTCTCTTGCAATGAGATGACATTGGGAAGCTCCTACAGGAGGTTGTTTGGAGGATTGTGAAGTGGATTGCCTGGGATTATTTAGAGGCTACTGGACTGATAGTGAATAATTGACATTCATTTACTCCACTGTGGGACCTAGATCAATTGTTGGAACACTTCACACGCGTTTTTATGTAAATAATGTGTCTATGCCTTGTTGAATTTCAGAGCTCATTTCGAACGTGCCGTTATGACCACCATTTGGCCATGTTCTGGGATACGTCGGATGGATACATGGTGACGTCAGTTGTTATGCTGTTTCCTTATAGATAAGATAATCTTCCATTCCCACTCATGAAGCAAGGTTGTCAAGTCACCAATTATAATCAAGTTATTAAAAAGTTGTTAAGAGTCCTGTAGTTGAACAAAACTACATCCGAATTAAATATTCCATTTGACCTGATGGTCCTGAGGAGGAAAAGCCATGATATCATAGTAATTCATTTTTGACTTTTTTGAGCAACCAGCTTGTTAAAATATTTCTTATACTCCATAACAAAACATCATGTAAATGTTGGTTAGGAACTTGGCAATGCTTTGCTGAATGATGAGAACTGACAAGACAACGCCCATAACCCTGTGTTTTCACGTTTACCGTACCAAATGTCCTCTAGTGTGAATTAATAGGAATTGATATAATAATTATTATTCACACAAATTCATCATAAGGAATAAGCAACAACACAGAAAATGGGACATTATAAGACGATAGATTTTTTTATAGTTAATTAAGAATATTACCAATACATGATTGAGAATCTATGAATTATTGAATAAATAATATTTCCCAAGTTCCCATCGTATTTCAACATATGACAACTGTGCTTTTGCCTGCCAACTCTGTGAGGTGAGTTGTTGTTTGTGTTATATTTCTAGCCGTTTGAAAAGTACCGAGGCATTATTGATGATTTTAGGACCTTAAGATCGACCGAAAAATTGAAAAAAAAATGGAATTAAAAGGTAGTTGAATGATGATTCTATTTTTAAAAAAAGTAGTCTGCTTGCCCATTATTGTTATTATAAAGAGTGCACTGTTTTTCACTACCTTCAAAATTTGAAGAGAAGTGTGCTGTACATAGGAAAATGTAACTTGTCCATATTCCAGTAGTGGTCGGCAAATCAGCTTGTAGGTTTTGGTGGCACTATTCCTGATGATTCCATGAATTTTGTATGCAAGAGATTTAGAATGCTTGGGTCTTGCTATTTTATTTCGTTTGAATTGTTTGATGAAATGCAGTTTGTTGTTAATGATGATTCTCAAGTATTTTATGTTGACTTCTGGGTACAGGATATTATTCTGCATAGATACTGAAGCTGAAGGGCATCTATCTGTAGGTTTGTGGTTAAAAATTATGAAGTGAGATTTCCTTGCATTTGTTCTGAATCACCATTTGTTGAAACAATTGTTTTTTCTATTTATTAAGCTTTGCATATTCTCAATCAACTTAGGCATATGCTCATCATGGCATACAAGAGTAGTGTCGTCTGCATATTGGTTAGAAAATAATTAAAATCCATATTTTTAAGAAACTTCAACACCCTGTATCTCGGAAACAAATAGTTTTCAGACATATCTCTACATGACATTTTTTTTGTTATTTCCACCCAAAAAATATTATCTCAAAGTTTCGTGCAATATTAATGAAACACCCTGTATAGTAGTTAATTTTTTATTCATTTACCCACACATAAAACTGAAAGAAAATTCCCTAGTGAAGAAGCCCATACTCAACTTCTTATGTAATCTGGCACTCTATTTCATAAATGATTATTTTGAGCAGGTTCAGAATACTGAACTTTTGCATCCTCACTATAATATAATGTTCTATTATGTATTAATGTTTTGTCCAATTTCTAAATGTTAACTGTAACTGGCTTGTGTATATTACCAATGTATTTGTTATATGTTTGTAATGTAATTCAAGTGCAATAAATTATCATCATTATTATTATTATTTCAGTGTGTCAGTGTGAGATCTGACATCAGTGACCAGTGACATCAATGACACAAATCTCACAGGTGATCACATTTCTTTTTCTACAGATAATGTTTTATAATGGGTTGGCAACACTGTGTCAATGACAGAAATATTCTGGACATTCACACACACAATAATTTTTGTTATAATAAATACTCTCCTTTTGAAACTTCCAGGAGCATAATTTTATATACTTACATATGCTCAGCAGATGTCTTTTCTAAAGACTGGGCTAATTGTGGTACAAGCACTTCATCTCTCACACCAAGTAAATTTTGTGCCTCTTCTGCTACCCTCGGGTGGAATAGCAGTGATTTATTACTCAGTGTCTGAGGCGAAGGGGTTGGTAGGGGCATTTCCGGGAGCACTATAACATGAAACATGAAAAATATGAATACAGAATCCTACAAAAAAAAACACAAACATGAATGTAAACTAGACACATTGTGGGAATTCAAAACCTATTATACATAACTTAAAATTCAACACTAAACTTATACATGAGACACTTGGAATTTTCACCAAAGATTTAAGGAGATATCTGGAATGTATCCAAGGAGATTTCACAACACTGGTCCAGAGTGATTGACAGAAACGAAAAGAACCTACTCAACCTTAAATGTTAGATGTTTATTAATGTTGAATTGACTCAGCCATTAGGTACTTGATGGAAAAATGTTACCATCACTTTGTTGATAGGTAAATGGTTAACAATTTCATCTTGAATTTGTTTGTGCATTTCAGGAAAGATAACAAAGTGTCAAGTGTGTATGTATCAAAATAAGTTGTGAACCAGATTTAGATTACCTATTTGATAAGTTTCTTCAAGATGAGGATATTTCTAGGCAGTGAAATGGTGGACAATTTTTGTGCAACATCAACTTTGAGAGTGTTGGAAGGGAAGAGTCAGAAAACTAAAAGGTATTTTCTTCAATATCTTCGAGAAAAACATACAGGGTGTTTCATATGATTAACTACGGAAATTTCAACACTTTTCCTATAAACATAATGTAACTAAATGCATTTTTACCCTGAGCTACTCCCGAGGCTACTCCCCTAAAATAAGGTCAATTTTGAGCTGGATTTTGAGGCAATAAAATATTAGAGCACCTGAATGAACATAATCTTTTTTTTGCAAAACTTATTATAGCTGTAGTTTGGAGGGGGTGCATGATCAAAATAAAAAGTCACAATTTGACTCCAAAAATGTTTTAGTGAAAACACCGTTTATACTTACTCCAGTACTTTTTAAATGCTGTGGAGATATCTTTCAGTACAAAAAAATATCAAGAACATTGAAAAAACATGAAAAACAGTCCATGCACAAGCATATTAGATCAATCACTTTCAAAGTCAAAGTTTTGAATTAATTTACCATCATAACTAGAATAATTGTTCTAATTGGTCTAAAATACTATGTACCTACATATTCAGGTGGATGAGAATGATTATACAGGGTGATAAGGTTTTTTTGTAGCAGGAGTTCAACAGCTTGAAAAAAAACATATTTTCAACATGAAAGCTTCATATGAACATATATGTGTTGGAGCTTCCCTCTGAGCTTTGTTTCTGATATACAGTGTGTCAAGGTTTGATATATTTATTTTTTGTGTTTTTCAAGTTTTCACCTACAAATATGCAAAATAATCAATTGAAATTTGATACACCTACTCAGTTTCAAAAACTCCATATTTGGGGCTATCAATCATTTCTGATTACCTACAGGGTGATACACTTTTGGGATTTGAACTTAATTTAACTCTCTTGAACTTTCTTGCTTGCTGCCTTTGCTTTCAATGAGAAGTTAATTCAAATTTTCTCTTTCATTTGAATACATTTTAATCTACTGAATGTTTTTCAGAAACTGTATGGATTTCAAGATAAATGCCAAATATAATTTACTTGTAGTAAAACTTAATTTTTGGAACACACTTTATTTGACATTTCTTAATGATTGACTAGAAGATCTGGTAGTACTTGAAGAACAAAAAATATACAGGGTGTCCCATAAGTCATGGATCAAAAGCAGTGGGGTTATGAGGGGGGGGGGAAACATTTCCAATCAATTGTTGATGGTTCAAAAGGTATCCATTTTTTCATTTCTATAAAAAAAATAACTACAATAAAACTATGTCACCTTTGTGATTTTTCTTTCACAAATTTCATCTCCATGGATTCCCCCAGAAATAATTTCATGACCTGTGTCATATCAATTACCAAAGAAAAATGTTGTTTTCCTCAAGTTTTGTCATTGAATGAAATATTTCAGTTGATTTTTAAATGCCACTGGCAGATTTAAAGACTTCCTCACAAAAATAACCAATTATAAGGAAAAGTTGCCCATTTAATAGAGATTCCAAATTGGTATAACATGGGGTTATTCAGCCTTTTTGTTTTTTTTTCAAATGGGTGGAGTTAGTTTTTCTGAAATATTCAATAACTTTTGAACCATCTTCAAATTGATAACCACATATAGGGTTATTTTGATTGAAAATTTCCCTCCCTACCACCCCACTTATGGGAAACCATGTATATAAAAATATCTTACTGCCTGTATATCAGTAACCAGGCTCCTAGCTTTCGGAGCCCTGCTAGAAAACACTGACTCACAGATTAGAACCTGTAAACTCAATAAATGATAATCTTGTTCTGGGATTCCCCCACCTAGTCAATCTGGCCATATTATCATCATATACCAAGTCATATACCATATCAACCTATAGGACAATTATTAGGATAACCATAAAATTATGGAAGAAAGCAATAACCTTGAACTTAAACCAACATAACCTTGACCAGTCAAATACTTGGAGGTTAAATACTGTCAAAGTCCAACTCACATTGTGCTAAAAAATTAAAAATTATAGACCTGATAGATAATTGGGAAATGTTCAGAATGTTTGACATCTATCATGATTGGATTGTTACAAGTATTACTATGTCACACTTTTCCCAAGTTTTGAGGAACTGAAATATTGAGAATTTCAATAATTATTGGAAAAATTTACTCTTTAAAAAAGCTTAAAAAAAGGAAACTCATGTTTGAGGATGCCTTGGAGAAGACAGTTTGAAAATTAAATTGGTATTTTGATCTATGAGTTCTCAACATGCCAAATTGGGGAAATTTATTTTTCAAGGTCAAATTCCAGGTTAAGCACTTGCTATTCCTGTATTTTCTTTTTCTTCCTGCTTCCTGAAATTTTTGTTTTTATGATACCAAAGAGCCTACAAGTGTGAAGTAGATGTGACAGAATTGCTCCAAACACCAATGAAGATCTGGAATGAGAAATTGTGGAAGAATACAAATAAAATTCAGTGCATAATCTTAAAAAAATGTTTTTAAGCTGGCACAGGGCTTATACCTGGGCATATATTTTGAAAAGGATGATATAAATAAACAAATAATGATAAGAAATATGAAAATTAAGAAGTATGACAGAAATAAATAGGCCTAATGTATGATTCATTAAAACCTGTCATTCTGTTGAACACTTCATTGGCAGATTCGTCATGTAGTTGATATTTATTTTGATTCTGATTCATTGGAGTTTGAATTGGAATAATAACAACTATACACCAATAACTGGATGAATCATTTATGAAAAAAATCATGCCCTTAACTACACTTGGACAATATACAAAGTGATTAATTTGGCATTCACATCCCACATCACACCATTTGAAAGAAATGTGGCCTAGGGACTTGACAGACTCTTTATAGAGGTGATTTAAGAAAGTCATTTTACAGTTTGGCCAGCAATTTGCAAAAATAGTTATTGTCAAGAATAACATACTAAATCACTAATGGGTGGATCCTATCAGGAGATACTGGACAGATAATATGTTCATATAAGTTGGAATCATTATGTGGTAAATTTCCAGAGAAATCATTCCTGAATCTTTGTTAACATAGGGATTTCTTGAATAAATATGGATGATACTCACAGTCAGTTAGACTTGAAACACCCGCCAAAGTGGTGATGGGTACACTTGGGACTCCTGAATCCATCTCCACCTAGTAAGAATCCTGTTTACCCAAAAACCATGACTGAATACTTAATAATCATACTATTGAAATTATGTCACAGAATCACATAAGAATTTTGTTTTTGCTGTTCACAGCAGGCATAATCCAACTTAGCACTTTGATTTAGTTTAAATAAAAATAAGTTTTGAATTTACACGTTCATTGATTCAATATCACTCAGAACATTGTATTTTCTCAAGATATAAACAACATAAATGTTCTTTTTTGCAGGAAAACAACTGCAAATGACATGACATAGCTGTCACCACCATTGTTGATGACATCTGACATAGATTTTATTGAAAAATAATCAACAAACTGCATTTTTTGTACATTCCCAAAGATCTGGACTCCTTCTTTAGCTTATATGAATGTGAACTCCAGCCTCATATTGAGTGCATTATTGAAGTAACTGGTTTTGTTTTCAGAAGCCTTTACAGCTATTCCATCCAATCGGGAAGTCTTGCCTTCTACAGAATATGAATACATTGCATATGATATACTCATGATTTTTTTATATCTGCTGCCATACTATTTGGTCCACTGATTAATACACATTTTTATCTTCAAATTAATGCAGTCGAATGGCGACTTTCTTTATAAAAACAGACAGTTGACTGGGGAGGCAAAGAAACTACAGTTACTTCACTCTGAGTTTTCACTTCAGTTATCTGTCGGTAATGAAGATCATTGAAATATCTGACGTTTGACATTGAAGTTTATATTCATAGGTTCAGTTGATATCCAGAAGATGGCACTAGTGTAGAACTTACAGTATCTCTGCTTTGAGCTTTGTAATATGAAAGCACAGTGAAAGTTATTACGAAGAATAGTAATCATTTTTCTAGATCTATTAACCATCGCTTGCATATCGTCGGCGATCTGACAATACCTGCTAAGTAACATTTTTTTCAAATATTGGTATTTCATGCAGTTATAGCTTTCAATATTCATTGCGCACAATCTGAAATGAACTGCTACCTCCAGATGAATCCTTTGTTTACTTCATTGAAGGAAAACAATATCTGCTATCGACTTGACCTGTTACTCGATTATGTTTTATTCATCTCCTGTAGAAAAACCTGCTCTGCACTATATTGCACTTAGCAGGTATTGTCAGTTCGCCGACGATATGTCGTTTGTCCATTATATTATCCTAATAGATTGATTTGGAAATATCCCAGCTCTATCCCAGCGTACGCTACCTGGCGGTGTTTTTTGGAAGCTGTCAAGGCGGTCTGCTTACATTTGGTTTTTGCACGTTTTTGTTTGTGCTTGTCGCTCACATCAATAGTGTTCAGCTATCGCCGCCAGGTGGGGAGACGTGTTATTTTCTAACGCGAATAGAATACGAAATTAGCGGAACATTTTTGAAAATTCAGTGATTCAGTGATTTCATGGGCAGTATTTAGGGGGGATAAACGGGAGCAATTGCCCCCTCCTGATTTCCGACAAAACATTGATTCTACTTAGAACCTTCGTTCAACCATATGCCCTGACGGCACTTCATATTCCTGAAATATGCCTACTTACTACATCCTATTTTCTAAAGAATATTGCCATATTCGTGGAATATTCCATGCATATGCGAATAATCTGCTTATAACTTCTGTCACCGAACAAAAACAGTGCTACTGTGATGTGATCATCACAGCCTTTTGTTCCATAGGCAGGGTTGCCAGTTCTACAGAATTTTCAGTAGATCTACTATACTTGAAAACTATGACACTTATTCATCATTTTATCATCTATTAATATTGATCTTTATTTAATCACAAACACTTATGATATCTTGCGTGATAATTGGCGACGCTCTATATATGCATTGATTTTCGGGCGCCAATGATTATATAAATTGGAACGCGTCTGAGCCACCGACTTATTAGTCTATCCTGTGCAGTGTTGTTAGCTCCTGAACATGAAATGTCGCAAAAATATACGAAAAAAGCCGCTATAAACCGCTAGCGAGCGAAGCAAGCAAAAAGTCCGCCGCAGGCAAAATTTCTGAAATTTTTTCTCCGTGATTTAGCGACGTTTCTAATCATCTTTCCTCATTTCCAGGCAGGTTTTAACATCAGATGAAAAATCGTAGAAATCTTATTTATTTAGATTGAAAAATAAAAAAAAAAACGTGAAAAAAATGTGTGTAGAAGTCCAAAGTGGAGTAGTGTTCAGATAGCACCGATCTCCTTGAGAACTGACGGCCGATCGACTATCGAAATGTAATGCCTTGCCGGAGTCGAGGTGTCCAGGCGGCCTTCAGTCGGCCGTGATACACATTACCGGCGATTAGATTAATGATTAGAAATGCTACAGGGGCAACATATTTCATTGCACCATTGATGGGAGCGCTCAGCCACCAACGTATATGCGCTTGCACATCCGTATCAAGGAGGATTTAAAGTTCGTAGTTTGCGGTCAGATACTTGGAAAGTGCTCGAAAAACTCATCCTTCTCGAAACGGATTTGCCAGCGCCGGGAAAGTACATGAACTGCCGGGATGCTGGGCCGATGGTTGGTGTTATCTGGGTGGTAAATTGATGGAAAAAAATGTCCTCAAGACATTTTCACGACATTTATAATATATGGAGATAACTTTCTTTCTTCATAAAACAATAATATAAGTTTTCCTATAACATTCCTATAACAAAATAAATATTCCTCGGACCTATTTGAAGTATTTCTTTGGTCTAATCACAGATTAATTAACCTGTCATACCATGACAACTCGTATATCTAGCTGTTCAACATTATTCAGATCTGCAAATTCATTGTTATAAGTCAAGTTATAAGTCACATCGTTTCCTATGTAAGTTTCCATATACTGATTAAGGAAAAAACTTACAGTTTTTCAAACCATTTCGAATCTGGACGAAATATTATACAAATGTTGTGGAAGGAGTGTCAGAAATGATGATAACAAAACCTGTCATCTGTCATATTCTCCTCTGCTCATCTCGTCTCGAATGTTTCAATGTGAATTCATGTTCATCGTTACGAATTCATGTGAGCAAAATATCTCGATAGAAACCGGTATAACCATCTTGAAAACGCTAGAATTCTGACACGTCGCAAATCAAGTTGAAATGTCGCATTCACCCAAGCATTCACCTACCCTAAACACTCTAGATTTAGCAACAAAACCGCTAAGATGGCAACCCTGATCCTGAGCGGTTAATATGTTGGTAATACTTCACCACCACGCGGGAAATCACCGGTTATTGATACGTGAACGACCTTTACTTTACAATGCTTCACATGTTCATTAGAACGACCACGGCGACCGGGACTTCCCAAATGTCTGCTGAGCTCTGACTGAGTCTCAGAGACAAATTTGTTATTGTCATAACAATAACATCCACCAATACTACCAATAGTAATAGTGTATGTGGTTGTACTGGTTGTAGTGTATGTCGGTGATGTAGGCACAGATCCAGGTTTGTTAATCTGTGATGTATATATTATCCGGAGAAAAAGTACTGACTCTTTCCCCGGGGAAAATAGTAATTCTATGAAAAGTGACATTATGTTAGGTGAGTACCATGATGAAATATATATCCACACCTTGATGGTAATAAGTACCTATACCTGTCAACAGAGATGAAATGTCGAACTTTTTTCCCGTCACTAATTTTCAATACAATATAATGGTGATAGAGTTGTTGTTACTCTGAAAGAGGTCTAATTTTCAATTTTTAGGCATTTGACCTAGAATATCAACACAAATTCACGATATTTTCTTTCCGAAAACCACAATTTTCGACGGGAGTTTTAGGGGGGTGAGAGAAAAGCACGAAAAGTTATTATTCAATTATTTATTTTGACACCATAATACTCATCCTGATATATAGTTACCTACATTTACAGTGTGAGTCATGAATATAACCAGACATTACCTAATGGCGTGTATAGAGTGAGTCAAGGTGAGTTATTTTGATATACAAGGTGATTCAAATTTTGATGTGAATATTTTAAGAACGTAGTAATTCGCAGGGTATAACATGAAGTTCTAGTCATGTTGTAGCCATCTAGTGGCGAAGCTCTAAGGTTGGATCAAGTGATCGCGCGACACACACTGTATGGTGCTAAATCTTTTACCTAAGCGATAATTCTTCATATCGAGTACAATGTTTCCATATTTCCACATGTAAAAGCAGGTTATTTCAATTGGAAATTATTTACCCAGTAAACACAACACGTTTCAGAAACATTTCAAAAGTTCCCTAATACGTGTCATCTGAAACATTCCAATGTTAACATAAAGGAAACATTTCTGGAGTTCTCCATGCTATGTGAAATATTTCAGAAATATGTCAATACATACGTCTCATATCCGTTACACAAACTCTTTGCTTGGAATGTCTCACGTGAATCTCTAGATGTGTCATCTGAAACATTCCAATGTTAACATAAAGAAAACATTTCTGAAGCTCTCCATGCTATGTGAAATATTTCAGAAATATGTCAATACATACGTTTCACATTCGTTACAAAAAATCTCTGCTTGAAATGTCTCACGTGAATCTCTAGACGCGTCATCTGAAACATTTCAATGTTAACATAAAGGAAAAATTTCTGAAGCTCTCCATGCTATGTGAAATATTTCAGAAATATGTCACTACATACGTTTCATATTCGTTACGAAAAATCTCTGTTTGAAATGTCTCACGTGAATCTCTAGACGCGTCATCTGAAACATTTCAATTTTAACATAAAGGAAAAATTTCTGAAGCTCTCCATGCTATGTGAGATATTTCAGAAATATGTCACTACATACGTTTTATATTCGTTACAAAAATTCTCTACTTGAAATGTCTCACGTGAATCTCTAGACGTGTCATCTGAAAAATCGCCATGTTTACGTATGAGAAATATTTCTCAAATGTTATGCATGACGTGAAACATCTCTGGAATGTTTCAATACATGTGTTTACTATTTGTTTGAAATGCATCATATTCGACGTTGCCAGGTTCATGATTCCGTTTTATTGGCTTTAATGAATCACATGCTTGAGTGTGACCAATGAAGACGGGTGGTTACTCTGGCAACATCGGCATATGACAGTCCGAACCAAGCACGGCCGGCCCCGACTTGCTCCGACTGTCCAGTCCGAGAAGAGAGTGGGTGAACACAAAGACGAAGCCATTCTTTCTTTTGTTGTTCTAATTCCGGTGAAGCCATTTTTAGCGTCCATTGATATTGCCTGATGG